CACACTACCACAGTGATAAAAGTTTATATTTTAAGGTTTTATCCCCTTGAGTTTTCTTCAAAAAGATTTTAATGAGACTATTTGTATATATGTTGTCACATCTTATAGTGTTTTCTTGACGTGTTAATGAAATCCCGTTTTCTAAAAAAACGACTGATGTTTACCCAAGGATTTGTTGAAAATACAAAAATTAATATGATAAATTTCCTTCATCCATGTGTAACATATTATTGCTTTTTCATTACTCAATGGGTCACCACCACCGACCAGGTTTGGTGGACCAGTGATTTAAGCTTGAAACACCTTTTCCGTGCAAAAATGAAATGTCATGTGGGAAAAATGACCCACATGAAGAAGATTGATGGGCACTTAACCAACCACGTGTTGAAAATGCAGTAAATATCTTTCTTATTTTATTTATGGTCACACATATATCTTCTCTTTCCTCCTCGACTTGTGCGCTTACAGGAGTCAGACACAGAAACAGGCTTTTTTCTGACCATCTTTTGTTTCTTCTTTCACCAATTGCTCACTCCAGTCCAGTCCCGGGATTTGGTGTTTTGTTTTGTTCTTTTTCTTTTTCTTTTTCTTTTCCTTTCTTGGGAATGGATTTTTTTTTTTTGGAGAGAGAAATAAACAGATCAATTCAGGTCCAAACGTAACAGAGGCAAATTAATTCAAGCTCACTCAAAGTGGAAGATGACAGAATCAATAGGAACTCTGCAACCAGTGCTGAGAGATCATGTCAGAGAACCAGCTCTCATCCATTTTTGGAAATAGGAACACCGTGAAGTGAAAGAGCATCCATTTACCACTCAAATTCCCACCTTGACCTTTAGAAAAAGTCACAGCATCACCAGCACCACACACGATCCCACACCACCATAAGATAGTAGATCCCACCAAATGCTTCAACCCCACTTCCGCAGAAGATAGATCAAAGGGGATCTACATCCAGAGCCCAAAAAATCAAGAACACAACCATCAGGGGGCCAAAAGTGAGAGGTCGCCTTAGATTTGGCCAAGATCAGCCAAAGAGGCTGAGAAGAAGCCCCTAAAAACCCAGGGGTGAGACAAAAACTTGCCAAAGGCAAGAAAATCAAAAGCCCAGCAAAAAACCTAGGGAATGGATTTAATAAGTTCAGATTCTTCTTCAACATTCTTTGTTAATTGCGTTAGTAAACCAATCACATTTTATGTTCATCTACACACGTACGAATGTGACAACAAGTAGCCTTCATATTTTTCGTTTGAATTTTACTGAAAGTGCGGCCTCAGTCTGATCATTGGTTGATACACATTCCGTCGTTAACATAAAAAGATATCTCATTATTTATCATAATTCTAACGATTTTCTCGATCTTTTCTTGTTATCTAAACTAGCACTAAGTGCATTTCTAGCGGGAGGAGCTAGTCCGGGCAAGAGGCCTCCAATACCATTTCCAACGGCCAAGGCTTGCTAGGGCAAGCGCTAGGCTCCACCAGCCTGGGCAAGGCCTAAGACAAAACTTGTTTGCGCTGCTACCTAGGCAAGATGACTTAATGCTGACGTCACAATGACGTCAACAGTCAATTTAAATAACAAAAAATTGAAAGAAAAAAAACCAAAAATTTTAGAATTTTTTATATATAAATACCTAACCATATTCTTCAATTCCCACACCAAAACTCTATACAAATTTCTCTCATCATATCTCATGTGAGTAGTAGTTGCCCTTGGGTTGCTATGTCAATGTGTGGAAAACCAACAAAAAAATTACTAAGATAGGCACCATTCATGTGAATAGTAACAACTCTTGCATTTCTTTTCCTTTTACCATAGCAAATGGGTAGAATTACTTTAAAAACTAACCAACCATCTTTCTATATTTATCATAACCCTAAAACAATTTTCTCGATCTTTCCTTCTTATCTAAACTAGCACCGAGGGCTAGCCAACCCTAATTCTCAAGGTATAATTAGTCTTCACACCGACCCTAAAATTTAGTTTTCATCTTCACAAGATGATGAAAAACGCGGAATTAAAAGGTGAACATCCCCCCTTATGTTACACTTGTTGCATATGCCGTATGAGAAGCAAATACAAATGGGGTAGGGTTGTTGAGGGGCATTAATATTATTGGTAGGCCACCTCTTTTATAAGCATCCTGTTAGCTAAGGAGGGCCAGCTGAACACATTCTCATGGAGGCCCATGCTTGGGTCTATTGAAAGCTGAAGAGGCCCGCTTGACAAAAGTTTCCAGCCCTTTTCATCTTTGGTCTTTATTTTCAGTACCCAACACCATTTTATGTTTTTGATTTCCAGAAACCTGTGAAATGTTTGAATGGTTTTACGAAGGTAGAAGAAGGAATGAAATATATTCTTTAACTAATGTGTATAACAAATGCTCATGAATTGGAGAAATTATAGAATATAGACATATATACTCTCTTTTTTTTTCTTTTTTTTTGTTTGTTGTCAAAAATGGAAAATTCAAATAATTAGAATTAGAGCCATGCCCCTTCTCTATCCAAATCCAAATTGGAAAAATGTTAGTTACTGACTTTTTGTATGGAGTGCTGAATTTCATGACCTAAAATTGTTTATAGAAAATATCGCCGAGCGGCTGTACTTTCAAAATATATTAATATTTAAAAAAAAAGTAAGGTGTATATAAAATTATTCAAATTGATTTAGTAATCAACCAATGATTTTGTGACCTAAAAAACTCAACCAATGATTTGGTGTTGGCAATAAACAAAAAATCAAACAATGATTTATTAGGTGGTAAAAGAAAGAAGGCTAATGATTGAGAGGAAAAATCAATTGATTTCAGAATGAAGTGAAAATCTTTGAAGTGGGGCATAAATGATCGTGATGATTAATGCAGTGAACATGACTGGAAATTACTATCTCAAGTCCCTCCAACTTGCGAACAAGACAGAAGCCAAGAAAAAAGATGTTCATGAACAACGTTGGCTGTGGGCAAGTTTTGCAAGAATGGGACCAATCTGCTGCGGCCGGCAACATCAATCTTCATCCACCTTCCAACATCAAGAAAAAGATATGTAGTGGGGACTGAGGAGATATTAGTAACAATAATCATTAATTAAAAAAAGAAAAAAGAAAAGAGAGCTGGCTTTTGCCACTAGCTTCAAATTGCTCTTGACATCTTTTATCTTCTGTTATCTGCTTATATGGTTAGATCTTCTTGTGGGGCCCATGATAATTGGGAAGCACTAGTCTTGTTTTTTTCCGGTAACAAAAAGTTTAGGGGAATGGGAGGCTACCTCATCTCAAAATCAGGATATACCAAGGTCTCTTTGAGGTTACTTATCAAAATGAATTGTCGGTAGCGGGATTTGAATCTAAACCTTAATAGCAAAGAAAACAATCCTTACAAACTCAACCAACCCATGCTGATGGAAGCAATAATCTTGAATTCATGATGATGATGCCCAGCTATTTTCATTTAAAATACAAGGGGAATCTGCCCATTATAAAAAGGACCACCCCCAACCCTCATCCCAAAAGCCATTAAAAAAACAAAGAGATACAACTTGGGGAAGGTGAAAACATATCAATTTTCATAAAATATCGAAATAGTATATTTATATGTACGATAATTATTGATCACATTTTTAATTATAACTTTCTGGCTCATATCAGTGAGTTTCACTTGTGTCTTGTCTTTATGCTAGATGTCATCAGTTAATGTGATTGATCAAATAGTTCTCCAAAGTGAGTTGGAATTTGGGAAAGATGAATATGAACCCCACCCAACTTGATAGAATATAATGACGATCTTATACATGTCGGAGAAAGCAGAAATCCTTCTTGCTGGAAGGAAATGACATTTTGATCAAATGATTTTTTTATTTTTATTTATGATGATAGTGGGAGACCTATGTGAGTCATGCACGTGCACTTGTGAGTCATTATTATATTTGATCGTACCTCCTAATCATCTCATCACTAACTAATCTCAGTACTTAAGCTAAAAGGTACGTTGGTTCCAAAATTGTTAATCTACATAAAACATAATTAGACATTTTTGCTTCAAGACCAATTATTGAACTTGGTGAAACAATTGGAAACCAGAAAAGAAAAGCATCTACAGAAAAAGGATAGGGAGGAGGAGACATAATCTTTGTGGCAGTTGTTGACTTGAAGATAAAAAATGCTAGAAATACAGAAGCACGAGTTGTATACTTGACTCTGTGAGAAGCACAAAGCACACCATTTTAATCAGATTTTGGAAAGTTTCCACGTTCATAGCTCCCACCATTAAATAAAATGAAGGAGCGCTCCAAGTCAAATTATGCAATAAAGGATCAGCCCTGCAAGCCATGTGCTTGATCTTGGAGTTTTATGACTCGTGTAACATGGAGTTAGAGATAAAAAGGGTACTCCAATATCGAGGACGTGCATGTCACGGGGATAGCATTGTTTTGCTATCCCCATCCAATCATGCTCAGCCAATTGGAATCTTTATCGCGTGTGAGGGAGCATGATTGGTTGGAAATAGCAAAATAGTGTTATACTCGTGGTATTAGAGTTTTTCTTCCCAATATCTGCAGAGTAGATAGTAGTTGGCTTTGCTTTTATTTGATTCCAAGACACCACTACCTTTCAATTAATTGCAGCTTGACTTGTAAAGAACAAGATAAAGCTTGAGAAGGAGAGCAAATTCCTTTTGATCTTCAAACCTTGAAAACAACAGGTCATAAATAGACTGATATTTCAGAACATGAACTGTAAAAGAGAAAAGCCTCAGTGATTCAACTTTTTCCTTTATTCATTTCCAGTTACTTACAGTGACAGATATAACCATCACAGGCAAAAGCATAAGCATAAAGGTGCAAACAAAGAAACACTTCAGGAAACATCGATATCCATTAAAAAATTGAGGCATATTTTTATAAGAGAACATCAATGAGCAGAAATATATGCCTGTATTTTATACATGTTATTGGACGTGAACTGAAATACTATTTTACTTTTTACCAGAGTCAAAAACTCAATTCAGGAAGCTGCACACTAGGCTTGGGATGTTTGAACTCTTGCAGTAGTTGTTCATTGGCATGTACGTAGGAGAAGATCGCACGTCACGCTCACTGGTTGGGGAGGCATGCGAACCGTGCGAGCTAGAAATATATTCAACACAACAACTTTTGCCACCTTGAAATAATCTTGTTAAATAAGCCAGGGGACCATAGGGAGGAGATAAGCATGCATACTCACTGATTAACCTGTTAACATCGAAAAAAGCGGTGTGTCCATTAAAATTAGCATGACAGGGACACTTATGGCATCAAGGATTTAACAAAAACAAAACAGTTTTTTACATGTCAAAATGACAATTATAGCTAAAGAGCATCAGCGTCAGGACTGTTGACAGCAAAAAGGAGAATTCAGTGTAAGCAACTAAAAGAAGACATAACGGCCTCTATTTTAGCAGATAATATGAGCCACAATTGTGCACAGCAAGATTATATGCAGCCAAACCCTCATATAGCAGGGAAGAAGTTTGCGACCATTCACTTTATTGGGAGATTGCAACGAAGATAAGATAGGAAATATTCATAAGTTCAACCCAATTTGCTAATAGACCCTGATTTTGACAGCCATCAGACATAAGAATCCACAAACTACGGCTCACACGGTTTCTTTAAGAAAAGTTACTCCTTTTTGAGTTTGAAAAGTTAAGCATGCTTCTTGTAAACAATGATTATCTCAAAGACGGAGGAGCAGTCAGTTACTGGCCTATCAATATAACTTTCCACATACTTTGTTTGCAAATCTCAGTCTTAGAAATCAATAAAGTGAGCTAAGATAAGTGGTTGATGAAGTGACTTACACATCTTGCCACTTAAAGTATCATTAGCTGTACCTCCTCCACCTAAATGTCCACTGTTGATGCCAGTTGGTGCTGTCATCTGATTCTGTTGCATAGGCTGGGAGCCAAATCTGAACATATTCATAGGCTGCAAGAAAATTTTTGGATATGATAAAATGAAAAAAATTCAATTAGAAAAAATAAAAAAAGCACATCTAACAAGACACGAATGGTGAATAATTTACTTGTGTACAAAACCACTATATTACTAAACATTTAATTCAAGACAAAGAACACGAACCTGAGACATAGTCTGCATATGATGGAAGCCCATAAGACGCGCATACTGCTCCTGAAACACCGGATTTTGCATCTGGTTATGATAATCAACTGGATTCAACACCGGTGCTTGGCACATTACAGCCTGGTTTGTTGCTGGAGCCACATTCATGCACTGATCAACTAGAGGGACTCTAGGTAAATGCATCGGATTGTGCATTGAAGGCAAGGCCGGTGGTCCCATTCCCATTCCCACTCCCATTCCCATTCCCATTCGGGGCATATAGTGCTGCATGCCTGGAAACATCATTGGTGCCATCCCGCTTCCCATCCACATTACCTGAAGCACCAAGGAAAGTTGTTATTAGTAGCTTGAGCTACAAACAATATAGGACCAGTTTGAGTTTTATGAGGTGCCATTGTACCTGAAGTTGCATCTGAAGAGACTTCAAGTATTCAATTGCCTCATCTAACATTGATGCTTTATCTGTCTGAAAAATAAGGACCAATTCAGTCAGAACAATATATGATTACATAAAAATTGAAAGACTACAAGAGAAAAGAAAACAAGTTAATAGGTAGTATGAATAAAGAAAGATATGGTGAGTGCCTGCGGTATATATTTTTTAACAGACAGAAAAAACTGAATGGCCTTTAAGAAAGTGAACCTTGTTAGAATGAGGTATGAGCTCTTGCAATGCTCTCATTTTCTCATTGATCCGATCTCTCCGTCTCTGCTTCGATGAACAAGTTATAGTGTAACTAAAAAACAAGTTATAGCAACAAAATCACAAATTCCAAAACTATGAAATGATAGGAAACTCCTACCCTTTCTGAGAGATTATGGACTTCAGCAGCACGGCTCCTCCTGGATGATCCAGACCGTTGTGCTGACTTGTTTCCCGCAGCCTAAAACATAAACAGGTTATTGGTCATGGTGAAAAGACAGTGATGCTACAAACGGTCAATTTATTGGAGAGTGGGTTTTTACCTCACTTTGGCACTCTGAGTCCTCAGCATCTCTACCCTTTCTTTTGTTGCTATTGACAACATTAGACCGCTTTCCTCCTCTGCCAAAACTACTACCAGAACCACCAGAAGACGAAGTAGGAGTTGGGTCTAGTGTATCTGTTTTCCCTGTCTCACTCTGAGGCATCATCTTTTGAACATTGTCATAGAAGGGTCCAACAGATAAACCAGTCGTCCCATCACAATTGCTTGAAGCCCTGCTCACATCAAGGTCATTTAGAACTTGGTTGCTACCAACGTAACTCGAACCAACGGTCATTACCGAACACTCTTTAACCTCCCCCTGAGTTAAATTGCCAGACTCTTTCCCTCCTATTTTTCCTCTGGAAGATCCTCTATCACCCTTTCCTGGGGTAGCAAATGTTGAAAAATTAACTACTTTCCCCAAGCCTCCTAGATTTTGGTTTTGCTCAGTTGAGTTATTGTATTGATATCTTGGAGGAGGCATTGGGTTTGCAGGATATCCCATACGAGCAGGGGACTTAACATTAGGTTGGGGGGCAGTGGAAACAAGATGGGGGGTATCAGAAGCACCAAACTTAGCAAACTTTTCTTCTTCAAATTGTTTGGTTGGCTTGTCAATCTCAATTGGATCACAGGAAGGCAATTCAGAAAAAAAATGGGAACAGAACTCTTTGTCAAAGGAATCTTCAAGAGGGTAGTGGATCAAGGAACCTGTGTCTTCATCTTGAGTCAAATTACTTGAGTTCCCATATAATCCACCAACCCTTATGGTTTGCTGATCTTGTTTTTGAACTTGTCTGGCCTCATTAGGAGGATTAGGACTCGGTTTTCGATGCGTTTGGCTGTGCAAAACTACCTGTCCATTTCTCCACAAGAGCTCTACTAGTTCATGGTCTGGCCTGTATAATTGCCGCCCAATCAAGATAGTTCAACAAGTTCAAAATGCATAATATTTTATTCAGGCAAGTAATCTGGCAATAACTTTGAGAATATATAAGAGAGAGTACAGACCCCATGGGTTTCTTTTGGTTGGTCAAAGGGAGATCAGCCTCAAAGTTCCAATCAGGAATGCAAGAATTCATGTCTCAGCAGACAGGATTTCTGTAAAACAAAGCAAGAAGACAACTTTAGATTATTGTAAATGATTGATAACCATATTTAGAAGCTCTGATACCTCATCTAGAAGAAACCAACTTAAAATACTAATTGATTAGTTGGTCAACTGACTAACTAATTTAATAATCAAACAATAACCAACAAAAGATGTTGCAGAGCATACCAAATATGGAACTGTACTAAGAAATGGAATAAGAGAAGCAATGAAATGGAGCCCCAATATATTGTTTACCACACCACATGCTCTTTACAGATTAAAAAATTAAGAGCCCACCCAAATTAGACTCTTCATTATTAAAAAAATTGAGAGTCACATGGAACCCAGAATAAAATAATCCCACCATGGAAATAGGCAAATACGGGAGAAAAATCAACTAAAAAGCTGCACTTGAAAATAGAGACATCATTGACCACTTAAGGGAAAATACTAATAAGAAGTGAAAAAAAAAGAAAAAAAAAGAAAGAGAATGAATGATACGACATGAAAAATTTCTGGTTTTTTTAGAAAAAGAAACCCAAAAGAAAAAAATCTTCAAACGAAGAGAAAGTTAAAAACCCAGAAGGGCAATGAGTACTAAAATAGCACCCAGAAGCAGAAAATGGAATAGAAAAGCAACCCTGATCAAAAGCCAAGCTCTGACTTCTCTTGAAGTGGAAACTGAAAGCCTACAGTGTATAAATTGCTGTTTTGGAAAGCACCACAGTCTCTCACTCTCTGTGTGTGTGTTTGTGTGTGAGCTGAGCTAGAAGAGCAACTAGAAACTGGGAAGGGAATGGACCAAAGACTCTTTTAACAACAGTTAGCAGGACAGGGACTTGTCACAGAGGTCAGAGCAGAGATTGGCTAGTAACACAGAGCTTCAAATTTCTATAGAAACCCATGATAGCATTCCACGTGGCAGTTGCGCAATTGTGCCATGCTGAAAACTTGTGGCTGGGTCAGCTTTGAGTGCTGTAGAATGTAGATGGTTAGAATGGGATGACTGGGGGTTTGGTTATTTTAAGGCAACCAAATCTAGAACTTGCAGCACATTCAATCTGTGCTATCTGATAATGTATGAGGGTGGTACCACGTTTTCATCGGCACTGCACATTTTGTTGGACAATGATGAGGGACAAGATTGTCAGAGGCCAAGTTTTTTGACAGCTTGGCCAAGTTGGGAATTTTTTATGTCATGCTTAGATTTTTGGATGATGCAATGCAAATTTGCACTTATCTTATTCTTATCTATATGAAAGTTATAAAGTCACTTTCTTCAATTTCAGATGTCTAAAAGTTGGAAAAACAACAATTACTCAAAACATAGATAGGTCTAATTGAAACAAGGATTAATGTTCTCCCTATTGTGTTTTAGGTAAATATGAAGAAAAAAATTGTCAAAACTTGTATGATTGTGCTTGGAAAATATACAACTGAGAAGAATATATAGAAAAGATGGTATCTTCAAAGCTTGTTCCAATTGGGATGCAGTAATGATAGGAATTGGACTTGGCATGGATTTGGACAGATACAAAGTAAAAAGCACATAAAAGAAGCATGGACCAGGTTTACTCCAATAGTTCACTTGGAAGGAATCTTCCCCAACTGCAAGCCAACACTTGCCTCATGCGTTGGTGGTAGCAGACTTAATGATCCAAGCTAGAATTTACTGCAGGATGGTGGCCTACAGAATTTGCTAGCAGGTCCTGTTTTATACTTCCTGTTAATCATGATAAGAACTAAAGTGGGTAAAGTCCTCCACTTGAAGGTGTTTTCTGTCCCAAGTTGATTGAGAGATTGTTCTCTGTCATGGTCTTCTTGAAGCACCGGCTGCTGCAGTTTTTATGGGTACTCCTCATCTTTAACTCCGAGTGAGCTGGTTTTCAAGATGTGAATTTTTTTTTCACTCAATGTCGGGCAATGTTTATGCCGGATTGATTATGTTTTCTAGATTTTCTGTATTGCAAGAACCTTCCTTTGGGGTTGTGTTCCTCCTGTATGTATTCTGTTTTTGCCCTCTCTCTATCAATGAATTTGACTGTTTCACCAAAAACAAAAGAACAAAAACAAAAAAGAGAGAGAGAGAGAGAGAGAGAGAGAGAGAGAGAGAGAGAGAGAGAGAACTAAAGTAGGTCTATCTCCACCTTTAAAAACTTAGCTAAATGGAAAGCCCTAGTCTAAATGAGAAGCTGTTGAATTGTTTGAGCAATTCTTGGCATTAATTTGGAGGTGGTAGTTCGTTGGCTGGAGAGACTAGGATCCTGTGCAATGTATAAGGGGGTAGGCTTCATGGGTTGCGCTTGAGGAGCTAAACTTGTGTTTATGAACTTTAAATTCATGTAATTTTGGTTTTATAGAGAATATAGCCTCTTAGCGAGCAATGGATAGGGGCTGGTATCTAGTATGAACCTTTGGCTTTGATTTATTGTCGTTTTCAGTACAGGGGCGGCAAGGCCAACCAAATAACTACTGTCTTAATATCAAATTGGGTCCATGGTTGTGTCTATAGCTGGAGAAGGCAATTACATAGTCAACAAGGTACCAAAATGCATTTATTCATCTTCCAATCCAATTAATATGTTTGGAATTATGGGCTTATTTTCCGTGCACAAATAAAGAAAGAAATTATAAATTGGAGGCAAAAAAAAGGGACGAACTAACCTGCAAACGGATTAGACATATCCAAATTCAAATTCGAATCCATTTATAATCGGATTATTGGATTACACCTATCAATCCATATCCGTTACGCATCGGATTTGGATTAGATTGAATTATTATCGGATTTATTTTGAGATGTACAAGAAATCAAAATTTCATTAGTAGCCTCATTCTTGTATTGTATTTATCTACTTTTTACATCAAATTTTGATATTTTATCATAAAATTTAGTTTTAAGTATATTCTTACTAAGTGCATATAAAACCAAAATTACTCATTTACACAGATAAAATATTAATATAAAGCATAGATAAACTAAATTATACTTCTTACTAAGTCGGATCGGATCAACTATAATTCATATCCAGATCCATTTATAATCGGATTATCGGATTTAGAAGTCCAATCCATCTCCTATTTTAGTTACGTTGGATTCGGATCAAAATCCGATCCATTCACTTAATTCTTGATGCTCTTGTTTTAGTCTAGGAAAAACAATTTCAACTTTTGAGGTAGAAAGTGTCTTTATCCAAGTATTCTGTTAATATAGTCTTTTTAATAGATTGTAAAGTTGTAAGCTAGTAATACCTGAATAAGAAAACAGTTTAATTTTTCCATCACATCATTTCCATCTGGTCAAGCACTTCAAAATTTGTGCTAAGACCAAAATGATAGCGTCACCAAACAGATCTAAAGTGGCTAAAAATGTGGACAGGGTTTAGTTACATTAATGGTCAACCTGCAATCATTCTTATTCTTATAGAAAACATGATATTTGTATTTGATATGAAGAAGTGTATACATTCTTGTATAGAGGAATTTACAACTCAGATGCTTGTATAAAAATCTACAAGTTTTCAACAGGGAAACCAGTAACGGGTCTTATCTCTGTAGCCAAAGAGCGCAATTCAGATACTTCTTCAGTGTCTAGCTTCCATCCAAGTGCACCGGCAAATTCTGCAGCCTGTTCTGCATTTTTGGCTCCTGGGATTGGCACAACATTATCCTGGGCTATCAACCAGTTTAGGACAACCTGTGCAGAGGAACCCATCTCACTTTAAATCCCAGCGAGTTAGAAATTAGAATGCCCCAATATGAATTTCTGCATTCAAGAAATCTTGTCCAAGATATCAAAATGTGGGTTTATGATCTTATATGATGGAGAGCATGAAACTACAGAGAGTTGGTCTACATATGCTAAAAACAGTGAAACAAAGAGCTCTGTCTTTCATGCAATTTGGTATCTATCAAGAGTTTGATAATTGTATCCACGTCTAACATGACTTAGCTGATAAAATATAGGTATTGCTGGTTACTGTTCAGCCATGCTTCCACGGAAATGACAAAATTGAGGACTTCTAATTGAAAAAGATACAATAGTTAAAGAGCATTAACAAACCTGTGTGTTTGTTTTACTGTACTTTTCTCCTATTTCCTTGATCCGGTTCAGCAGAGGCTGGAGCTGCATTTCAAAATGATATTTCAGCAATAAAATTGGAACTTACTGTGTAACTGGCTTTTGAAGTATTGACCATGCTTTACCCTTGTAAGAAATTCAGGAGTATAAATCTGTCTTCGAGGACCGGTGGGAGGATTTTCAGGTGTATACTTTCCTGTAAGAGCACCTGCATATGTATAAATAGTAGAAATTTCAATATTCTCAATCTCTTTCACACCTGGATCAGACAGAAAAACTTGGCTTCTGTGGAAACCAACCTATTAAGATCTGAGATTAAAGGTTCTAATAATTGTAACCAGGGTTGTGCAGAGATTACAAGTGATAATATAAGATCTCAACAGACATCTTTTATCAAGAATTCACATATTTTTTGTTTCAGACTAACTGCATGCCCTTTCTATTACTAAAAACTGTCCAATTTCTTACTTAATAAAACTGTGCATTCTAAAAAAAATTCAAAAAAAAAGAAAAGAAGAAAACTGTGCAATCGGCTGATAACCCAGCTGTTTTTCTCTTGTTGTAAGGTATTGGTTTGGTGAAATATGAGTTTAAATGTAGAAAAGCAGATAGACAAACACCTCCTCTTTCTTAGATATTTCACTTTAAAGGTTTTACCAAGCAAGATTAACACTTGTCTAGAAATAGTTGAATTCAAGAATAAGCAAGACACAGTAGGATGTTAAAAAATGCACGTGAAAGAGAGAATTTTACTTCTTCACTGTTTCTTTTAGGAGCCAGAACTAGTCTGTCACACAATATAGAAGAAATAAGCTCATAATGTTGAATTTAAGAACTGCTTGAAAAAGGAATGCTCAAAATTCACAATCAGGGGATCAGTGACAAAAGTGAGCAAGCCGGCTTTCTCCTAACTCAGCAATGATTTTTGTTTCCATTGTTTATACCATTCTTAAGTTAAAACAAAAGATAACAATAGGATGAACTTAAGCCCCAATTTCTGAAGATTGCTCAGAGAGGTCTTGAATACTGTAAATTGAAAAAATATTATACCTTCTAAAAATGATTTTATTAATTCCTAAGCTAAGATATTGAGTGAAAATGAAAATAGATTAAGAAAAAACAAGGTTCCAACTTCACCTTGAGCAATAGGCGAATAGGCAATCAAAGTGATCCCAAGTTCATCACAGGTAGACTTTACTCCTTTCTCCTCTGGTGCCCTGTATATGAGGCTGTAATTCACTTGGTTTGATGCTAGTGGGATACCTCTCTTTTGAAGTTTCTTGTGTGCCTCACGCAATCGCCTTTCTGCAATAAAGATCTTTGTGCATCATGTTCAGATTAGTTGAGGAGGGGATCCATTTTTGTAAATTACTTTCTCGACGTGCCAATACATTCTATACTTGCATAAAACAAAGAAGAAAAAGAAAAGAAAGATAAAGGACATGTTTCGAACAGCTGACCATAATTAGATAAAAGGATAGATTTGTACCGCTATAGTTTGAAACACCAACAGCCTTCACAAGGCCTTGTTCAACAGCATCTCCAAGACCATCAAGATACCCTGAAATATGATTTTTCCAGAGACGCCTCTTTAGAAACAAAAGGTGATTATTATATATAGCCATCTATTTACATTAGCTAGACAGAGAATTATTCTATGAAAAAATGGTGTTATATATAAATAACCTTCATTTCCCCATATTCCAGGCCTGAAAATCAACACAAAACACTTGATTAGTTATTGTAGTTACATTAGCAGAATGACACTGTGACTTAAAGGACATACCAATGGAGTTGATACAGTTCTACTGAAGAAACTCCAAGGCGACCGAGGGAATCCTTAAGGGCAGTAATGACACTCTGACGACCCAGCCTCCATGGCAGAGCTGCGAATTTGGTTGCAATAGCAACCTCCAATCCTGGATCCTTTTCTTTCCTTTCCTTGACAAATCTGTATAAAATTCAGTGGAAGTTATATAACTAATGTTCTCAAAATACAGAAATTAACCATGATTAGCCTTGCTCTTTGTTGACTAGAAAGTAGAATGAGCCACTAAAATATATATATATATATATATATATATATATATATCCCAGTACGTACCTTCCTAGAAGAGTTTCAGAATTTATAGCACCAAAAGAAGCCTGCAAAAATGAACAGTAAAATTTTTGTTTACACTGATAGAACTTTATGGCATCTGTTTGAGAGGAACAAAGGAAATATAAGGCGCTTTTCCTACCCTGGAGCCATAAACTTCAGCAGTATCAAAGAAGGTTATACCAGCATCAACACTGACATCAAAAGCAGACTTAGCAGCCTTCATCTTCCTATCTGCAAGTTACACAAAACATATTGCCATATTGAACACAATTGAATAATTTCCACTTTCCAATATACCTAAGCATTTCATAATCTTAACAACAAGGCTGCCAATACAACCAATTCAGAAGGATATTGAATTTTAAGATTTATTGCCCCACCTAAAAAACCCATCAAACAACCAACAAGAATTTCCATTGCATAAAGTTGAATCATACAAATATAGCTCACTTCCTCTCATGTACAATTTGAAGCTGATGATGGCTTTACATTGTAATTGCAGGTGTAAAAAGTTAAGCAAAATTAAAAACACTTCCCCAAGTGATAAAAGTGAATATGGAAAGACATAAAGTCTCAAACACTCTGAAAAATTCATCTGAAACAAATATACCCACAATTATAACCAAAATAAAGCATCAATTTGAAAAGGGATTCTCAGTTTTTCAATTATTTCTGCAACTTACCATCCCATTCGAAGTTGTTCCAATAACTGGTGTCCCCCCATGACCAAGCTCCAATCCCAAGCCTTGTCACCTTCAAATCAGAACCCCCCAGTTTCACCTTATCATCCTCTGTGGTCACATTTTCAGAAGCAACAGCTCTTATCTTATGAACTCTCCTGTGACTAAAAACAGAAAAGCATGCACTGCTAACATGCATAGCCATGATTCCTTTCCCTGGAGCTGCTGAGTTCAAGAAAAAAGAAAACAATCTAAAACAAGAAATGGGTTGCTGATATTGAAGAAGTTTCAGCTCAAAACAGAACTAAATTGTCAGAATTCTGGCAGAAGCCCCCCAAGAATTTTGGAAATGCAGAGACAAAGACTTGTGAAATTAATGAACTTGTCAAAGAGAAGTGACTCAAATGAGGAACGAGATAGTTGGTATTGGTTGAAGCAGCATGGAAGATTGAATTGAACAGTAGAGACCAAACCATTTGGTGGGCTAAAAAGAGCGAGGAGAAACATGGTCCTCAGAAAGTACACGTCAGCTGCTCTTTCCAGGTCCCAGAAACTGAGGACGAGGACGGCTGGATTTGTATGAACCATCAACGTCGAGTGATGAAACAGAGATCACATTGTCTGATTTGACGATAATTTTGCCTGCCGAGCGACCTAAAAAAGACAAATTGGGTCTGGATTTTCTAAGGTAAGCTGCAGGATTTAGTAACAGGATGACTGTTCGATCGCCGAGATTAACGGTCAGATTCAGTTGCTCATTTAGGAAATGTCAATTGGGCCCTTCTATACCTTGTGTAATGTAACAGAAACCCAGTTCTCACAATAATTAACGGGGCAACTTTAAAAGAAGATGAAGAAAAACTGGATCATGCGTACAATGTGAAGCCCATTTCTTGCCGCTCGTGTGCAGGAAGGCTAGAGGGTTATAATGAGGGGGTGGGGTCCTTGGTAGCCGTATGATATAGTGTAGAGTTATTATTGAACTGTTGGATTGAATCCTCTCATTGTAACCCCTCAACATAGCTTCTCATTATAAAAACTTCATTTTCTTTCGAAATGGAAACATATCAGAAATTCTAACCCGGCCAAGAATCTTTATGAAATTTAGACCCCAATTAGTTGAGTAGGCAAGGCATTGTCATTTTGTTTCTGTCAGTGGTAATCTAATTGGTCATATTGGAATTAGACATATAGGTTGTGGTTAGTATACATGAAAAATATAATTGTGCCCATAGCTTGGTATTTAAAATGACCTTTCAATGAATGATCTTTCATGCTATATTTCTGAGTTGAACAAGCTACCATTTGAAAGACAAACTAATGGTGATTTAATTATTGACGATTAGTAGCTAGACTCATTGCAATATGGATTAGTGTACCTACCACAATAGGCGCGCTCGCACACATATATCTTTCGAAATAACATTGGTAGGTGATAAGGTTATAATTATTATACCAATCACTATCTCGTATCTATGCTGAGATTCTTTGATAAAATATCTTAATCTTACTGAGCTTTCTTGCCTCATCAGACTCAGAATATGCATGGTTATTCGGCCTTTCAAAATGAAGTGGCTTATTATATTAATTGTTGGCCCTATACATTAGAAACTTAAAAAACAAGACAAGCAGAGAGAGTCGAGAAACTTGAAAAGCAAGACAAGCAGATAACTTCGGATTTTGTAATGAACTTAAGCTTAGATTAACATTGTCAACGTACTATTAAAAACAAGACAAGCTGAGAGAGTCGAGAAACTTGTTTTTCTCTTTTGTTCTAATAGTACTCGATTTGAAACCTTAAAAACAAAAAACAATCTTTAACTGAGACAACTAGTGCCAAAGCTCAACATTGTTCAACTAGTGCCAAAGCTCAACATTGTTCAACTAGTGCCAAAGCTCACTCCTAGGAGGCTGGGAAGTGCTTCAAATTCTCTCAATGCCAATAAACATATATATAGCTATGCGGCTGGCGCAACACTGCCTGCATCATCGTCATCGTCGTCATCATCATCATCATCCCAATCATTCTTCCTGTGAACATGAAACTGTGTCTTGGACAGCTCCTCCTCCTCCTTAAAAACCAACTTCGAAGCAGCAAGTAACTGTTTGCTATTGACACTCACCATTGCAACTGACATATATAAAATAGGGTTTAGATAGAAAAGAAAAAAAAAGGACCTGCTTACCTAAGAAATTGACCAAAGAAATTTAATAAGCATGCAGTGTATACGAAAGCTAGTTGCAGACTGCACCAGTACATGTCTGCATATTTATAATAGGGAAAGGGATAATATCATCATATTAGCATATGCAAATTCTTATTCCATATCCTTTCCAACAGACATGTTGCTTTCTTCTGCGATCTCTGTAATTTGTTTGAGATCTTGATATTGGACACGTTGACATGAAAAGGGCAGCGAAATTTGGCGCGAACAGGAGGGAGCGATGACATGGCAGGGCTGCCCTCCATACGTTTTTCCTAGTGGGATGTAGGTCTGTCGACGTATGCTAAGCTCATGGCAAGTGCCTGCGCTGCACATTCGGTATGTGGGATCAACAGTCCATGCACGCTCTCAGGCTCTACTGTCACCTCCAGCTCGTCTGCCACGCTGGATACCTTTTTCTAAAATATTCATTTTGGTTTGTATTTTGGAGATTGAACCCAACTTACTCAAATTTGTCTTTGGAAATCAATACCAATTTCTTTTTGGGTGAAACTTTGGGCTCGTTTGGTGTTAGCGTGGGCTGAATATGAAAACTCTCTATATTTCAAGCATGTTAAAGGAAGAAATGAAAAACCCATGATCATGTTGAAGGTAAAAAATGGATCACTCATGAAGAAAACTTATATGCAAAAGACCGACTAGTAGTGGTTTGGAGCAAATGCTCCCTTAAAAAAAGGTCTTGGGTTTGAGTCCTAGCATCCGTGTAGTGTGCGTGAGTTTAGTATGTTAATTATTGCTCCTCTCAATAGGAAAGGTCCTCACAAAAATTTTAAAAAAATGAAGAAAATTTATCCCATAATCCCCACAAAATGGTAGAATATCAACATTTTATAAATTATCCCTCCTAATCGTCCCCAGAATAGAAAATCATTCACCAACCTTCATTTCCTCCTTTAACAACATATCCAATCCAATACAATCCTAGCTAGTCACCAAATTTTTTTGTGACATTCTTATTGACTTATGCATATATATATATATATATATATATTCTTATTATGAGATATGGTTAATAAACCCACAAATACTTTTGTTCAAATGGTATGAAATGGATGAGGTGGAATGATGTGTTTAGATATCTCAAGCTATTGTAAGTTTCATGTGAAAAAGAAAAAAAAATTAAACTTAGATTCTGTTAGAGCATGATGATAGGATGATAGCAAGTGTCATAAAGATTAGATATTGCCTTAGCTAGTTGTTATATGTAAAAGAAAAGGGCATATAATAACAAAAGCAATGTACTGTATTAAGATTAGATTATCTTATTCTTCTTTCTTCTTACTCTGAAATATAGCTAGGTTAATATTCTCCTACAAGTTCTTGATGTATTTTTGGTGTTACTAATCGATACGATGACGATCGAGGCAGTATACACTATGCCAAAAATTGAAAACAATGGTGGAAAACCATTGTGGTTCAAAGTGAAAAAGTGACGTCTACTTTACCAATATGCTTTAAAAACCTTAACCACGATGGTGATTCACCGCCATGAAATATATTAATCCACATCGCTTTGTCCAAAAGGGACGTCGTTCGAGTTCCATTGGAAGAAAAATTGAACTTTGAAACAACATTCTACATCTCTATATCTTAAAAAGCGTCATAGGAAGTATTATCCCACGTCGTTTTTTTTAAATAAAATAGACATTTTGAATAACATCTACGTCGAGTATAACTTGGGACGTGGTATCGGTTACCATGTCTATGGCTTTAAGAAATTGCAAATTGGACATGGTATGTATCTTACGATGTCGATTTCTTTGAAATAATAGACATAGTATGAATCTTACAACATCAATTTGATAATAAAAATGGATGTAGTTCTCTACTTACTACGTCTATGTTTAAAATAAATTTGGCATGCCATCCTTGTTTCTACGTCGCTGTTTTAAGCTAAATCGCAGTTTTATTTTGGATTTGCTTATTGGGAAGATGATTTATACCTTTGTGGAACAAGAAACCCACTCCCATGTTTACATACAACCTGGATATTGAGGTCCAAATGGACTATTCAGACTCAAAAACCTGCATTTTTCATAAAAGCTTAAGATACATCTTACTTTAACAATTCTGTCATAGTTCAAAACCCTACCACATCTATACAACATATACCGTTACTCCTGATGACTACATATAGGTAGGCTAACTATCCATAGCCAAAACTCACAAAATAGTGACTAGGTAACTACATAGCTAGTACATGAGATGACTCACAAATTCTGGCCATTCATTTCTCACTTCATCAAGTTGTTGTTGGGTGTATGTGCTATTTCCCTTCTCCCACTGCAAAAGATGAGAGATAATAGATCAATATATTATTTCATCAACTTTGAACTCACAGCAACTACAATTAAAACTTCAATTCATGTTATACCTTTTTACCAAACTCTAAGTTTATAAATCTGAGCATCCCTCTCTGCTTTCTGAGCCTGGATAGAAATGTACTCAAATTATACTGTAAAGTGCAAAAGACAACAAAAACAAGGAGCAATCCAACCCAAATACCTGAATGACAATAGTATTTCTTGGAAGCTCACTAATCCTATCGCATGAATCTTCACATAACAGAAATTTAGAGACATAAATCTTCAGATAACAGAACTTTAGATCTTTTTATGTCTATTTAATGGTCTAAAATGACCTAAAAACTTAATAACCATGAAAATTTGCAGTCCAAGATCATGCTCTTGCTTGAGGTAACTCACAGAATAGTTGAAAAGAACAAGCATAACAAGCTGCACCTTGGCCTATTATTAGTACAAGTGTGCGCGACCAAACACAAAGTATGCATACATTCAACGAATTTCAGAATACATAAAAAAGGACAAGGCTATGCAACTATGCAGCTATGCAGTCATAAAAGGAAGAAAATTTAATTACCCTTTTGATGCAGACAAAAGGAAAGCAAGGCAAGCACTTTCTTCAACTTGTTTTCAATATTCCCAGCTAGCCTATATGGCAAAGTGTAGAGAAACACTTTGTATAAAGCAATAAACGTACTCAAGCTCCTCTAGCCATTGTTCTCGAAGCTGAAGTTATGATCACAGATTCACAACCCTCAAATTAAAATTTCAGCAATTCTCCACACACACAAAAAAAAAAAAAAAAAAAAAAAAAAAAAAAAAAAAAAAACTAAATATAAATTATCTCAAATTTCAAAATGAACTTAATGTAATGAAAGGTAGCGAATGACGATCACTGCAAAACAATTGAACCTGAATCTATCAAGCACCAAACCTCACATATTTCAAACTATTTCAAGAAAAATAAACCCAACAAATCAGAAAAACCCTAGCAGACAAGACAACCAAATAATTAAGAAGGAAAAAACACAGTACTTACATTTTCTAAACTCAGTTCACGGATTTTATGCTCAGCTATAGTAATGGAATATGAATTACTTAGCTATAGTAATGGAATATGAATTAACATAAAGCCATGCTTGAGCATAATACAAAACAGAAAGGGGGAAATTGAAATGATCAAGAAGATAATTAACTCTATAAAGAAATCCTTTAAAAGATATATTTCCATGTTCTTCAATTGCCATGATATATTAATGGATGGACTTACGGGGAGATAGACATAATTAATAGAGAGAGAGAGAGAGAGAGAGAGAGAGAGAGAGAGAGATTGATATTACGTACTCCGAATAAGTAGATATCACTAATTATTATTAAAATTTAATATTGCAGCAGCTGCCATACATGATCTCAGTAATCATATACAAGTAATATTTTTCTCTTTCCGGCCCTTTTCAAAATAAAAGAAGCTGTCCCCGACTCATGATGAGGATGATATAAGGGGAAGAGCACCCCAGACAACCAAAAGTCGTAAAACATAGACACCTGAATTTTTCTTCTTCTTCTTTTTTCTCAGATGGCTCTGGTGCGTATGACTATATAAGCACACCGGAGGTATCTTTTGCTTATTTAAATTACATGCATACACCTTCTAATATTATGGTATGCTACAAAATAGATGCCCTATGAATATAAATTCATAACATGCAGCTGATTCTTTACTATATATATATATATATATATATATATATATATATATTGCCAAATGTTCTGTTCAGCTCAAGTTGATGAAAGTATCAAAGCTTAAGCCACTCTTATTCATAAACACTATGAATCTATGATAACTATGCTGCTGGCGCCACATCTCCTCCATCATCGTCGTCATCATCATCGTCCCCATCATTTTCTGTATAAAGAGAGAGAGTTGGGACTTGGTCCTCATTCATAACCAACTTGGAAAAGTCAGGTTTCTTGCTGGTAAAAATCACCATTTGGGAATAGAAATGAGCGAAAGATCGATATACCTGTATATTTGAGAAATCAATGAGTGGTTTTTAATTCATGAAACTCAAGTCCTTACCCCATTTATAGACTCATAAAGATAAGACGCAGGAGCAGTGGCGGAGCCACTCCTATGCCAGGAGTGGCCCTAAGCCCCCAATTTTTTTGATTCCTTACAACTTACTAATAGACAACTTGTAATTTTAATTAATGGCCCCTTTAAAAATAATTAGACATGACTAATTTTGAAAAATTTAGTTCTAACATGTGTTTTGAACACTTATATGTAGGGGTGGCATTTTAGACCGAAAAACCGCAAAAATCAACTGACAATTTATCGCAATCGCGGGAAACCAAACTGCATTTGCGGTATGAAGAACCGAACCGCATTTGATGTTGCAGTTACGGTTACGGTATTTGATTTTCAAAACTTGCAGTTACCGCAAACTGCGACTATATTTTTTTTTAATAAAAAAATTGCATTTTGTAGATAGCATTGGTGCTCAAACAACACAACGAGGTCCTTCAAATCCACTCACCACCACCAACACTTGAGTTTATAACATTGGTGCATTGCATTTTCCTTTTAGTTTGTAACTTTAATTAACTTTGAATTGGATTTTTCCTTTGAGTTGTAACTTTAATTCATTTTGCATTGCATTTTCATTTTGGTTTGTAACTTTAAAGGATTTGGAATTGGAATGCTTGAAAAGTTGAGGTTGTGAATGCTTGAGAAGTTTAACTTTAATTGGAATGCTTGGAATTGTAACATTAATTTTCTTTAGGTTATGAATGCTTGAGAATTTGAGGTTGTGAATTTATATTTTAGGATTAAAGTATGCTTGAACTCAAAAGGCTTCAAAAAAAGCATCAAAATTAGCCTAAAATGTGGAAGATTGGATTTTTATGACACAAAAAGAACTTGCGGTTTTAAACTACTAATTCACGGTAACCGACCACTTTTTGCGATTTCAAAAATCACCATACCGTAAATAGTCGGTCGGTTTGCGGTTTGGGCAAAAATTCGTGGTTACCAAACCGTAACCACCTCTACTTATATGTATTTGATATACTTGTGTGTGGCTATCTTTTTATAATTGTCTTGGATGCTAGGGTTTCAGATGAATAATTCCGTAGATGGAAGGGAATTATTCATCCCCTATTTGGAATTTATTTGATTAATTAGGGATTTGATTTATTAGGATAAATCAAATCCCTAATTGTGGTAGGTATCAAATCAAATCTCATTTCAATTTGGTAACTCCTCATTTAATTGGGAATCGTGGTAGGAATCAAATCAATTCTCAACCCAATTAGGTAACGTTCAATTTAATTGGGTAATCCCCAATTAAATTGAGTAACTCCCAATCAGGTTGATTAATTCATAATTAGGTCAAATAATCTCCAAATTGAATGAATTATTTGACCTAGGGTCTGATTTAATTCGGTTCCCACAATCATCGCATAAAAGAGGTGAACCGAGCAATCTCTAGTTTTAAGGGTTAATAATACCAATATATACATATATACATGCATCAAAAAGAAAAAGGCAATTGCTAAGTTTTCTTCTAGTTTGGAACCCTTTAAAAATGAGGATTTCAATATTTCACAACATAATATTTTGTGTGTTTGAATCATAATTCATATGTATGGAAAAATAAACAGCAACAGATGTATACATATATATGTGAAGGTGTGTGTCCAAGCCATGTTCGATTCTAAAAGAGATTAGCTTGTAATTGATGCCCAATACATGTCTATGGTGCTGTACATGCACAGGAGAGATAGTAGCTGATATGTAGGTATATATATACATGCGCCTGCAGACACGAATATACGTCTTTCAGACATACATGCGTTTGAAGACACGAACATCAATCTTTCAAACGTTTCCCTGCCCTCTATAGAACCTTCTAATAACCTCTGAGTAATTAAGATTATATATAAATATCATCCAATGACAGTTCTCAACTTGAAATTCCAAAACTTGTTCTTTTCCTTTTGGAAAATAAACATTCAAAGAAGATATGTGTGTGTATTATATACATGTTGCATGCCTCTTGAGGATTATGAGAAGGCATTCAGAGAGAATCTTGTATGTATAATGAGTGAAAAGGAGAGAAAGGGAGGTGATATATATATATTAAGCTAGCTCCACACATTTGTGCTAAAAGGCAGGTGAGGGCCCACTACGTGAGCTAAACTCATGGAAGGTGGCTGCATTGCACATTCCAAGCATGGAATCAGCAGTCCATGCGCGCTCTCTCGAGCTCTCTCCTCATGTCCACTCCACGAACACAGGTGGCTCTATATATTATATATATACATTTCTATATATATGCAGGTGTACGTATATCTTGATACTTTTGGTCCTCTTTTATTCACAACCATCCATGCAATCGATATCGCCTTGGAAATAATACACATACGACTTTTATAGATATGCAACGTACTTCATTCTATAGATTAATGATTAGAGAAATACACAATACCACTTGCTAATTGCCGACTTCAACTCGACTATTTAATCAGGAGAAGCAAACAATATGTACTTGAACATCATGTGAAAGTACTGTGTTAGATTTGGATCCGAGCCTTACTGAGAATCCCACATGACATATAGTCACTGCTTATGCTAGCTGCAGGCTGTCGCTTGTTAATTATTTTGTCGATGTTCCAAATACAAAATTATACGATCTGGTTTGTGTTTGCCATCTAACATATCTTGACCAAATCGCACATGTCAGAGAAAGAAACAAAAAAGTGATGACCAGCTGACCACATGGTTACCACACAAATATTCTTTAAATTGATCAAATATTCGACTGACTCGAGAAAGAAACAAAAAGGTAATGACCAGTTGACCACATGGTTACCTCACAAATATTCGACCGACTCTAGCACCTAAGGTTCTCAAATCTCACATATTTAAATATCCAGCAAAATTCTCAGCGGGTTATAGCTGAGTTGATCGAACTTTGTAACTTAATTGGCTGAGCTTTTTTATCTCCACGCATATGAACAAAGATTCGAAACCCACGTACATCCAATAAATATTTGTGTAAGTTCATTTCCCCTAATCGTTTGTACTAAAAAAGTTCCAGCAGAATATTATAAACAAAAACATTACTAGCTATATGTGCATGTCTGAGATCTCTTACTGATCTGAAGGTAGGCCATACAACGTGGAAAATTCTCCCAAGATTTTCTGGACCTTAATGCTATCTTTACAGCTTTACTGTTTAGAGCCATACCTCTCTACAGGCCGTCTAGGTAGCTTTTTCTTGTTTTCCTTCAGTGTACCAACAGGTCCACAACCAACAAATTGTCAAGTTGTTTCATCGATCAAGAATCAGGATAAGCTTGTTAATTAACCAATTACTTTATCATCTTTTGTTCTTTAAATTTTCAACTTTACTTATAGCTACATATTACTAGCCACAAGTAATTGAAATCTCAAAATTCTGACTTAAACCCTGTTTTTACACAACTGTTAGACGTTGGCAAAACAAAAGTAACAATAGGGGTGAAGGATTAAAAGTGCCTGTGCCTGTGGTAGTATTGGCGTTACTCGGACTGCACTAGTACTAGAGTAATGGATGTTATGATGTTTTCAGGGAAAGACAGAAATATGCTAACATGCGTGGGTGACTCTCAGCCGTGATGTATTATGCTACTCATTTGCATAAACTACCCAAGATTTCCTCATCAGGGTAATGGTAAAATACACTCCAACTATGATGTGGTCTGATTTTCAATAAAGAAAGTCAGATGCCCCGTTCTTTCCATGAAAAATGAAAGTTGAAACCAGTTGACATGGTTTCAACCCAACAGATCCTTGCATCTCGTTTTAGCCTCTTGGTTTTGGTTTAAGCTAATGCTGATTCTGCAATGGTTACTTCTCAAAACGAGAATTGATCAAATGGAAGATGAATTTGAACCTTCACAATAACCGAACGGTTTTACTAACAAGGAATAATCACAACTGTCCAGTTTCTGACCCTATAAACAGTAATACTTAATTGTTTTTGCACCCCTTGTTTTCCCTCTGCTGGAACATGCTATTTTCCAATCAACTGCAGAGATGGCTAAACATTATTTATGTTGCTAAACGTATCTAATCATGCTTCTTCCAATTGACCTTTCCTTTTGGGATCCTGCTGAGGACACCGGTATCAAGCTTCCGATAATTATGTTGAAGCTGCCCAAGGACCTGGTATGCAAAGTTGTCGACCTGATCTTCGTATCTCTCGTACAGAACTGGCAATGTGTGAGCAGCAACAAAACCTAATAAACAACGACCTATGTCAATTCTCTTCCATATATACGAGGATAACAATATTATTAATAAAAACCATATTATGTACCATAAAATCAAAGACAGATTATCAGTAAGCTTCTGATAACTCTTATAAGCATGTCTAGCTCAATCAGATAGATAAATCATGAATAATAAAAGAACTCTATAGTTACCCTCGCAAGAAAGGCACCATGATCCTAAGTTGATGGCAGTTCTAAACCGCTTCCAAATTCAACGAGGTAATCATACTTTCTTTTTCTTTTCTTTTTTAAGATACAGCATTCATGAATATTACAGTATATGTATACTCTTCACTAGCAATAAACAAATTCCAGTGATAAAGTCCAAAAGGAAGGAATTACATACTTCATCAAATATCATCTTTAAACTGAAATGAGACTAGAAGCATGAGTTTACCTCAGAAGCCACAGGCTTCTCAGAGAGAGAGAGAGAGAGAGAGAGCTTAATTTTCCACCACTATGGCTAAGGATACTACTTACTACTAACAGGAACTTATGTTTCAATTCCATGTAGAGCAAGTGATGCATCAAGAGAAAAATACTGAAAGACAACTCATATTTTATTATGCAAATGCTGAAGTAACAATATTCAAACTTCTGACAACAATCAAATTCACTCCAATAATCTAAATGGTTATCCCAAACTTTAAACATACCATCAACAGAACACATGGTCATCAGATAATAAGTTCATAAGAGACTCGATATTATTAGTGGTTGGATCTCTCACCAATGTACAAAACGGTCAGAAAATTACACCAGCTTCCTATCACTGCAGCAATCCACAAGCTTGCTACAACCTGACATAATATCTCAACAGTTCATTACAATTGTCAAAGACGTTAAGTAAAAGCATGATAGCATGGGGTTTTGAGGCCTAAAATGCATTTACTGCTAATATCAAGAAACCAGTGAAAGCCAAGCCAAGAAAGTGCTTTTCATAACATAGATATGGTGATGTTCTATAAATTAAATTGAGGACTTGCATATCAGTCTTTAGGTAAAATTTAGATGGTTGAGATGCATAGTGAGTGAGGGTGGATTAGTTCTATTCTGGTCATTCATATCTAATCTAACAGCCGACGCACAAGTCTTCCAGCTCCTCAACGTGGATCTTAATCAGATCACCTTTGTATATGATATATACAATCATATGTATGAAAATAATATAATCATCCAAAAATACCATAATAAATTGCTTCAAATTTCCTCCAAGTGCAACATCTTGAATAAATTCCAAGGCTCGATTAATTTCATGACCAATCGAGATGGCAATATTGACAAATAATTTATCAGGCACAACAAGGCGAGGTACTTCAGATGGGGACCTGCCACCATGGAGAACACAATACTCAGATCACAACATTCATCTCTACTGTACACAACATCACCCAACCAAGCAAAATAGAAGCTCAAAACTGTGCATGTTTACGTCACCTGCTAATTATGCCAGAAAAATTTGACCAAAGGAACTGAGCAAGCATAAGAAGAACCAAAGCAAAGCCCACAAGAGTCAAGAAATGATAATTGAGCCATTCAAAGAGCACCCAGACAGCAGTTGCACCAGTTAAAAAACTAGCTGATATCTTTTTGTTCCTCCACAACAAGACATCAGCAGCTACATAGTTCAGGCATAAAAAGAGAAACAATGCAAGGAGAATTAGCGAACTTCGAATTGCATAAAAAAAATGCTCAAGCATGTATTGGAACATAATGATCCTACATTTGCCTCCACCCAAAAGGTGGTGGACGGGCTTTTGGCGTCCAAATAGCCGGTTCAACTGAGAAGTGACTGAGTTTGATGTCTCTTCCCCAAAAAGTGGCACAGATTTCTGTTTTGAACTACTTTCAGCAAATGTTTCCACAATGTTGTTCAAAATATCCTCAGGAGTTATTTTCTCAGGCATTGTTCCTATACTTCAAGAACAAAACTCTGGTCATGGCAGAAACTATAATACACTGAAAGCTTGCTTCAATACAGGAAATGTTTTATAGGAAACATACACACATGGGAGATGCAAAAGACTTAGTAGGGACCATAATAACACTAAATGAGATTAATTATTTGGAAGCAAGGACATATCAATTCTTTATTCCCTGCAAGCCACTTATTGTAAAACATTGTACTTTGAAGCCTCAGATACAAGGAAATTGCTTATCCATATGGTCAATTTGGGTTATACATGATTAACGCAAAAAGATCTGTGCATGTGCATTATTCAACCTTTATAAACCCATAATAGAATCAGAGAATGAGTACATCATATGAACAGACTTCCTAGTAATTGCTCTAATCTAACCAGGTTCTCTCAGCCATCTAGACTCATTCCCCAAAACTGTAGACCACAAGAATGAAGATGAATCAAAAAAAGAAAAATTCTCGCAAAAGCAAATTTGAAAGGTCACACAACCACAAGTAGCATTGTAAAGATCAGCATTTTTCTTCCAAAAAATTTCTTTTCTTTGAATTATAGGTTAAATCTTGAAACCAGCAAGAGAAAGTATAAAAGAGAACGGAGGAGTACAAAAAGCCCCTCAAATTAAGAGTTAAAGATAATACAAGATGAAATAAAACACATTATATTGCAAATCACATCGACACAACAAAACATGATTGCTGCCTCAACAGAAACAACTAAGAACAAACAGGAATAACAGCTTTCATACCCACTAGCTCTAACATAACTGCTGCCTCAATAGAAGATAAAAATTTGTGGTTGTTAACCTCCATGTCTCCAACTTATATTAATTACCATGGAGGCACAAGGCAGTCCTTTTCACTTAGAACACATCAGAGTGCTAAAATAACCGATTTCTCAATGGCCCTGTGACCCACACTTTTATGCCAAGAAAAGGCAAGACGCAGATGATTTCCTAAAAGATACTCCAAGCTAACTAGGAAAAGAATATACTGAAATTTAAAACATTATACTCTATCTCCTACAAAAACACTTCTCAGATGAAATTTTTTGCCCTTCCAGTATCCCAATCTGAAGATTAAAGCAGCTCTATCTATCCCGTAAAGATACTTTAGTATCTCAACCAAAGACTCAACCCCACCATCCAACAACACCAAGATATAAATTTTGGGAAATTCAAAATCAAGGCAAGCATAGAAAGAGTTCCAATTCACACTACTCAAACACACCAGAACTCTACCCAAATTTCAATCACCCAGAAATTTTATTTCACATATGAATCAACTGCCCTATAACAAAGTCACTTCAGGAAAAGAGAGAAGAAACTATGAAGAAAAAAAATCTTTTCAACTCCATTTGTACAATTCATAACATCAAATTCCATGAAGAAAAAAAAATACAGCAAGTTACATAATTTCAGCCCAACATAAAAAGAAGATCGAGAAAGAGTAATAAGATGCAGAGGAGCAGAAACCAGAGCCAAATGAAAGATGGGTTACCTGATCAGAGGAGATTGGAGCAAAATGAAGAAGCAGAAGATGATGGGTTTTCCTTGTAGGAGCTTATGAATTATGATGGCAGTGCGGGGAAAGCATGGAAGTTCCAGTACAAGTTGATAGAAATGGAAAAGGCGTGCAGGACTGGAATTTTTGTTTTCTTTTTATACAAGTGCAGTCCAACGCCCGCCAGATGCCCATTTACTTGTGTGGACTTGCAGTTAGCAAACTATATCATTCTAATTTCTACTGGTTGGTTCTGTTTTTTTTTCCTTTTTTGGATAAAATTATCAATACTTACTTGCTAAGCATACAAAATTGAAATGACTTCCTAGTACTATGAGCTGGCCAATGAAAAATAAAGAAGTATTTTGACTGACCAATTAAGCAATGTTGGAGCTTAAAAATCAAGGCCTTCAACATTTTCATGCAAATAAACAAATTTAATGCAATTATCTTGTGGTAGGTAGCATGCAACTAACAAATTAAAACAAAATAAAATATCAATGCGTTTTTAACATTGTATTATATATATATATATATTAAATATTACAACGGATCCACTAGTGTAGTGATTTGGAGCAATTATTCCTTCTTCTAAGAAAGATTTTGGATTCGAATCTTAACATCTGTGTAGTATGTGTGAATTTAATATACTATCGTCCCTTTCAATACAAAAAGTCCTAAAAAAAATCATTTATTGAGAGGGTTGGTATATATATAATATAAGAACACATTAAAGACCTACCTGCATAATATCTTGGCTTAGACAATGGATTATATTTTCCCAGTTCTTCATATATATTGTATGTCCATTGTATAAGTCACTCCATTGAAATGGACTTGCAAATGTAAATTGTATGATGAATTGCTATCATCACTCACTTAATTTGTAGTCCTAGAAATACATTATTGAATCCTATATGAGCCTTAATTCAAGCGGCATGAGATGAGCGTAGGGTAGATAGAAATTTCTGGTTTTGGTGTCGACACTTATGAGGCGAGAAAATTATTGTATGCGTCGGTTATATATCATTATCCTAGAAACATACTACACGACAATGTGATTCACGTGAATATTATGAAACAAATGTTACATATAACCTACCCACATAAAGTTTGAGGACAAATGTTTGGTCATAAATTAATGTCCATATATTTTTCAGCAATTCAACTATTATACTTCAAATGAAGCCCATAACTATGTATGCCCAGTTCTCAAATGGGCCTATCAATACGACCAAACAAAGCCGAATACATATGACTTTGAAATAAAACATGTACAAGAAGCAGCATGTGAACAATGCCACGTGGTACCAATGAGAACCCCTACAGCCTTATCCCACATCAAAATCTAATCTTCCCATCATCCACTTCCCTGATCCAATATCCAAAAAATTAACCAACCATTTGCCTTCACATATCACACAAACAAACAACACACATCCAAAGCCAATTTTCCTCAGCACCACAACTCAACTTCCGCAAAACCAATCCCACTTCACTCAATACACAGACAAGAATCACAAAGAGAGTGAGTGAAAGGAAATGGCCTCAACTGCATGCTTTTTGCACCACCATGCACTCACTACAGCTTCTGCCAGGTCCTCCTCATCACAGCGCCAAGTGGTGAATGTCAAGCAGAACCAGATTGTGATCTGCAGGGCTCAGAAGCAGGCTGCCCAGGAAGAAGATGGCGCCGTTAACGTCTCCCGGAGATTGGCTCTCACAGTCCTCATTGGAGCTGCAGCCCTTGGCTCCAAGGTTTCCCCTGCTGATGCAGCTTATGGTGAATCCGGTAAGAAATGTCCTCTTGCCGAACAGTCTCAGTATGAATAATTATTTAGTATTGACAGTCTCGCAACATAACATACAAATTTAAGAAATATGGTAAAAATTGACAGTTTGACAACATAAACAACATGAGACGATCCATGTATAATACATTTATTCTTTTCCTCAATCAAATTGAACTTAAATTATGATTAAATGCATATGCAGCCAACGTTTTTGGAAAGCCAAAGACAAACACCGACTTCTTGCCATACGTTGGAGAAGGATTCAAGCTTTCGATTCCTGCAAAATGGAACCCAAGCAAAGAGGTTGAATACCCTGGTCAAGTTCTGAGATATGAGGACAACTTTGACACGACCAGCAACGTGGCTGTCACAATCACCCCGACCGATAAGAAATCTATCACTGACTATGGCTCTCCTGAGGAATTCCTCACCAAGGTGTGATAGCTTCTCCTTCTTTCCATTGACAATGCAATATATATATGTTTTCATTTCCTTCATCATTTAAATACTGCCAATTACTAACAATTTAGTTTTGATATATGTTGCTTTTTGTAGGTGGACTATTTGCTCGGCAAACAAGCCTACTTTGGCAAGACTGATTCTGAGGTATAATTTGCTATATAATACAGAGCACTAAGTGGTTTGAATAAATGAAATACTGAACACCATTTAACGGATAAAATTTGGTGACACTCAATAGAGAAGATAGCTTTTACCTGCAGCCATAAAAAGCATGGTTACTTTAGCAAATGCCGACTGCCTGACCTTGCAATATATATAACATCCATAGTGGTGGCAACTATGTGAATTCTGATGGTATTTGACTTTGAATTGGTATAGGGTGGTTTCGACTCCGGCGCTGTGGCCACGGCCAACATATTGGAATCTTCAAGTCAAGTGGTTGATGGGAAACCCTATTACTACTTGTCTGTGTTGACAAGGACAGCTGATGGAGATGAAGGTGGCAAGCACCAGCTCATCACAGCCACAGTGAAAGATGGCAAGCTTTACATCTGTAAGGCTCAAGCTGGAGACAAGAGGTGGTTCAAGGGAGCAAGGAAGTTTGTGGAGAGCTCTGCATCTTCCTTCAGTGTTGCCTAAGAATTTATTGAGGGTATATGTATATGTAAATCATCTTTATTGATTGTTGTTTTTTTGTTTCTTTTTTTTTTTTTCCATTTTCTCTTCTTTCTTTTTTATTTTTTTTTGTTTTTTTTATATATTGAGGGAACTGGTTGGAGTATCCTTTGACTCTTGAGCATATTGAAATATTTCATGGTATTCAGGACCCTCTTTAAATGAGTTTCTTATCTCTCTCTCTCTCTCTCTCTCGTGACTTCGGTCATTGTAATCCAACAAAGTTGAAGAGGAGGTCCAATTTTCTGGTTACTGTTTCCCAGTTCTAAGACAATAAAGAGAACAAATGAATGGTTAAAGTTTCAACCATCCTAGATGTTTTGTCCAACAATAATGCTTGCACAATTCAGACTTTAAGCTATGTTTGTATTATTGCTCCTCAAAATTGTCTTTGTGCATCTTTAAAATCCATACAATCTGAGCATTGAGGTTCTTCAAGCGCTGTTATCATACAGGAAAAGCAAACTCCTAACAAAAGGATCGGAAGAATTGACAAGTTGGGAAGCAAGCAGAAAGGTTTTACTGCGATATTCAGAAGCCAACTAAAACCTCGAGAATTCTTTAAGGTACTCAGGGCATCTCCAATGGGGATGTAAAGCCACATTTACAATGAAAAAAGAATCTAAAGAGCTTCAGAACAGTTTTGGATAAACCAGTCAACTATTGCTCAAATCGATAAAGGATGCCCCTAATGACCAAAGCTTCATGGTTTACAGGCTTATTTAAACATGAAAAGCAAGCAATAAAATAAATCAAACGTAGCTCTATTGGAGAGGAAACTTGCATCACTAGTTTATCCCATTCAATTTGGGTTGGCTCCATAGCATTTTTCCTTGTATTTAAGTACTTACCTGAAAAAAAAACCACTAGTCCTAACCGGCTTATCAAGTACAAGTCAACTTTCTCATGCACAAAAGTTCAAAAATTGATTCAAAGAAAAAGAATGAACATATTATAAATGAAATAGTAGATTTATTATAGATACTTGCTGCACAATCCACATGCTTGTTTGACATGAATGTCTGATTTTGACGATGATAAGGTATTTACATAAAAGCAATGGTCAGAGAAATTATAACCAGCAATTTGCTTTTCAAGTCTTTTTCAAGTTCCCCCATTGCAATAATGGACGCCATTGCTGTGTGCATCCCTGTGTTTCACTTTTAGCTCCTTTAGGCCCCATATTCGAATTGTACGGTCATCACTGGCTGAGGCTAACATGTGTGTGTTTGTTGGATTCCAGCTGACACAATTAACAGCTCCAGAATGACCCGGCAATGCCTCTATGAGCTCCCCTGATCCTCTATGCCATACGTAAACCTGCACAGTGAAAACCATCAATTAGCACAGCGAAAGGGAAATGACAACCAAATTCTCATTTTACAACTAATAGCAATATAGCATAAATGTACTGAATCCAATTCTTCTGTGTGATGTCCTCTTAATCCCATTGATCACATTGACCTCACTGTACAGCGACAGTCCAGGATGATACACAACAATATCAAGACAATGTATTAAACTAAAAAGTTCTATGTCTGCCATTTTGGTTAACCTCCACACCCTGGCAGCAAGCAACTAAAGGAGTTCAACCCTAAAATTAAAACAATGCATAACAAAGTAAAAAATAAACAAGAAGCCAGTTTCATATGCCATTAATGAAACTGCATCAACTACATTCTAGTTATCCAACATTGAATCTAAATGGGAATATATTGGAGCTATATCCCGCAACCCCACCCCCTTCACACAGAAAAAATCACAGCAGAAAACATACAGGAACTAATAACAGATTTAAATACGAAATGAGTATCTGCCTCCTAAATGATTTGTCCAGACATAAGCCTTATGCTTAATCACAAGAAACACAAGCAAAAAGAAGAGGCCTCAGAAGGAAGAAACCAAATTCTTTACCTGTGAATCCTCACTACCACTAGCGATGAAAGCTTGTTCAAGTCCACCAAAACAAGACCTGATAACAAATCGGGTGCGTTTGTGACCTTTGTACTTAGCAACAAGCTTGATTTCACCTTCTATGCTCCAGAGATGGATTTCTTGGTTCAGAAGATTAACCAACAAGAACCTATTATCTCTTGATAATGAAAAAGAAGTTATAGTTTGATCCTCTTCAATCAATATCTCAACTTTGGCTTCCCTGTCAAGTAGTAATATAGCATTATCTCTACAAGTACTTATAATTTGCTTCCCATCACTGGTTATCTCCAAATCAGAGATTCGTAAAGTTCGTTGGCCTTTCCAGCACTCCAGCTCCTTCCCATCTAACTCCCACATGCAGATACTCTTGTCACTGACACCAGAGAATATCCATTTTCCATCTGGAAACCATCCACAGGACACCAGACCAAGACCAGGTTTTTCATAAACATGGAGGCATTCACCAGAAGAAACATCCCAACGCCTGACCACCTCCTCCACTCCACAGGTGAGGAGCTGATGGTCATCAGGACTCCATGAAACTATGGAAACAGGTTTCTGGTGACCAGATAGTCTATGCTTTAAAGAAACACAACCATTCACATCAACCTATACCCAACAAGAAAATGATCAGGGTATAAAAATCTAGGATAATAGGATCAAAATAAAAAAATAAAAAAAGGCATTGCATATCATTAAATAAGAATTTCATGCAGAGCTCTCCAATCTAATTCCAACCCAACTGCTATTTTCTTATAAAAAATTTGTATTGCAAGTTGCAACAATAGAACAACAGGTAACTATTGGTCCACCTGTCAACCATGCATGCACATGGGATTGTATTCCAAGCTGGCTCAGCTCAGAACCAGTGGCTTGAGCTGAGCTGGGCTGGGCTGGGCTGGGCTGTGCTCAGACATGGTATTGAGCCTAGATTTGAGTGCCAAGCTCAGCCAAGTTAAGCTAAAAGTATGATGAAAACTGATCGTATTTGATATGAATTCCTAGTAATTTTCTTCTTCTTTTGCACAACATATCTATAAATGAGTATACAAATCATTATTTCACCTCCATTAGTCCCAAAAGGGTCATCTAAGGCTGCAGATACACACACAAACAATAACAAAGTCCGGAGGACTGGAAAAGAATGGGGAAGATGAAAACCAGTTATAGCGCTGAAATATTCCATGCATTTTCAAAATAATTTGCATTAGGGCACTACATAATGAGAACATATATTTGATATCTCGTGAAAAACTAGCAACAGAGAAAGCAAAAGCGCCAACAGAGATGGAAGGCCAACATGGGAACTGCAATACAAACATTAGATGTGAAGAAGAGGAGGCAGCAATAATTGATAGATTTATACTGAAGATGCCCATTTATAGATGCACGCAGATACATAGGTAGAAATCAAATTTGACACATTGCATCAACAATGAAAAATATAAAGTGGAGAAGAGGGCAGCATACGCAAGATTAAGAGATAGTTCCACATAGTATTGATGTTACCTCCCATATGATTGCTAATCGATCACTTGATGATGAAGCTAAGTACTTCCCATTGTGTGAAAATTGCAGAAACCAGACTTCGTCACTGTGTGCTTGTAATATCTGCAAAATTGAAAGTGATAAGAAAGGTTTAAAACCAAGATCTGACTAATATGTATGTAAAACCAGATTCAAAGTGCCCTTTATAAATGTAAGAATGGGAAATCTAGACAAGGTAAATAACATATGTACAACAAACACATAATAAAAGAGTAACCAGAGAGAGAGATTAGACAATTGTCATTGACATAACAAATTAACAAAACACAGAAAAGATAACAAGGGGATTCAAATTACGAGAGATGGTACTAACGTAGACAGCAAAAAAGAAAGTGAAGTCAACAACGATGGAATCAGACATAGATTAAGCTCCGCAAGACCTTGGTCAGTATCTCCCTCCACACATTAACTCAGACAAGAGCACACTTAACAAGGATGCTTGGAAATGGCAATATACCATTCTCAATGCTGATAATAACAGCAAAGATTTAGAGACAGGAAGTAGCCAAGAAACAAGGACCCTTGATATTTAAAGTGTTATAAGTAACGAAAGGACAATACAATGCCACAAAGACTTGAATTTCGTGTTCTATCAAATTTTAGAGGCTTATGAATTGTAAGCTGAACCACACTGGTTACTCTTTGCCTGATGAGAACATATTATCTAACACTAGTTTTTCCAAAGAGGGCTATCAAGTTCCACATGTCCAATCTGGTCAATTAATTGTACTGCTTTGCCTCCTCCATACAAATCCTACACTTAGATGAACAACTACTTACCCTAGTATTATTTTTTGAATTTGAAACTCTCCACAGACATGTGGAGGGTTATGAACAGCAGCCTTCTTGAATCACTTGCTCACTTTAATTAATTTCTGATAAACTCCTTGGTTTATTTTTCACGTCAAACTAATTAGAAGGACTAAAAGAACAAGACTGGGAAAAACCATTTTAACAGGCTAGTCTCTTCTCACGGGGTCCATAAAACCCCTGATAACCAAGACTGAGTACTATAATCTTAGCTTACCCTAAAGTGACACATTCACTGTTATTACTCAACTTCAGAGTTTAAGATGCGATACCTCATATGACAACAAATAATGAACATGATTTTCATACATCGTATGAAATAGGACCAAATAAGTAAATCAATAAGTATACAAAGCTCTAATTAGAGCTTCAACCATTAATCAGATTTTTTTTTACCAACCTGTAATGTTCGAGAAGGAATCTGATCTCTCCCACATCGATGATCAGTGTACAAAGACATTTCCTCGTTCAAGGAGTTGTGAAAAATGCAAGCATCACGTTGTAAGACTAGGGCCTGTTCAACCAAATGTTCCAACCGTCTTTCAAGTATCATAACTGTTGGGGGAAGCAGTTTCTGCAAGTCTTCCAGTAACTTTGGCCGAGACTTGGCCCTTGCAATGTTTTTACCAGGAGTCCCACCAAATGAAGGCGAAACTATGCAGGAAGAAAGCTCACGAACTCTACTACCATTGATGCAGAGAGGTACAATCTCAGTCCTCAATGTCTTCAGTGCATCCATGTCTTTTTCGTCATCTAGAAGTTCAAAGAACTTCTGCTCCAATATCATAAAGGAGGCCGATTTAGTAACGTTTTCATCTGATAGACCAATTTTTTGCAATGTGTCGACACTTCCATCCCAATTTCCGTCCAGAATTTGCTGCATAAAAAGAGTTACCACAGAAGAGTGCAACGGTATCCCAGACTCTTCTTCCAAATGAGCACCACTTTTCTTATAGCCAAGAGAATATAGTGCCTTTGCTATTAGTCGGACAAATTCCACCCTCTTAATAACTCCTTTTGAACCAACAACCTCTTCGTCCCCTTCAGATGTTAGGGGCCGAGCCATCAAGTCTCTTGAAGAGCCAGCTACAGGCTCTGTAATAGATGAACCGTTGGATAGACCTCTCAATTGTCCAGGGGATAATTTCATGCGTTTTGTGGCTGGTTCTTCATCTCCCACACCTCCCATGAAATGTGCACCTCAGCCCATATATTATTACAGCGGTAGGAAAACAAGAAGCAGATATTTTCAAAGTTCTAACAGCCTCCAGTTAGTCACAAGAAACAAACACCTGCATAATACAGTAAAAATGGTAATGAATGTCTTAAAGCTTGACTCCATCAATCACATCATCAAAATCTCTAAATAGAGTACACAAAAGTAAGAACCCAATCATACAAAACCTACCAAGATATTCCAGTGAAACGAAGATGGGGTGGGAAAGTAAGATTATAATTAAACCGAAGCTGAATTCTAAAAGTAATTTAAGGTTACACTTTCAGCATTTCCCAACTGAATCAAGATTGGAGGAGGATCAGCAATAATTCCAGTTTAGGCAATGGATTATGATTATCCAAAACATTTTCACAAAAGGAACCAATCTTTCAAATTGCTCGAGCAAAGGCCCTGAATGAAACTTCATACAAGATGAAGTTAATAAGATGAAAATACCTTCTACATATAGCATTAAAAATCTCTTTACAAAACTGATTGTAACCAGAAGCCGTATAATATTTTTTTTTTGGTTGTGACCAAAAAATTGCAATTTCTGCAAGTCCATTCAATGACTTCAAGGTTGAGAAACTCCATCATTAAACAAAAGTGTTAAAGATAAATGGCAAAGGAGTCAATAATTGACTGATCCACAATGTACATCAATCACCAAATTATTTATACCATGAATCATGAAGAGCTTAAAAGAAACATACTAAACTGATGATATACCATTTAAGCAAACAGAATTAGTCTTATTTCAGTCCATAACATGCTCAAGAAATGCTAACATTTACCAAGAAGGGAAGACAACGATTTCAACACCTAAAAACAAATCCCTGGGGATAATAGATCAAAACCCACATCAGGAACAATCAAAAGTAGAAGAATCCCACTATAGTAAGCAATCAAAACAAACCAAAACATGAAATCTGACCTCGAAAAATAACAATGAGAAAACATGTGAACAGATAAAAACCATATTGAACACCAAAACAAACACCCAAACAAGAACGTTCAGCAAGAAATGAGAACCAACCAAGAGGATAGAAGCCGTCACAAGATTTGCCCAAATTTAGAGGTAGGTAATAAACAAGCAAAATCCAGGGTACCCAGAAACCGATTTCGCTTTGGGAACCGATTCCGATCAAAAGGAAATGAACCCAACACAGGAACAGGTTGAGAATTCAACAATCAATGATGGGTATGAGGAAGAATAGGGGACCAAAGCATCCAAAACAAGGACTTGCTTTTTTCTCATTTGTCGGCACATTAAAAGTAATATAGGTAAGCAAGCAGCAGATTAAGGTGATAGATAATATGAGAAAATTTCGTGAAATCCAAAAAAGCGAAAGAAAAAAAAAGAAATAGCAGATTGCAAATTACAATCAATGCCCAATGGGTTATTGTATATTGGGTAGAGGCTATGTATTTTCAAGGAATGAATAAAGTATCAGGTACCTTTGTCGTATAACACACTGAGTTTCTCTTTTGCGTGGAGGAAACCAACTCAATGGGGTTATATAGAGGGGAGAGAGAGAGAGAGAGAGAGAGAGAGGGTCAGAGAGAGATGAGTCTTGTAAGTTCTCCTCTCTACTTGTACTGGCCAGGGGCTGGGGCTTCAGTCTTCGCATTAGGCTTTTGCCTACCACAACATTTGCTGGCTTGGTTGGCTGTTCACATTTGGGCCAATGTTGGCTCACTTCCTGTAAGTTGGGCTGGGCTTAGTTTAATATCTACACCTATTTTTCACTTCCTGTAAGTTGGGGGTTTTACAACTGTCAAGCTGTTATAGAGGTTCGAATATGAAACTACTGATCTGCACGTCAATGTCTATTTTCACTAAACTAGACCCGTTAACATGTAGATATATAATATATAAACTAGGATTTTCATCATATATATATTTTTAATTGTTTTGTTTTAATTGAGTCTGCACACATTTGTGAATTCCATTGAGATCACATTTTCAATAGAAGTGGAACATACTTAATAAGGAGTTTTATCTCTGATGAAATGTCATTTGAAATATTATAGACACCAACGGATGGAATAGTGTTTTACTTGTTTTTATTCTGAGAATATTGTAGACTTTATTTATTGAGAAATTATATTTCTCTTAATTTTGTTAAAATATGGCCAAATTCAAATCATGCTCGCTAATTATTATTTTTTAAAATTTAAAAAAAAAACTAAAAGAACAAAAAAAACAAAAAGCAAAAAAAAACAAATTGGAAGTGTAAACATGATGGAGGGTTAACTTAGCGGCGCGGGCACCGCTATACATATGCCAAGCATAAAAAAGCATATGCGGAGGAAGGGCAAAGGCCAAGGGTAATTTACGAAACACATAGCAGAACTGAAAACTCCATTTTCATAGCAGACGCCAACTATTCAGGGTAGAGGAGAGCCAGACCCAAATCTTCGACAACTCCACTGAATCTCGTCTTCTTCTTCTTCAAAGCTTTACATTCCTCTGGGCGCCAACAGCTGCTTCAGATTCGGAATTTAACGAACAGACAAAAGGGAAGAGGACCAGAGCCAAAGGAAGAAGCAATAGACATGGCGAAGAAGAACAGAGGCGGCCAACAACAAAACGATAAAGTTACAGAAAGCATGAGGTCCCGAATAGCTCAATTACTCTCCCGCTTCAATTCTGCTGATGACGAAGGTGAAGTGTTTGAATAAAGTCATGGCTTAAACTGGGTGCTAATGAAATTTAATACTTTAATGCGATCTGAATCCATGTTTGCTTCCTTTTTATTTTGTCCGGAGGAGGGTTTCAGGGACTTGCTTGGTATTTGATGCGAATTTAAAAGGACCAAGCATTTGATTTTGTTTAATTTTTCACATTGTATGAATGGTTTTTTTTAACAATATCGTAATCTGCCTGCAGTTTACACATTTGAGGCCGGTCTCTCGAACCATGACCGTGCTGAAGTGCATCAACAATGCAGGAAAATGGGTATGAAATCCAAGAGTAAAGGGTGAGTGCTGGTAGTTATGTCTTGTTGATAGTGACCAAAATGTTGCATATTTTAATTTAAGAGAAGCTTACATGCTTCCATATTTTTGGGAACCAAAACAAAAGAGGAAAATTTCAGTTTTCTTATCTGCACAGTTTTTTATTATTTAAAAACTGATGATAAACCTGAACTCTGTGTAGGAGTGGGAAAAAACGTGTTGTGTCTGTTTATAAACCTAAAAAGAAGGCTGCAGCTGTTGATGGTATTCCAAAGCTCACTCATCTGACATTTTCCGAAGGCACAAAAGAAGTATTGAGGGACTTGTTCATCCGTTACCCACCCGGTGATGAAGTGGAGGGCAGAGAAATGTATGGGACAAATAGTAATGAGAATGTGAAGGCCAAGCGGAAGAAAGACAGTATGTTTTGCAAGCCTTTGATGACCAAGGCAGAAATTGCAAAGAAAGTGCAATCACTTGCTTCTAGAATAAAGGATTCCGATAAATTGAGAAAGGTTCTTCTGATTTAACAGACGATGCACCTCTATTATCATCTACATCATTTTAAGTCATAGTTTTTGCATAATAATAGTCTCAGCATGACAGGTTTCTGTGAATTTATGCGTGCAGATCACCAAAGAGAAGTCTAAGCTTCCAATTACATCCTACAGGGATGTCATTACATCAGCAGTTGAATCTCATCAGGTTAATTTTAACATTCACATGATTGGTGCTTGAAATTATTAGCTAGTTGTTCACGCAGCAGATCACATTATGTGTGATATTATTTTTGAAATTTCCTAGTATCAGTTAGATATGTGATGTGTCCTTATCTCACCATGGTGGGGTCTGTTACTCGTTACTAGAAACTCTGTTTTGCTACTTCATTGAACCGTTGTTTGAATTGAATGGATTCCTACTCAACTTCGGGGACTTATTGTTAATCTCCTATTTGAAAGCAGGTAATTCTTATATCTGGTGAGACTGGGTGCGGAAAGACCACACAGGTTATGATTTCTTTGCTTTGTCTTCTTTATGGTATATTTATAATAAGTTGTCTGGTTCTGTTTCAAAAGAAGTCCATTTAATTTATTTTGTTCTTTATATGGCAACATCTTTTTTTCCTTCCCTTGGTCTTGATAGTGACGTAAGTTGCATGGATATCATTTTCTATACTGTTAACATATTCTGGTTGATTTTACGTTTTAAAAACCTGCCCACATAGGAAATTTGGTACCTTTACTTGCAAACTTCTATACGGAGCCCTGTGCATGTCACTTTTTGGATTTAAAAAAATTACAAAAGAAGGGAGAGCATGGAGTATCAAGACTTGAACTGATCTTGCATATTTGTGGACATGCATGTTCAAGAGTGCAATATCATTGTTATAATTGGGAGTTATGAATCTTGATTAGTTTTTGATACTCATTAGATTATTTGTTTTTTATGATAAGCTTCATTAGTCAGCTTGTGTTCATCAGTCATTTCAGGATGTATATGACATGCTTTTAACATTTCTTGATGTTTTCTTTGCACTGTGGACTAGTTTTTCCTGCTTATGCATAGCATTAATCTTTTAAAACTAGACTTAATATTATTACTTTCTGTAACTATGTTTGATAATGTTCTCTTTTTGAAAAATATGATTCAGGTCCCACAGTTTATTTTGGACCATATGTGGGGTAAGGGGGAGGCATGTAAAATAGCGTGCACTCAACCTCGACGTATCTCAGCTGCATCAGGTTGACACTCTTCTTTCTGCATACAAAACTTTTAGGCCCCCATTATTTATTTGATTTTTTCTTTACTCATTGTAAACTCCAAATTATTAAATCCTCGGTATTTTTGTGTCCAGTTGCCGAGAGAATCTCTAAGGAAAGAGGACAAAATGTTGGAGAGGATATTGGATACAAGGTAATGTTGGTCATGAGTTGTCTTGATGTGTAGTTTGTATTTTATCATATCAATGACCATTCTGTCATACACTGTTGTTAGAAGCAGCGTTATAGGTAACTTCTTTGTATTTAATATAGGTCTATGTACCAGACATGACTGTCGTTAGGGGCGAAGAAGCTCCTGTTTTGCAATTCAATAATTAGTAGTCTGGGAAATTTGAACTAATCAATCTTTGTAACTGGAAAAAAGACAGAATATTGTTCATTTTACAACTCATGTGCAGGAATTGTTGTGGTTATTTTTGTTGGATGCTTTTAGTTGGTCTAATTTTCAATATGAAATATAGTATATTGGTCACAGCTAAGTTGGTTACATCATTTTCAGTTATACCGTAATTATATTCTCAGGGTTTGCTAGATCAAACCAGGAAAGTTAATTTGCTTGTGATTATACATTTACAGAAGGTGTGCGTAGTCTCAATAGGATTCCAAGTCCTATGTATCTTGTCAATATTATTGTAACTTGTGAGAAACTAATTTATATATTCTTTTGGCGATGCTAGATTCGGTTGGAAAATCGAGGTGGCAGGCACTCATCAATTGTGCTCTGCACAAATGGGATTCTGTTGAGGTTGTTAGTGTCCAGAGGCGCTGGTAGATCAAAAGCAGGTGACTCAAACAAAGAAACCAAGCAAGATGTCAATGACATAACTCACATTATTGTGGTACTTGTACTTTCTTCATTGGGAATCTTCAATTTCTTTCTGGAATCTGTATTAGGATTAGATTATAGGGCTGGAGGGTTTATATGTGCATTCATTTGTTCAAGTCCTTATCTTGTAGGCATATGTTTTGGAGCTTTTTTTTCTTGAGACCAGTTTAAACATATGCTCTCGTTTATGCTTCCTTGTTTCTGTTGTCATGGATTACAATTGCAATGAACGCTTTTCTCTCTATAGGATGAAATTCATGAAAGGGATCACCACTCAGATTTTATGCTGGCAATTATAAGGTATATACTACACATTGATTTATCGTCATTAAGTTGTTTGCTTGTGTTAATAAACCCGGATGTGTATATAATTTTGGTTTGATTTGGAGCTCAAATTAGAGTAACTTAAATTTGGGGAATGCCAAGTATGAAGAGTAATCAATACTAGTTTGAGTGAAATGTTACTGTGTAATAATGTGGATAATAGTTTGAGCTGAATTGTTGCTGTGTATTATAGTTTATTGGTGATGCAAATGAAATGTCAGAATGCATGTTTATCAATAATGAATTTTCGAGTCTGATTTTGGTTTGTTCACGGAATTTTGTTTTTGTGTGATTAATGTGCAGAGACATGCTTTCTTCACACCCTCATCTACGTCTGGTTAGTTCAAACATGTCTTCTATTTCTGTCATTCTTAGGATATTAGTACATTACCCTTTTTTCTGGAGCTTATATTAATTGATGATCTGCGTCTGTTTATGATACTTATTGTAACAGATACTGATGAGTGCAACTGTTGATGCTGAACGGTTTTCACATTATTTTGGTGGATGCCCAATTATCCGTGTCCCTGGGTTCACTTATCCTGTAAAAACTCTTCCTCAGATAGTGACTTGTCAATTTGTCTAAAGAAAGATGGTGATTTGTTAGTTGTTTATATTATGCTGCTTTCGTTTTAATGCCGTGGTATTATCCTTTATCAGGTCAAAACTTTCTATTTGGAGGATGTACTTTCTATCCTGAAATCTGTAGAAAATAATCACCTTAATACTGCAGTAGGTTTACAGAATGAAGATCCTGACTTAACACAGGAATTGAAGCTTGTTCTAGATGAAGCTATTAATCTGGCTTGGTCTAATGATGAGTTTGATCCCCTTCTAGAGTTGACTTCTTCTGAAAGAACTCGCAAAGTCTTTAATTACCAGCATTCTTTAACCGGACTTACGCCGTTAATGGTGTTTGCTGGAAAGGGTAGAACAGGAGATGTTTGCATGCTGCTATCTTTTGGTGCGGACTGCCAATTACAGGCCAATGATGGAGCAACTGCATTGGAGTTGGCTCAACGGGAAGAGCAGCGAGAAACTGCTGATATATTGAAAGAGCATATTGAAAATGCTCTATCTAAGTCTATGAAAGAACAACTGTTAATGGATAGATATCTCCAATATTTTAATCCTGAAAATGTTGATTTTGTTCTTATTGAGCAATTATTAAGGAAAATTTGTAGTGATTCAAAAGATGGAGCCATCCTTGTGTTCCTTCCAGGGTGGGATGATATTAAAAAAACCCAGGAGAGATTACTCATGAACCCGTATTTCAGAAATACTTCTAAGGTTTTGATAATATCTCTACATTCGATGGTTCCATCTGCTGACCAAAAGATGGTCTTCAAACGCCCCCATCCTGGTTGCCGTAAAATTGTTCTTTCAACTAATATGGCTGAAACTGCCATCACCATTGATGATGTCGTTTATGTTATTGATAGTGGCCGGATGAAAGAAAAAAATTATGATCCTTTCAATAATGTATCAAGTCTTCAATCTTCTTGGGTGTCAAAAGCGAGTGCCAAGCAACGACGGGGCCGTGCTGGTCGTTGTCAGCCTGGAATCTGTTATCATCTTTATTCTAAAGTTCGAGCAGCTTCATTGCCAGATTTTCAGGTGCCTGAGATTAGGAGAATGCCAATTGAAGGGCTTTGCCTGCAGGTATGCCTTTCTCCACATTTCTTAAACCTCTTTGAATCATGAGAGAGATTGCATTGCTGTAAATCTATCGCATTGTTTATCCGTTCTCAGTTACTGGGGTCATATGTTCATCTATCTGTTACTGTCTGTGGAAACTTTGTTTGAGACAAAGAATTTGCCCCAAGAAACAAATTATTGCATTGTTGCCCTGTTAATCTGTTAAAGTTTCCAGTAGTCATGACTCCCTTTCTCCTCCTCCTCCTCCTCTCCCTTCCCCGAAAATAACCCACCTTCCACAGAAAAAATGTAACATTATTTGGGCATATACTATTTTCTGGGAACTAAAGAAATTAGCGAAATGACGCGTTGTTGTGTGATCATAAATAAGCAATGATAAAAGATAACATTAGCATGTTGACATGTCACAGGTCGGTGGGACGTATTGCAATTGTTTAGTTATGGCTACTGTCATTTTGTTTTGTTTTCATCCTGCGTTCATCATGTTGTTGGAAATATGCACACGCAGAAGTTGCCTATAGGGACGTGTATTCTTATTCCAAAATGAACTGCATTATACCTGGTACTAATATTCCGACAAATAAGAGAAGAGGTGTTGTTTCCATTAGATGAGTTTTTCTGATCTAATGAGTGTTTTTGGATACTTTGTGATCTACTAGCGTGTTTTTGGATACTTTGTGATCTACTAGTGTGTTTTTGGAGTATAATGAGTTTTTGTGATCTATTAAAACTTTTCAAGATTTTATTTCTGATTGACAGGTGAAGTTACTTGATCCAGATTGCAATATAGAAGATTTCTTGATTAAGACATTGGATCCTCCACTTTCCGAGACCATACACAATGCAGTTGCTGTTCTTCAAGATATTGGGGCTTTGTCACTTGATGAGAAACTTACAGTACTTGGGGAGAAGCTAGGTTCTCTACCTGTTCATCCATTGACGAGCAAGATGCTTTTCTTTTCTATACTGATGAACTGTCTTGACCCAGCTTTGACTCTGGCATGTGCTACTGACTTCAAGGATCCATTTTCCCTGCCTATGTTACCTGATGATAAGAAGAGAGCCGCTGCTGCTAAATATGAACTTGCTTCATTGTATGGTGGGCATAGTGATCAGCTAGCAGTCATAGCAGCATTTGACATATGGAAGACTGCTAAACAACGAGGTCAAGAGAGTATGTTCTGTTCTCAATACTTTGTGTCTTCAAGTACGATGCATATGCTATCTCGTATGCGCAAGCAGCTCCAGACAGAGCTAATTCGGCATGGTTTTATTCCTGAGGATGTATCAAGATGTAGCTTGAATGCACGTAACCCAGGAATACTCCGTGCTGTTCTCGTGGCCGGTTTATATCCAATGGTGGGGAGATTGGTTCCTGCTCGCAAGAAGATGAAACGATCTGTTGTAGAAACTCCTAATGGGGTTAAAGTTTGTTTAAACAACCACTCTATGAATTATAAGTTAGCTTTCAAGGTTAACAGTGATGATCGTCCATTGATTATGTTTGATGAGATAACCCGTGGGGATTCGGGTGTGATGAACATACGGAACTGTACTGTTATTGGGCCACTTCCGTTACTATTTCTTTCTACAGAAATTTCTGTTGCTCCATCTAACAAGGATGATGATGATGGTTACATTGATGAGGGGAGTGATATGGATGACAATGAGGATGAAAGTGATGAAGATGCAATGGAGATAGACGGTAAGTCAGGTGGACAACACAAGGAGAAAATTATGTCATCTCCTGATAATTCAGTCACAGTTATAGTGGATCGGTGGCTTCAGTTTGGGTCAAAAGCTCTGGACGTTGCTCAGATCTACTGCTTGAGAGAACGTTTATCTGCAGCAATCTTATTCAAAGTACTTTCTTTGTTCGTACTTTTACAGCTGTTTTTGCATTGATATTTGCAGTACAACACAATAGTTCATTTATATCCTGAAACCCTGTAGATTACCATTTTATCTGAGTTTATGTTTTACCATTTTGTAGGTTACACATCCAAGGAAAGTTTTGCCTCCTGGTCTTGGGGCCTCAGTTTATGCTATAGCCTGTGCTCTATCATATGATGGTCTAACTGGGATCTCATTTCCAAAGGAATCCGAGGAGTCTCTGACTTCGGTGGAAAATGAAACTGTGACCGATGACCCTGTTGCGCCCCTTCAGGATTGCTACTTACACAAATCGATTATGTGCGATATGTTAAGGGATGATGCACGGGGAAGCAATGACACAAATGAAATGCACTGTTACTTCCTCAGATCGTGTACTCCTCCCGTCAATGGGGCAGCAAAGTCGAGTGACCCGTTAAGTCACAGTATCCAGAAGCCTCTATCACAAGGCACGGGTAGACCTGCTGCTAATGGAGCAGTACGGTTTTATGTGATAGGAAATGGGGCAGCAAAGTTGAGTGACCCATCAAGTCACAGTGTTCAACCACCGCTTGATTCTGCTCCCATCACCGCTCACCAGAAGCCTCCATCACAAGGTCCAAATTTAGTTGGTAACGGTTCTAGCACTGATGCATCAGATGGTCCAAGGGGAGAGTCGCCACTGAAGAGGAAGAAGCGTAGGAATAGGGGTAGAGAACAATCATCTTGAATGGGATCTAACTGTATGTTGTAGGCTGTTAGATTGGGGTAAGCTGGTCGTGTCAAGTTTTCTAGAAAGAAGGAATATGTATGTCTTCAACACAATGATCTTTTCAATTTCCCAGACTGTAATCCTCCTATGAATGCCAGCGAAGTCGCATGAATGAAGAAGAGACAAGAGGATTGCATCTGAAATTCATCCTAGCTTTTGATTTTGCTGTCACAAGACCAAGCAAAGCTGAAACCATCTTTGGTTTCAGAAACAATTCTGGTAAGCTCATATCAGTAACAAACCAAAAGTGAAAATCTAGGTATACGTATTTCTATCAGATCAGATGTGTTATTGTCTCCCTTAAGATGTTTATTCTTTAGTAATCGCTTCCATTGTTTTTTTAATATTTGATGAAACTATTGTGACAAGATACAAGATGGAACTTTGCATAATCGTTCGGCCCCCATGCATGGACTTCACCAATATACAAGGACTGAACACAAACTACGCGCTTCTGTCATAAGCGCTTTTAACAAAAGCTCAAAAGCGCTTTTGGGTATCTGAAACCAGTGTTTTGAAAATGACATGGTCAAATTTTGGTTGTTCTTATCTTCCTCTTTCAACTTTCCTATTAGATTAAGCCACTTGTCATTGATCAAATCATCAAAACACAATCATAATCCACTGCAACAAAACAACAAAATGAAACTGCAACTACATTATTAACCTTATCACTAAGCATGTGAAAAAGACGAGGGAAGGCCCAAAAATAAATAAAAAATTAGGATGACCTTAAGTACTAAGCTTTGTCCCATTAGGTAGGCCCCACCATATCAAAATAAGAACAACCCCCAAGCACTCAAATTTACCTCCCTTTTTCAGAGACTGTAAGAGATGGCCAGACAAGAAGAAGAAGATAAAGGTAGAATTCAATTGTTGATAGCAATGAAGGGCCATCCAGGCACAGGCAAAACCACCTTAGCCAATTCCTTAGCCTCAACTCTCAAACTCCCTCTCTTAGACAAAGACGACGTGCGCGACAAACTCCAGAGTCTCCAAGCCTCCTCCTCCTCTTCCGCGTCTTCCGTACTAAACGACGCGTCGAACCGCGTCATCTGGCAGATCGCGGCCACCCAGCTACGCCTGGGCCTCAGCGTCATCGTGGACTCGCCCCTCTCCCGTAGGGCCCACTTCGAGTACCTGGCCCAGTTGGCGTCGTCTAGTGGGGCCCGCCTCTTGATTGTGGAGTGTAGGCCCAAGGATGAGGCGGAGTGGCGCCGAAGGCTCGAGCGCCGCGCTGAGGATGGTGGAGGGCCGGGCTGGCACAAGCCGTCCACGTGGCGGGATATGCAGAGGCTATTGGACGGGTACGGTGGGTGCACGGAGTACGATGTGGGCGATGTACCCAAGCTGGTGGTGGATACTACGGCGGCTTTTGAAGTCGAGGAGCTTGTCTCCAGTGTGGTCGAGTTTATCGAAATTCACAGCCACAGGGGTCGGCGAATGACATCTGTCCACCAAGGACTAAATATTATGGATTAAAATATAAAAAAACAATTTGCATCTCAAAATATGTACAGCATTTTTCCTTTTGTCTAATGTCACCCATTACCATGCTTAGAAAAAATAATATTCTAAACTCTTTTAATTCACAAAAAGAGAGATTCGAATTCCAGTACAATTTTTTTTTAGTACATATTGAATTATAACTAAGAAAAAAGTCTTTTTCTTTCACGAGACATCATTTTGACGTTTCTTAGGTTAACATCAGTTTGTGTTATTGCCTAAAATCATTTTGAAATAGACCGAAGTGATAAAGTAGTAAATTAGTAACATTTCTTTTGGGAAATTACAAAATCAACAGTTCTGTAATTGATGTAACATTCCAAATAATATAAAATGACTTATGAATAAACATTTTATGATTGGTTAGAAAAGACTTTTCCTTTAATTGATTTCAAACCAACGTCATATAATTTTGTTTTTCATAATAATAAAACAAATAATATTCATGGTTGTTAATATAACACGGCAGAGTAGCCGCCGAGCGGGAACCAAAGCTTGATAATAGAGGTTTTCATGCAACGAGAAGTCAAGTCAACTCAAGGGCCAATGGAGGGAGGCAATCCTTGTCCAACTGTCTTTCTTTCCCTACAACAACGTAAATTTATTAAAATATTCTTAAATGTTCTTCATAAGATAAATTAATCTTAATCATCACATAAATCTTTGGTGCTGACATATATTTTTTGTCATTAACAATAACATGTTGAGTTTGCACTTTGTCCTGTTACTTGAACAGTCAACCAATTCTGCTGACCAGTAAGATTCACAAGACAAGCCACTTCATCCAGCCCTTGAGAAGTGCGGCTTTTTCCTTCCCATATTCCTTTCAAGACCCTCAACTCAATCTTCTTCGAAGCTTCAAAGTCCTGTCTTGTTCAAAATCTTGTTGATTTTCAAGAGCATATCAAAGCCTGGAGCTTTTCCTGGTCAACTGTCAGGTCTTTGCGTTTCTCTTCTTGTTTAAGCTTCACCATCTGCAGCTGTTGCTTCATTTATACTCGAGCTACTTCAAAAGGGTGTCTTTGTATGCAATCTTGATCCTTTTCTCTTTGAGCTTTTCTCAGTCTTTTGAGGGTTTTAGTTCATATTTTGTTCACTATTGACTGCTCCGAGCTTTAGATTTGATGGGGCTGATGATGGCTTATGAAGATTCAAGACGTATCTATACCAGGACATGAAGGATTTACTACCTCACTTTTGGTGCCTAGCCTTATATAGCAAAAATTCTGTCTTTTGTGTCTGGTTTTTGGGATTTTGCTCAATGTTTCAACAAGTGGGATTTGCCTGGAATTAAGTTTTGACTTTTGGGTTGTCAGATTATTTCACTATTTTGCTTGTTTTTACCAATTTACAGTGAATTTGGAGAAATTGGGTCAGCTTAGATATGCTTTATCCATAGAATGATGCAGTTTGTGCAGGAGAATTAGCCTGGTTTTCTTAATTGGGTGATTTCTGCTTCTTGATTCATTTATTGATTTCAAGTCATGGATAATGTGAATGAACTGTCTTCATCCTTGAGCTTTGCCTCCTCCTCTTATCTATCAAATGGGTCCAGTAGTAACCATGTATCTGCCTCAGCCAGTTCTCAACCTGTGCCAAGTATTGAAATTTATTTGAGTCTAAACAAACTCAGTGGCAGTCTTGAGAGACTTTTACTTGAACCTGAATATGACTATAATGACGCAGAGATTATTGTTGAGGGCAACACAGTAGGTGTTAACCGGTGCATATTGGCTGCACGTAGTCAGTTTTTTCAGGATCTTTTTAAGCAGGGAAATGATGATTCGATTAAGGAAGGTAAACCAAAGTATCTCATGTCTGACTTGGTTCCTAATGGCCGGGTTGGCTATGAAGCCTTCAAGGTTATCTTGAACTATTTGTACACCGGAAAGCTTCAGCCATCACCTCGAGAAGTATCCACATGTGTTGACGATCATTGTGCCCATGATGCATGTGGCCCTGCTATTAATTATGCTGTGGAGTTGATGTATGCTTCTGCCACTTTCCAGATGAAGGAGCTTGTTCAGCTTGTTCAGGTTGTTACGCTTTTATTTATCTTAAAAGTTTCTCTTCTGCAAATGAATGTGTCACTCAATAATTTGTGTTCTTAGCTTGTTAAGTTGAATAGCTTAATTAGAATAGTCTGATGATAATTCATACAGCAATCAGTATTGCTATATATGTATATATAAAGAGTTTTTATTGAAAACACTAAAGAGATGACATTGGTTTTATCTCTGGAAGTTGAGATGCATGTGATCTTTTGAAAATATATTCTCTCTTTATCTACTTTACCTTTGCAATTTGTTGCACACTTTTGATACTTACAGTCTGAAAACTTGCAAATTGAATTTTCTGAATTCACCTTTTGCTCCTTCAAATTGATGAAATCACTAATATGATGATGAAATAGTAACATATATGTTTTAAGATTACCCTCTCCATGTTTTACAGAATTATACTCTGTCCAGAGTATGCCAGATTAATTTCAGATCAAAGTTGAAACCTTTGATGCAACTTTCTTTCTGACAAATGTCCAATTTCCTGCTCTGGCTTGACAATCGCAGGCTGTTTTAGTACACTATAGCCTGTGTGGCCTATAATTTCTTAATCACTGCTTTTTTAATTGTTAGCAAAAGCTCTGAAGCATTGCAATTACTAAGTGTGTGCACCAACTGTTTTTACACTACAGCCTGTGGCCTACAATTTCTTTATCAAAACTCTATTTTTTGTTCTCAGAAGCTATGAAGCATAAGAATTACTATTTGATCTGGTTTTCCACAATTGTACCACTTTCCTTTAGTCTCAAAATTTCTAGTATGAAAGGGTTCTTTTCTCTTGCATTTGTTGAATGTTATATCTTCTACAACAGGACCAATTGCAATTTTTCTTGCAAGGTTTATTTGGTTGCCTTGTGTAGTTTTGGTAGGCTGATGATATCTAAATAATTTACAAAATGATCCTGGTTCTTTGCTAGTTTTTGCTTGTTCTCTTTGAGTTGTTTTTGAAGTCTTAGATTTGAACGCATTCATAATCCTTCTGTTTTGGTATAACTTACTAAACCTCGGCAAGTTTTAGATTTCGACACAATGCTAGTATAATCTATATCCTAGCCTAATTTAAGTTTCAATCACTTATTTTGTGGGGAATCCAGTAGCCTAGCTGTTCATTGTTACCTGTTGATTGGTATATTTATCCCACTAAACAGCAAGTTTGTCTTGTTTATTTTATGTTTGGCAACACTAGCCAGCTTTTAGGTGTTTGTATGCTGACAATTTCCACCAATTTATGCAGCGCCGTCTTTCAAACTTTGTTGAGAAAGCTTTTATTGAAGACGTAATCCCAATTCTTGTAGTTGCCTTCCACTGCCAACTGAGTCAGCTGCTCTCACACTGCATCCAGTGGGTAGCAAGGTCAGATCTTGACAGTGTGGCTATAGAGAAAGAGCTTCCTCATGAAGTTTCAAATGTTATCAAATCACTCCGTCTCAAATCACAGGAAAAGGATGAATCAAGTATGATGGAAATGGAACCAGTAGAGGATAAGAGAATCAGGAGAATCCACAAGGCGTTAGACTCTGATGATGTTGAACTGGTTGAGCTTCTCCTGAAGGAATCTGATATTACATTAGATGATGCTTACGCACTCCACTATGCAGTTGCATACTGTGATCCCAAAGTTGTTAAGGAGGTTCTTGGTCTAGGCTTGGCCACTATCAACCTTTGCAATGCCCGAAGACATACTGTACTTCATGTGGCAGCCAGACGTAAGAACCCAGCAGTTATGGTTCCTCTTCTGAACAAGGGAGCCTCTGCCTCAGAAACTACAGCAGATGGTCAAACTGCTGTTGCAATTTGCCGGAGGTTGACTAGACCAAAGGATTTTTATGAGAACACAAAGCAGGGACAGGAATCCAACAAAGACCGGATGTGCATCGATCTTCTAGAGAGAGAGATGCGAAGAAACTCAACGTCTGGGAATTTGTCAATCAGATCAGAGGTGATAGCTGATGATTTGAACGTGAGGCTGGACTATCTTGAAAATAGAGGTGATGATTCTTAATTATATTAAATAGTTCACTTAGATTACATTTATAATTTTATTGATAATGATTTGAGTTCAGGATAATGCAGATGTACAAATTACATGTCTTAAGTTCATTAAATTGTTTTTTTGTTTATGTTAGTTTATGTCAATACTTCGATCTTTTTAGTGTTTGGGTTGGTAGAACCCCAAGAAATTTAAGAAGATGCTTAGGATGAGAAAGCATTGCATGGATATATGATATCCGGGTCTTAAAGTCCCTGGTGCCCCTGCTTATAGAAATTCGACCCATTAGTTAATGTATAAAGTCAAAATTACCAGCACCTTAGCCTACCTTATTCTTAATCAAGACATTTACTTTGAGCTTTGTATTCTTATCCTTGAAATGAGTGTACAGATTCCTTTATTTTGCAGTGGCATTTGCACGGTTGTTGTTTCCTGCTGAAGCCAAGGTTGCTATGGAAATGGCTGATGCTCATTCAACATCAGTTCCCACTGGCCTTTCAGCATCAAGAGGGTCAAGTGGGAACTTACGAGAGGTTGATTTGAATGAAACACCCTCTGGACGGACCAAAAGACTCCAAGCAAGAATGCAAGCCCTCCGTAAAACAGGTATGGCCGTCTTATCTGTGACATGTATAAATCCTCTGTGACTTGCATATTTCCTTGGCACGTGTTAACGCGCAGTTTTCCATGCCTATCCTCTTTGACCATACTTTTCTTAAATCCTTCATTGTTGAACCTGTAACTTGCCTGCCATGCTTACCACAACCTTTTAATCAACCCGAAAAAATTATACAGTGATAGAACCGGGTTGAAACATGCAGCATAGTACCATGGTTACCTGTACAGGAGAAAGTTACAAAATGCTTTCAATATGGACTGTCATGTAACTTCCCTAGTCCCAGGATGAAGTTACTCCCAAAGACTCGAGTCTTTGTAAAACCCTATTAAGTCTAAAGCTGGACTACCATATACAACTTGAACTAGTTTATGAAAGAGCATAACTTTTATCCTCATTATTCTCTGAGCAATCAGTAAGTTATATCATATGGTGATGGCAGTGGAAATGGGCCGGCGCTTCTTCCCCCATTGCTCAGAAGTGCTTGATAAGTTTTTGGACGATGAGATGGATATGGCTGATTTCATCCTCGAAAAGGGCACTCCAGAAGAGCAGAGAAAGAAGAAGACGCGGTTCTTGGAACTTAAAGATGATGTACAGAAGGCATTCTGCAAGGACATGGCTGAAAATAAGCGGTCAGTTTTGTCACCCTCATCATCATCCTCATCGTCTCCGAAGGAGGGGGTAACTCACAAGATTAGGAAAAGGTGAGGCTAATTATATTTTGCAGGAAGCTGTGAGATTTTGATGAATTTGTAGTTGTATTTTCTCCTTCCATATATTCTTAGGAGCCTATTTTGTGGCATTCTCTTTATCAAAGATTAAGATAGTAAATTGAGTCTGTAATATATAACTTAAGGTATTTGGCTTGTATATTTGATAAAAGAGCTTATAGTTTTAGTGAGAATGAAATCTGTACTCTTTGGATTTCCCTGTGTTGGTGTGATTATGTTAGCCTTTCCAACAAATAACACAGAGCGTAATTCTAAATTTCTTTATTTCATAATTTTAGTTCCTTGGATTCGATATGGACTGTGGAGCAATCCATTCAAATGTCTACAATGATGCAGCAAATTTTGTTTACTGCTCAAATTTCCAACAGAAGTATATGCTTCTTCATCAGATCCATCATATCAGTCTATTAAAACTCAAAGGTTTTTCCTTGTTAAACATTCTATGAATTTTGCTTGAGCAGTAACAAAACTGTTTTACTCTCTCCCTAGCTATGACCAGGCCATGATAATACGGAGGATGCTAATGTTGACGTGGGTATGAATTTCTTAATCATGATTTCAAAAAATTCTTACAAGATTATGGGATCATGCATCAACGCTCGTGTCCATATACTCCCCAACAAAATGAGGTGGTTGTGCCAAAAAACCGACATTTATTAAAAGTACATTCATATTTATTTGCTGCAAACATGCCTCGATCTTTTTGAGGTGATGCCGTCTTCTTTGCAACTTACCTTATAAATAAGATTCCCTCAAGTACCTTGAATTTCCAAACTTCTTTTCAAACACTTCACCATCTCCAAATACCTCCCACCCCAAACCTTGAACCACGAATTTTCGGCTTTGTTGTATTCGTACACTTACATGATCACCAATGCAACAAATTGGATCCCTGCGCAAAAAAGTGTGTTTTCATTAGCTATGCCCCTCATCAGAAAAGCTATCGATGTTATCACCTTCCAAGTTAGAAGGATAGACCTTCATGGATGTAGTGTTCCAGGAACACAACATATATTTTTCAGAAACACATGAGGAGAATCTAGAACCAAACATCCCGACTCTTCTGAACTTTTTCACAATGGAAGAGACTCAACCTTAAAGTGACCGGCCACCTCCCTTTATTCCTTCACAGGCATAGCCACTGTGTCAAAACAATCGGTTGAATCCATGCTGGCAAAATCAAAAGGAGGAAGTTGAACTGTCTTATGAGATTTTGCCCCCTCCAAACCTGCCTTCAGCTATAGTACCACACCAAGCATAAAGGATACAGATACCCCTATATACCAACTTCCAAAAAGGAAGAACTGAGGTAAATCTCGAGTACAGTACGAAGTAGATCTTAAAGCCAAAGAGCAATACCCTATCAATAATTATATATCTTTAAGCAGATTATCAGAGTCACATGTACACTTTGTGAAGCAGTTGGCTGATATATTTGTCCCCAATGGTGTGACTGAAGCACTAAAAGACTCATAATGTAAAGAAGCTATGAATGAAGAAATGCGAGCTCTCCAGAAGAATGCCACATGGGAGCTCGTGCCTTTACCTCATAGAAAGAAGACGATGGGATGCAAGTGGATCTATACTGTGAAACTCAAAGCAAATGGATTCATTGAAAGATATAAAGCTAAATTAGTGGCGAACGGGTATACACAAAGATATGTGGTGGATTACCAGGAGACCTTGGCCCCAGTAGTCAAGATAAACACTATCAGAGTCCTACTGTCTCTAGCAGCAAATCTATATTGGCCACTACATCAGTTCGATGTTAAAAATGCATTCTTACATGGAGAATTGGAAGAATAGGTATACATGGATCTACCACCAAGATGTAATTTAGCTCTTGACAAGAAAAATCAAGTTTGCAAGCTCGAAAAGTCATTATATAGGTTAAAACAATCTCCGAGGGCATGGTTCGACAGATTTTCTAAGTCCATAAAGAATTTTGGATACACTCAAAGTAATTAAGACCACACCTTATTCTTGAAGCGTGATGGAGGAAAAATTATTGCATTAATTGTTTATGTGGATGACATGGTCGTAATTGGGAACAACACATGAGAGCAACAGAAGCTACAAAAGTATTTGTCTCAGGAATTTGAGATGAAGGATTTAGGTGCTCTAAAATACTTCCTCGGAATTGAAGTAGCAAGGTCAAATAATGGTATATTTCTATCTCAAAGGAAGTATGTGATATATCTACTCAATGGAATAGGAATGCTTAGATGTAAGCCTGCTAACACACCCATTAAGATGAATCACAAGTTGTGTGAAGACATAAACAGGTTGCTAACCAATAAGGAACAATACCAGCGCCTTGTTGGAAGGTTGATATATTTGGCACACACAAGACCAGATATTGCATATGTTGTGAGTATGGTTAGTATGTTTATGCATTCACCCAGTATTTGTCATATGAATGCTTTTGATCAGATCTTAAGATACTTAAAGTCAGACCCTGGAAAGGGAGTAATGTTCTCAAAGAATGAAAATATTGAAGTTGTTGGATATACATATGCTGATTGGGCTGGTTTCATTATAGATAAGAACTCTACATCGAGTTACTTTACATTCGTTGGAGGTAATCTAGTCACTTGGCGGAGTAAAAAATAAAATGTGGTTGCTTGGCCTAGTGCAAAAGCAGAGTATCGAGGAATGACTCAAGGAGTTTGTGAATTATTATGCATCAAAGGACTCTTGACATAATTTGGTTTTAAACTAGAGAAGCCAATAGAGTTACATTGTGATAACAAGTTAGCTATCAATATTGCTCATAATCCAGTTCAACATGATCGAACTAAATATGTTGAGGTGGATAGACATTTCATCAAAGAAAAAATTGAGAACAAGATTATCTGTCTACCCTTTGTAAAATTAGAAGATCAATTATCGAATGTCTTAATAAAAGCTGTATGTGGATGAGTGTTTTATGACTCACTTACCAAGTTGGGCATTGGGCATTGATGACGTATATGCACCAACTTGAGAATAAGTATTGACGTGAGTTAATCTACTAAATCAAGTAGATTTATTTCCTAAGTTAATTAGGTAATTTACTTTCTTATTTTATATAATTTACACATCTTTGTATAATTAGGAGAATATCTCCTAATTAATTATTGTATCTATTTCTTTTTAAAGCACCCTTTTAAACTCCTATATATATATATATATATATATCTCATTATGGAGAAGAATATAATTAACCTAAAATATTCAAATCATATTCATATTTTAGCAGCTAAGCCTAGTCGTCTATGCTCGTGCAGACAAATATCTGAAAGTAGCTTCTTCTTATTAAACCATCTTACGCACATCTATAGTTAGAAATTGGTCATTTCTGCGTTAACGATTGAAGGCTCACAAGAATAAATGTATCTTTAACAATTGATCTCACATTAATCAATAGTTGATAATTATTCATTAATGTAAACCAATGATGGAAGCAAACTTATTATATTGTCCACGTGGACAAATAATAAGGATGGATCCACGTGAGAAAGTGTGGTAGACCATTTTAGAATGGACTCATCAACTGCAACGAAGGGCCCATCAATTTCCCCCAAATAATTTCTTTTATATAAAAAAGAAAAACTTTTTTTTCCTTTTTGGTTAGATGAAAAGAAAAACTTTTCATTAAAAAAAAGAAAAGAAAAACGTCGAATATTTATTGTTCATTGTTCTTTTCTTTGGGTTCTGGAAGTTTCGCATGATAAGTTGCGTTGCCTTGCGCAACGATTCAACAGCTTGCTTGGGCCCGAAGCCTAATTGGGTCGTCTCGTCTTTTACTTGCCACTGGTTTATCGCATTTTCTGTCACCCTTCTTTCTGGCTCTGCTCCAAAGCCTCGAACAAACCAAAACGCCTAAAACCACCCTCCCTCTCTCCCTATCTCTCTCCATTTTCACCTTCAACTTTCTCCTACACACACCTTTCTCTCCAAAACCCGTCGACCCTTTTCAATTCTCTCTCAGAAATTATCAATTTTTCATCGACTTTTTATAGTAAAGGTGACGTTTTTGCTGATTGATGCTCGGAATTCGTCCTCCATATCAATTTCAGAGCGTTAGAGCTTTTGGGTTGCTGTGATTTTGGTGTTTCTGAATGGCAATCCAATCCTACGAATCCTACGACATGTTGCTTAAGCAATTCCTACTCCCGCACCCTTTTGTCCCATACATATCTATGCTTGTGGGTATGTTCGCCTGCAAATTGGTATGGCGTGGCTCTCTCTCTCTCTCTCTGTGTCTTTCTTACCCTTTTACTAATTTATACCTTTGAAGCATATATTGTATAAAGATAGTATCTTTCTCGTCAATTCTTTTTTTTTTTTTTTTTTTAAAGTTTAATGATTTCAACTCAACTTGCTAAGTGCTGCTTACTTTAAGAGCTATTCCAACCTTTCAAAGATGCAACGCATTGAGTGGAATAATCGGTGATTTGTCAGCCTCTTCTTAATTACTTGTTCTTTCTTGTTCCGTTTTGTTCATTCACTCAAACCCATATGTTTTGTGTTCTGTTAACTTGTTTATACAGGGCAATCTCAACTGTCCATGCCCTTTTTATCACAGCTATGTCATTGTACTTGGTGTTTTGGTCAGATCTTTATTCTGACCAACAGCTCAACGCTTTTGTTACGTTGCAGAGCTCCCCGCTGTCTACATTTGCCTTGGGGGTAATGATGTTTCCCATTCCCTTTGTTTCAGACTCATTTGAAATTCTTGTATCTGCTCTGTTTTAAGGTGTTATTGACTTCTGGACATTTGCATGTTGAAGCTTGAATATGATACTAGGTTTCTATATTTCATGTTTAAGCTTGATTATGCTTTGAATAGGGGATCTTCTCGCATGTGTAAATTTCCAAGTAATATTCAACTAAATAGATATGACTAGCAAATCAGTAAGTAAATGCATTCTCATCTTCAAGTCATGATATAAATTGAAGTCAATCATATGAGTAGTAATGTAGACATTAGAGAAGCCAATAATAGGAGTGATGCATAATGCTAACGGATGATATGGTACCTTTTTCTGGTGTCATTTTGGCAGGTCTCAGTTGGGTACTTTCTAACTGACCTTGGGATGATCTTTTGGTTTTACCCTGCTCTTGGTGGACTGGAGTATGTAAGTGCATTCTGTTTTGAATTGTTTGTTATTGGGCTGAATTTTGTTATCCGTGTTGCGCAAGCCTAGGTGGAAGTTGTAGTATATGAAGTGAATAACATTGATATTGGTCAAATTAACTGTGATCATGTTAATCTTTTAGGTGGTTCATCATCTTCTTTCTGTAGCATCAGTAGCATATGCCATGTTGACTGGGGAGGGACAGCTTTATACCTACATGGTTCTTATCTCTGAGACAACCACCCCTGGTATCAACTTGAGATGGTATTCATCTCTTACTAAAATGCCTTTCTAAAATCTATGATTCTGTTCATTATTGTTGATGAATAGTGGTCTTGTGAAGGTATCTTGACACGACTGGAATGAAGGGGTCTAGAACATATTTGATTAATGGGGTTGTAATTTTCATTGCTTGGCTGGTGAGTCAAATCTATTCCCAATTTTTGCACAAATTTAAATCTTTTCCTTTTCTCTAATTTTATTTTCTGCGTTACTTTACCAAGGGAAGAGTCGTTTGGCAAAATCTTTCTAGATTCAACTTTTCTTCTACCATTGATGTTATACATGCTTTTTATTATTCTGTGCAGGTTGCCAGAATACTCCTGTTCATGTATCTGTTCTACCATCTGTACTTGCACTATCAACAGGTAACTTCCACACCTGCAAGAACTTCATTTGATTAAATTCTGAGGTGCTGTGGAGCTGGTATGCTGACCAGCCTGACCGATAATATCTATGTCTTAATTTTCAAATTGATTATTTTATTAGCTTGTGAGACACAGCAGGAAACAAGTATATTCAGCCTACATGTGCTTGCTTAACAGGTTAAGCAAATGCACATAATTGGGAAATTTTTAGCTTTCGGAGTGCCACCAATCCTAGCGGTCATGAATGTGATGTGGTTTGGCAAGATTTTCAAGGGCTTGAAGAAGACATTAGCAAAGAGTCAGTGAAATACATTGGCTTAAGAAGTGACTGAAGATCTATGCCTATCTGTGGTTATCTGGATGTACGATATGTCCTCTCTTGTTCTTGTACACCCCCGTCTTAGCATGTAAATGGTATACAGAATAGATCAATATGCTGAGCGCACGACATGGTTTCTGTTGCAGTGCGAATCTAAAGATATAGTAGATGTTCAGGAACCGTTTCTTGTGATTTTAGAACACAGCTGAGCAATAGTAATATTAACTGGGTTCTTGATCCTGAGTCAAATCAATTTCTTTGTTGATCTTACTTCTATGCTTGGGATGGAACTGAAATTATTATTTTTTATTTTTTTATTTTTTTATCTCAGCATTTTGAGCCGGGAAGCGGCAAGCACTTGTGTTCTTCCCACCGCCTTACCAGTCATGTACAGCGGAGCCTTCATGTAATGTGCTGGTAAAGAAGTGGCGGTGTTATTTCTGGAGCCATATATGTATATAGTTCCTGTTTCAGCTTAGAAAATATGTATAGTTTTATAAGTAGGGAAACACTTGCTCCCACTAAATATTGTATAACAATTGTGTATCCCTGTAAATAAATAAATAAATAAATAAAAACCAATAGCAACAGAACAATGACGTTCAAGAAACATGATATACATTTGTCCTTGAAGCATTTGGTCAAAGTCATTTTATCATAATGTGCAAGATTGAGACCAAAATTGAACATCTATAATGTTCGTATTTGATTGATATTAATTAAGTTTTTGTACAGTGGACCAATTTTTAATAATGAAAACAAGGATTTATGCTTATAATTCTAATCCTACAGTGGAAGAAACAATGTTCAAATGGTTAAGTCCAAGTTTATATCATTGCTTCCAACCTCTTGGAAATCCTGAATGTTACTGAAATTTCCAGTTGAGCTGGACTGAGAAGTATTGTGTTCATCAGCAGAAGGCCACAACTCGCTTTCTTTTCGGAACTGGGCCATGGTAGTAACAGTCGGATTAAATGATAATGAGAGCTCACAAAATCCATATAGTTGACAAGTTTCTTCATCCATAGACAATCTGCTGAGTTCTGGGGTATGAGCATTCTGTAAAGAAAATGTGAGTTATTAATTACTTGATCTGTAAGCAATAAATGTATAACGGGGGAACTTAAAGTTGTGAATGCAACAGGTGAATTTTGTAACACAACCTTGTACCCCCCAAAAAGAAAAAGTTTAATTATTAGGACATATCAGTTGCAGACCACGACAGATCACCTTCTTAAAACTGGTTTGGTGCAAATGATACTTCTGTGCTTGAAGTACCTGATTTTGTTGCTTGCCTGCTGCTTCCTCTTTTGTTAATATACGTCCCTTTGTTTCCTCATCCGTTTCAGAAAACATTACATGTTGCTCATATCTTAAATAATAATTTTCTGATGGCCTACTGCAGAGGGAGAGAGAGAGAGAGAGAGAGAGAGAGAGAGAGAGAGAGGAAAAACAAAACAGAGACGTTTTCATTGATTAACCTTGAAAAATTAAAGCTAGAGAATACACGGTGCTTTGTTATGCTTCTAATCTTTTGATTTCTTTCTTGCGAAAAGAGAGATCATATAAAAGACCAAATAAATAAATAAAGAAGAGAGATCATATAAATATATATATATATATGGAGACGACATTACTGCCTTACCTTTGAGTTTGAGTTTGAGGTGAGAAAATGGAGAAGACATACTGCTATGATCTTGAGAATATGCATTATCATTCACGCCCCTGTACATCTAACATTCATCCAGAAATCTACTTCAGTACTCAAACCACAGAAGGACTGACTCACTACGTATTGAATACATCATGTTTTTGGTATGTATATGTACTATTTGCAGTTTATAATTATCATCTACATGGTCAAAATTAGAGTGATGAAATGAAGAGAATACGTTTTAAGACCACAATGAGCCGTTCGATCATACTTTTAGTCTTCAAAACCCTAAATTATGTATAGATGTGTAAACCTAAAGGGCAGCCAGCTTTGTCATTAGGTTAATAATTAAGAGAGGATTAGGTTAGCAAGGATATAGGCTGCGCTGTCTGTCGTGCCTGATTAAGATTAGGTAAATTTCATGAGGATCAGGTTAGGGGCTAAGCCACCAGTTTAGGAAAGAAATTTACTATAACAAAAGTGGAACTATCCCAAAAGTCATCATAAAGGACTGCTTTAATAAATTAGCACCAGCTGATGCATAATTGGAATGAATTAGCACCAGCTACTCTTTTAAAATGATGTACACATGTTACTTTTCAATAATGGCAACGGCCTTATAAGCCAATTTGATCTGATCATATCTCATCTCTCTTAGATCATATTGATGTCTATCTGTTTCGTGGAAACAAGACTAAGTTCTGAAGTACAAACAAAAAGAAAACCAGAAAGGAAATCATAGGCTATGATTAGAGAATGAAAAATAAAAGATTAAGGGATGAAATTGAATATATGCTAATAATATGCACACCCTAACTTACACTAAATTAGGTCAAAACTCAAAAGTATTCTGTATCTGATTCTGTTTCGTAATTCGGCATCGATCCTAACCATTTCTCTGTTGGTTTATTGGATCTGTTTAGCTAACAAGGATGCTTAATTAGTGTTTTGTACGGCTTCGATTTTATATATGATGAAGAACATATATTGAATATAAATACCTGCAGATGGCTTTTGACATGAGAAATTTTCAGTCCCTTCACACTCATCGTCTGCAGAATGCGCTTGGGTGTTGCTTCTGCAAAAATCAAGACATCTATTTCTTTACTACTATGATTTCAAGACACAGCTAGCTTCGTCTTGGTTTGTATATAATAGTTATAGTGACCTAATTCTCATACATATATATATATATATATATATGCTAACTGCAGCAACCAATTATTAGACTTACTGTGTTTTCCACCAAGACTTTCAACAGCTTCAACAAACAGTTCATGGAGTTGAGGTGTCCACCGCAGGCGTGGGTGATCAGATTTCTGGTAGTTCCTGACTCCAATTTTCTGATAACTTTTCATTTCTTCGTTCATATGCGAAAGATAATTGAGGAGCTCTTCACAAGCAAGATGATGAACGATGTATGTATGTATATATATCTAGCTACCTTGAATGAGAGTATGAATGCAGCCGCAACCATATGATGCTGATCAGTCTAAGACCGTAGACTTTTGATGAGAATATGTACATACTTTTCATCTACCGTAATGTATTGTCTTGGTCACCTTTTTTTATTTTTCTCAGATGGAATGTTTTTGTCTGATTAAAATATTCTACTAACTATTGCAAATTTATATATATATGGGTAAAACAAGGCTCCACTTTTAGAAAATGTTGGGGAATGGTAGTGCCTTGGACCTTTTCCTTGTGAAATTAAGCAAATTAAATTCATTAATATATATATATATATATATATATGAGCCTATATGAAAATGAATGTTTGAGTGAAATAGATGATCATGCCAAAATGGAATTGTTTACGGAACAAGTCAAAGATGGAAATTAAATGCCTTGGGAGAGCGCTGCAGATCTAGGGAACTGATTGAAACAGCTAGAAAGTCAAAAATAGTGATGTAATAGTACAATTATTTAGGTAGCTAGGTATACAGCTTTAAGCTTCACACAAAATCATTAAAGTGCGAAATTAATTTTTATTTTCTCTAGTGAAATTTCAGCATTGGAAACATCAATCGAAGTAATTTTGCTAATAATGTTAAGGCCTCGTTAGGTTCGCGGAATGAATTTTAGGGGAAATCATTTCCCATGTCATTTCCCAAAGAATGAGAATGAAAGATTTCTTTCTCACGTTTGATAATGTCAGGAAAGTAACCGGGAGATTTCACTTTGTTTCCTTTCTCATGTTTGTTTTGAGTAGGAATGGAAAACAAAGTTTGTATAATTTTACAATTATACCCATATTAAATCAAATAAAAAAATAATGCATTTAATGATACGTTGTAATTATAAATTGTTCATAGGGACAAAATAATCATGAAAATTGTGCATTGAATGTTGGCTCATTTTCTCAAACTTCCCCATGAGTAGGGAAAACAAAACCCAAATTAAGAGGAGGGTTTCACTTTCCCCCCTACTTTCCCATGTGTCAGGCAACTATTTCCCATGCCTGGACTTACCAAACATAGGAAAGCAATTGAATTCTCATTCCCAAGCCTCCTTTCCCTTGAACCAAACGGAGCCTAAGAATAATCGTTTACACGTGCGTGGATGATTACCAATCATCATTGTTCCTTTAGAAACAATATTTTGCACCTCAAGGACTGAACTTACATGTCAAAGTTTCTAGGAGTTGTTAACTTCCTCAAGGAATTTTGCGGAACAATTCTTCATGCGCCTCAAGGAATTTGAGCACAATGATAAGGACACAAAGTTCCTTCATATAATTGAAATACCTATACTCTCCAAACCCATGTGCGAAAAACCTAGGACATGCGTAGTTGTTTAAAGTTTATGATTTTTGGACGACGAGCCGCAAGATGGCAAAGCAAAGGCAAGTAAGTCAAGATGTGAATTTAAAAGAAAGCAAAGGCCATCTCTTCTTTCTCCGATCAATAATTTATATACCTATCATGTCAATAAAAGACGGTGCCTACTTTTGGACCCATATGTACTCCATCTTTGTGGTTCCGTGTTCCACACTACAAACCCTAAGAATTCAATGTGCAAGAAATATAAATGGAAGAATTAAACCCTAGAATAGAATTTGTTGAAAGTTTGCATGCATGGTAGTTGATTGAAGCTAAAGTCATTCCGCTGCATTCACATCTATCCATAGTACATTATGAGGCCATGATTCGAGTCCCAATGAGGTCCTATCAGTTGATTATGGATTTTGAATTCATTTTTGGAAGCGACGAAGATAATCTTCAGTATTATTCTAAATGACGATGATGATGCAGACATCTAGGTTTTATCTTAGCTACAGTTTTTCATATCCAGCTCTGCTTCTTCTTTTTTTTCAGTCAAATGGAATCTTCAAAAGTTATTGTCCTCTCCTGTCTACCTAGCTAGTTTCTATTTCACACTACAGTTTGGTCCTCTTTTCAACCGATTAATTGCCATCCTTCAACTTCTTCCTTGTAATCCTTCCCATTAACATCGACTGCAATGCAGAGAATTTTGCTTGACTTTTGGGTATGGTTGAACAAAAAGAAGACTTCGATGTACAGAAGATCTTTGGTAATGTCATTGGGCCTATTAAGTTTTTGGGGCCTTACGTTTTTAAAAGTAGGAATCATTTTTCGTTTATTAAGCCATCTCCAGCTATGTTGGAGCTCAACTCAAATTTTTATCTTCTAAAATACAACTATTCATGTATTACCAGACTCGATATGTTTTTTCCTCCAACCATGCAGACTCATAATTTGAGTCCCCAGACTTATTAAAAAAAGCTAATAATTGAAAATAATTATAATTATAAATTTACTCCCTTAATAAAATGGGTACTCACCACATTATCAAGATTATAGCCATTTGCTTGCCTTGCATTGGCCTTAGTCATACATGTCTTCCAAAGAGAGCATTGTTGGTTGATGATTTTGAATCGATAAGCAATGGCCTATGGAGTTCGACACTCTGGTCCAACCATGCCCAGATCATTCTCCAAAAAAATTTGGTATACACGAACCCAAAATGTATCGATTGCTTGGTTGATGCCAATCACCACATCTTCAGATACATAAACCCACCCTTTACATAATGCCTCATCTTCTTCTGATCTCCAATTCACACCTCTTTGGGATTTTGGGGTCATCTTCAACAATAATAGAAAAAGAATTAACAAAATTAACAAAGGGAAAAAAGATAATATTGAATTTGGTAGATTATTTAACAAATGGATGGCTATTTATAGAGTTTGTGATGAGTTTTGGGGTTGGATCTAGTTTACATAAATTAATAATATTATCTTTTAAAATCTCAGTTGAATACACCATTTCGACTCATTAACTCACCTTCTCTCAGCACTTAAAATCAATAAAAGTAATTATATGGAGAAGCACGTAGGGGAGAGTGGGGGGTGCTTCTCCCTATAGGTGATTCTGGCTTATCCAGAATCACTCCCAAATGAGCCCTTAATCAATTCACATCTTTCATTAGTTAAAATGTTTTTAGATTGATTTGTCAAAGTCTTATCTTGAAGCAACGCGTGATAACAAAAATGATGAAGATTACAAAAGAAAACAATAAACCATCAATTCTTGTTGATTCTCTAGATGAGAATAACTAAGAACAAAGGGGTTCTATACCTTGTTGTTTCCAGAGGAATACCAAGTTGATAGGAAAATAGAGAGAATTCTCTAAGTTTAATATTCAACATCAAAAATTCTATTACAATTAGCTACAAGATAGCTTTTATACTTAGGGAAAACAAACCAAACTCCAAACCCTAACTAAAATAGGAAAACAAACTTACTTCCTAAACCAAACTCCAAATTTTAATTGAAATAGGAAAATAAAAATATTTGCCTAAAACAGATTTCTAGAACATTAATTACGCATCTTATGTTTGTCAAATTGAAATAGAAAATGAGTAATGCTACACTTACCACATTAGTATCCCACATTTCTATACCACATGATGTGGCATGTCCATATCATATGACATATCAATTAAATGAATGAAGTGTATTTTAATAAATAAAATTAGAAAAACATAAACTAGTATTTTACATGATGTGGTATGTACACATCAACCGCCACATCATGTGGTATAAAATTGTGGTATAAAAAATGTGGTAAGACTAGTATTATTCATAGAAAATTATGAGTGATGTGTGCTGCAGCACATACGCATATTTGTATGTATGCACATACATTGGGTCGCTCTCTCGTTCACGCGAGGAGAGCCTTGACGGCTAAGGTTAGGGTTTCTCCGGTTTTCTTTACTCATTCTCTACATCGTCTCTCCCAGTCTTCTTTTATTGTCTCTTTGGGTTCTTCTTGGTGAATTGGGTATGACGTTTTTTTTGCTCTTTTGTTCTCCGTGGAGTGGCTGCGTTGGCTTCCTTTCTGGGTTCCCAAAGAGCCAATCGCTGGTGAGGGGTCTCCATCTTGACGCTATGAAGATAGCCACCGCCTCTTCTGCTCAAGGGGATGACAAGTATGCGGCACCAAACGAGAATCAGAAGCATGCAAAAACTGGTGTTCGGCACCTGATTGTTAATGGCATGAATTTTTCTTCTAAGCATAGTTTTTGTATCGAGGATTTTGTTGACAAGGCGAGGAGACCAGCCTCGAGGGGGCTCCAAGATCTCCCTAATAATTCTCCTATGGAACGTTCGTGGGCTTGGCAACTGATGAACGTAGATCTTTCTTTGGAATTTTCTTCAGGTTTAAAAGGCCAATCTTGGTCTCCCTTACTTGTCAGTTGGGGTTCTGGATCAAGAAAATTGGAGGTGGCGGTTGGTGTTTTGGCTGGATCTATTATGATGCTCACAATACGTTTTTGACTCTATACGAAGCACTATGATGCTTTCTTTAGATCATATGAGACTTTCTTTGACAGTATATGTGTAGTGATGGGATGTGTTTCAATGGTTTTGCGGTTGAGTGATTGGCTGGATCTATTCTGATACTCATAGTACGTTTTTGACTCTGTCGAAGAACTATGATGTATTTTTTTAGATCATAGGAGGACTTCTAGATCATGGGATGTTGTTTTAAGGGCTTTGTGGTTATGTTGGTTTGTTTCGTATAAGTTGTTTGACTCTTCTGTTTAGTTAATAGCATGGGTGGTACTCTTTCCTACCATAGGATTCTGTTTTCTGGGAAGGTTTTAACGAGGCCGTCGTTAACATGTTAGTTCATACGTACCATGTAATGTTCCTTTCGGTTTAATGAAATACCATATTTTCTTGACAAAAAAAAATGCATGTACATCTGTGTACATACATTCGTATATGTACTAGCTGAAATATAAACAGAAGACGGAGACAATCCACCATGTCAAAAAACAAGAAAAAAATAATCACGAACTTTTATTTAATAAACAGATTTCCTAGAGAAATTTTTTTTATGGAACATGACTTTACCAGTGATTGCTCAAAAGTATTATATTGAACTTCGCTGAACGAAACTACACAAGGGCTGACTGGACAACACAAAAATTCCTATGTATAAAGCCCACAGCAACCCACTTTTTTTTTTCCTTTTTTTTTATACAAGCGATAACAGTGAAGGGGAAAATCGAACTTAGGACCTCATATACAGAGGGTAAATACTCTTAACCACTTACAAGCCCCTTGCAGCAACCTACTCCACTTTAAAATATCACACTTCTCTTGAGAATTTTATAGAATAGCATCCGACAAGGGTGAGCAAAGAACAATGTCAGGTTAAGATCCATTGTATTGATGAAATCATGGTAATGAAAGATTAACAAAATAAAAACTGATTTCAAAATTTACATATTTCAACTTGAGACCCAACTTTAACTTGGTTTTGTCTAATATGGTAGGCTAAGAGTTTAGAAATTGAGACCTCGAAATATTATCTAAGTATATATCTAATTCATCTTGACACCAACTGCTTAGTTAATTTAGAGGGTCCTATGACCGCTCTGCCATATGCCACAGGCAATGATACTAACTTCTTTGCTTTCCCTACATAAGCCCTTTTTGTAAAATTGTCATAACCATTTGCTTCAATAGCATCCAGAATCTGCCTGTACAGCAGCAAAGATGCCCACACTGGCCATCTACTAGCTGAGTTGAGTTCTGAAACACCTTTCTCAGCCTCATCAAAAAACATCCTAGCTCTCTTTATTTGGCCCTTCATGAACATTTTCCACTTGTCAGTCACCTTTCCTTGAAAGATGTCATCGTCTGATAGGCCGGCTTGGGCAAGCTCATCTTGTGGGAGATACACTCTTCCTCTCCTGGCACTACAATGATCAATCAATTCAAAGAGTAAGATTTACAAGCTCATAAAAGAATGACCAAATTGTTTTGTATGTGACAAAATGATGACACATAAAGAAGAAGCTTACTCTTCTCCAACATCTCTGAGTATATTAGTGAGCTGATTAGCTATTCCAAGGGCCAATGCAGCATTGTAAACAGTCTCTGTTGAAGCCTTTGATTCTGGGCTTATCCCCATTACCGGAACACTCATTAGGCCTACAGTCCCAGCAACATAGTAGCAGTAGAGGTAAAGTTCATCAAAGTTCTGGTATCTTGATTTTATTAAGTCTAATCTCATTCCTTCTACCATGTCTTTGAAGGGCTGTCCAAAGAGAAAATTGGTATGGTAAATCATTAAGTAATTCTAATAGATAAAAGAAAATTTTTAGCTCTGATTTTGGACTTGTGGTAGTTAGTACCTGTATATCAACAGGGTACTTGGAGACTGTATCAGATAGAGCAGCATCATACATATCATACGGACGACCTTCGAAAAGATCCGTTAATCTTTTCTCCCATCTGTCAAGAGCTTTGGGTGTGATGTATGAAGCATTTGGTCCATCCACTAGCTCATCTGTCCTTCTGCACCACACTGCAGAAAAAGAAAGCAATTCTTCATTTAAAAACTGTGCACAAAATTGTTTCCTCGTTTGCAAGCTTTAAAAAGAAGAAGTCAAGTATATTGATGTTAAAGTGCAGAAAAAGGATGTTTTCTTCAAAAGGGCCATGGAGGTCTCAATTGCTCCCTCAGTTGTAAAGGAGCAAAGATACTTAAAGACCATGTATAAGTCAGATTTAAATTGACTATACAGCAATACTAAGCACAAATTGTGTAATGAACCACAAAAATTACAAGAGAAATAGAATGGGTTTCGAATAAGAATCATTATACGAACCATAAATTGCCCAAACAGCTCGTCGCCGCTCTGGTGTCATGAGTAATGTGCCTGAAAATCACAGAAAGAAACTGATAAGGACATTGCCTTGGAAATTAGTAAGTATCAACATCAAGTTGTAAATTGCATAAATTTTCCCTCCTGCAATAATATGGAATCTGAAGAAGCACATCCTATCTTTAAAGTTTTGATAGTTTAGAATCTAAATCTTCATTACACTACCATAATAGTTATTTCTATATAAGAGACTAATAACCATTAAGATCCTATCCAAAAGAAGGTAAAGAATAGTTTGTATTCAATGACTATTGGGAATCAAGTTCAACTGCTGTCAAATTTCCAAAAGTTCTTCTCATTTCTCCACTTTCACGGCAACCAAATAAATTTCCTCTAGTCAATGATAATGTAAACTAGTTTTTGGATCCCAAGTGCGTGTGAACGTTTTAGAACCAAAAAAATGATACCAAATGTTCATACTACTGCTTGGCAAATAAAAAAAGGAAACAAAATCAAGTGCTGAGTGAGTCCACCAGTATATCCAAGAAAATGAGTGGACCCGATTAAAGAAATAAGAAAAAGAGCAGATAAACAAAGACTAAAACAGAACCACAGAGAGAGAGAGAGAGAGAGAGAGAGAGAGAGAGAGAGAGAGAGAGATGAGCTGAAAGCCTGAAACACCTCTTACCCAAGTAAAACGTCTTGGCATATTCAGCACAGACCTCACCACATCGATCATAAGCCTGATTCAACAAATCCCAATTGCTCAGACCATCAGTTTCAATCCGTTCATCCAAGTCCAAAGCTCTCTCCTTGACCCTGCTCTGTTCTCTGACCAAAGCAGCCTGCTTGAGCACCACTTCATAGACCATTTCTTCTGATGATCTTATGGGGTGCGCAACTGCACCTGAGTAAGCTAAAACCCCAGTTGAAAAAGTCAGCCTAGAGCACAGTTTTGATCTCCTTGGGCTACCAATTCTGGGCATGAGACTCAGCAGAGAGTTGGCATTCTCTTTGGGACTAACCACCCAAAGAAGAACACCTGACATCTCAGAAGAAAGGCAAGACTGAGAAAACCCAATTGATCTCTTGCTGTTATCTTGCTTTTTGGGTTCAGCTTTTTTAATGTAAGGCTGTAAGCTGTGAGGCTGAGGCGCTCTTATGGAGAGATTGGAGGGTAAGGCAAGGTTTTGAAAGGGTGGTTGGCAAATGGGTGTCCAGTAGTTTTTTGAGTCTATTGCAATATTAAAAAGCTCCCCTCTTTATATTGCTTCCAAAGGCTAATAACGATGTGTGCATGTTACAGAGGAGATAGAGAAGCCAAATTCAAGGAATATGCTTTGCTATTGCATAGCTGGTGATACATGAAAATATGTGGACAGCGTTTAAAAGACTAGTGTAATTTTTTTTCTCTCTCTTCTGGGTAGGGTTAGTCTCACTCACCGGCATGGACGAACATGAGTCATCGATCAGTATGAATCACACATCAATCAATGATTCCAAATAACCGCATGAGAGACTAATGCTAACACCGCCTTTTTATTTTTGTTTTTGTACTTGACTCATGAATATTCTTTTTCACTTATTATAAAATTGAGAGAACTATTTACTCGAGAGACAATTTTAATTTTTAAGTATTACTAAGCGCTTACTGCTATAGATAGTTGGATTTAGCTCAACGATTTAATTAGGGATTCAATCCAACCATAATTATGGATTACACAAATTTTGTTGCTTGCTTGAGCAGCTTCGATAAAATAAACGTACATTTGATTGTTTTTTTTCGCACTTATAAATAGAATTGAGCCTGAAACTCACTCGTAACTCAAAAAAAAATGCTCCTTGTGTGTAAATTCATCATACATATAAATTGTGCAAGGATTTCTATTAAATGCATAAGTTAACCAAATGTCTACTCATTAGCTAGAGGTGTTATAGTTGATTTTATTCGAAAAGTATTTCGTCTTATTTACGGTTAAACTATATGTCCATACTTGGTCTCAATATAAAATGCATTAATATATTGAAGTTATAATAGCTCCACACGTAGGAAGTAGGAACCAGTCAAGAAAGGCCTGTGGGATTCTGAATGAAGCTGAGATTGCATTTTATATTCAAGTCTTTGTCTTTGGAAAGTGACAGGTACCAACAAGGTTATTGCAATTTTACAAGAGAAAAAAGTGGGTGTGGTGTGGATGAAACTGTTTTACATCGCCTCTTGATTGTAGGGTACCGTGACTGATGAGAATGGCTTCACCTTCAGCCTAAGTTGGGAGAGAAACTTCCCTACCCGGTGTTACTGCCTCCTCTTCTTATCGCTCTCCTCATGCGATACCGATATCGGGTAGGGAAGTATACTTTTTACTAGCTGGGGTAAGGATCCTTAACAGTTTTCGTATAGCGCTTAATGATTCATGAACAAAATGCATGTGAGTGAAGTGATGTATCATTGTATTTGTGTGTATTTAACTGTCCTGTCTTGTTGACTACTCCCCATTCCCCGCCGCTCTCTACTAATTTAAGCATTTGGCCCTAGTGATTGAAACCTAAGTTTTGGTTTTCACCAAAAAAGAAGAAGAAACCTAAGTTTTGGATGCCCATATATAGTCTAGAGTTGGTTAGATTTTAGTCCCCTTTCAGTGTGATAAGAGTGAACTAACCCTATGAAGGAAGACATGATGTGATGGTCTAGCTAACTTCCTTGACCATTAAAGCAAATTTAATCTTCTTCCCTCTTTTTTTGTCAAGCAATTCGATCTTAATACCCAAGTGACCTCAATCTGATTTGGTCTTCAAATAACTTTCGCCACTAAAGCAAGAGTTAGGCATCCTCCAACTAATTTCTTCCTAAACTCAAATTTCCTTCTTTCAAAAAGTAACTATTTGGATTTTACCTTAACTCAAACCGTTTTTTCCCCCAATCCTTCATACTCAAATTTTAAGTCCGCAACTTTATTAAATTATTTAAGAATTGTTTAAGTGCGACACCCGGCGCCCATTGATTCCTCCTTGCACATGGAATGCATCAGCCTTGAGTAGGCTCCAACAAAAAGTTTTCCAGTCCATCTACCTGCACTGGTATTTGGTCCCAAATTTGAGTTTTCCCAAATTTTGGCCCCTTACTCTTTTTGGGTTGAGAGAGGAATTAGGCTATAATTTGGGATTATTTGGATTTAGCCTCATGAATTGGAGATGGCCTTGGAGACGGTAAAAGAATAATGCTAGTAGCCAATGAATTCACACCACATATGGTACCCCGTTCGAATCCGTGGCACCCCCAGTCGACCCCAATGTACCAAAATAAAAATAAAAAAAGCTAGAAGAATCGTATTAATTGACCAAACTGACGTAATAATGTATATTAAATATGAATTATTTTTACTAAAATATTAATATTGTCAAATCATTTGATATATATCATGGAACATTATGTGAATGGTAGCGCAAAGTAATGTAGTTGATCGGATGCTTGTAGGTAGGTATGTTGGAGAAGCTGAGAGGAAGATCCTTCCATGAATTATATGCTTTTGTTGGGGGCCACCGTCACCTTTGCTTCATCGTTTTGGGTAGCCAGGGTATCTGGACATGTGGTGGTGGTGTAGAAATTCCAAGATGACATTTTGATTTCTTGTTCTCACATGCAAAGGAAATGGAGATGGTTTGGCCTTTCCCATATATAGAGCAGATCTTATCGTAAATATACCACCAACATGGAAAATAATATAATTAATACTCTACACATCATGCATTTTGTATCCCATATAACACATTAAAATGCGTGAATTCAACTTAGAGATATCTTTGAAATTTTCGAGACATCGTTTAGAAAATTATTTTATATCACGTACGGTAATATTAAGTGGTTGGCATATTGACACATAAAATACTTGTCAACATTGTAAATAATAATAATGAAATCTTTGGTGTACCGCACATTTAATTACTAGCGGATCCACATAACTATTAACGAATGTAATTGTCCTCACTTTTCATTATTGTTACACATTCGTAATCTTCTTTTGAAAGAATAAAGTGTCCTATAAAATGCCTTAAAGAAGTCGAGCTAGAGTAGGATGTCAAGGGTAACTGAGCTAAGTGGTTCGTGGGCACACCTCGTCCCGTAACAAAAAATTCCTTAACGCACAACTGAATTTGATCATATGTTGATTTATTAGCATATGTTAGTAATAGACAAGGATCATAATAAAAATGATGAAAAAGTGTGGACAATAAAAATGATAGTGATAAAATGACTCATAGGTTGTCGATTGTGGATTGTTGTTGTGGCCATGAATCTCCCAACCCCAATCTTTCCGTACACTTTTTAGGTTCTTTTCTGCTGCCATGGAGAATGCCACAAGGCCCACCGCAATTAAGTTCACCACACACCATGGCCACCATATATATGCGAAGTGATGGGGAGCCAATTTAAGGTGCTTTTGGTAAAAGACAACGACCCACATGGCTTGGCAAACTTTAATTGTATTTTGTACTAGAAAGAACCCAAGTGTGTGTGTGTGTGTGTGTGAGACCAAATTTGGTGGCTGTGAATCGATTGGTGTTGCTATCTATCACTTGGGTGTGAGTTGGGCACAAACGTCATTTTATTTTGCCTTCTGCCATGTACACTCCCTGGTCACTCATTGTTTTGCCTTTGGCAAAGATTCATTATCTTATGGAAAATGAATTTTGATCTTATGTGTAGTTTTCAAATTCTCCTGTACAATTTCTGCATTTTAGGTTTAGTCTTTTTGGAATTATCTGTTGCCTCATAGATGGTACCAAACATTGCCAAATCAATTAGGTAATTGCATTGCATCTACATCCGTATCACTTCATAATTTTTCTTTTAAAAATAGGTATATGTCGCCGAAAAAAAAAGAGTGATGAGATTCACTCCATCCGTTATCGCAACAATAACTAGGTTTTCCGTAGCTGAGTAGATTTTACAATTAGAAACTGGCAAATTAGGAACGGTAAAGGGAAAATTCGAACTTGCGACCTCTTTCTGAGTTGGAAAGAGAACTACGCAGAGGACACAGACAAGACTTTGCTAGGCCCAACGTTCATAATAATTTGGGTCATGCTAATCTTTCAATGGGCTTGGGCTAGACTACGGTTTAAATTGTGGGCCATTTACCACATGCCCTGAGACTCACCCTCACTAAGCTCAAGTTATTGGCCCCACATCTCATGGTGCTTTTTGAACTTTTGATAATTACGTCTCACTACTTCGGATCAGTTTTCCAATGACTTCTATGAAGATTACTTTTATGTTTTCGGTGACATTTGCTTTTCATGTCCCTGTTTCCATGACATGCCACCCCACACAGCAAATTTCACACTCCATACACATCATAAATGGGTTTATATATAAGATCATTAGTCAAAAAAATATTTTCACATTAGTCTTGTATGTGTTTCAAATTTGAAATCTAATCTCTTTGTTATTTTTTTATTTTTGGAAAACTCAATTCGTTCTCCAACACATAAAAACAAAATTTTAACAGAAAAAGAAAAGAAAAACATAATAAGAGGTTGACCATTTGGCTTCTTAATCTAATTTTGAGAATGCTAGCATTAAATATCAATGAAAAAAGAAAGTATTGTTGAAGAATACGTGCGCCTCATAAAGCATGAACGATTAGTATATTCACATTCTCTTTTAGTTAGAAATATTATGGTTTTCTGGGGTGAGTAATTACAGTGTGGTACTTCCAACAAAAAAAATAAAAGAAATGATAGTATGGTACTAAAGTATAGTCACACATCATAGCTTGTACTCCACATGTTATAAAAGAACTATATCTTCTTTTTATTTGAGAAATTCTTGGATTGCATTCATAATTCAGGAAAAAAAGCCACTAGCCACAAAATGTCATTACAATAATAGAGCAATCTAATATTAAGACAATCTGGGGTTCCTCCACTAACAATCACGTAGGATCAAAGAAACTTTGGCATAGGCATCCCAACTAAGAGTGCAAACTCAAAACAACCAAAAAGAGATAAAGCTTGAAAAAATCAAGCCTTAACAATACAAAGAAAATTCTCGCATAAGAGAGGTGGAAAGCTCTCACAAAATGAGAGCTGAAAACTACAAAAAAAACCCAAAGAGTCGCAACTTATTCTAAACATGAAGAAATTGCAAAAAGGATGGTGTTAGAGATCCAACACTGAAACGTAGATGGAGATTCGACGCCGAGACACATCTGCATGTGATAAGTGGAGAAAAATCATAACAAAACAAAGACGAATAGGAGAAACCTTTTGTCTTTGAAAATAAGGGAAGAGAGGAGAATGGAGGAAGGGAGAAGGAGAGATGGGAGAAAGAACAGTGGAAAATAGAAAATATCAACATCTCGTCCAACCATATACCATACAATAATTTTTGAGAGCTGATTTTCCCACTCTTCTTTTATCTACTTACATTTGTTGGAAATTGTATGTTCCCACTCATCTTTTATCCACTTACACTCCCTTATTTGAAATTGTGTTTTATAGTAAAAAATATTAAAAAACGAAAAAAGAGTGTAAATTGACAAAAAAAGAATGAGAAAATCAACACCCTAAATTAGGGCTCGTTTGGGAGTGCTTCTCTAGGAATCACTTCTACTTATAAGTGCTTCTACCAAAAGTGCTTTTATTATAAAGACGTTGAAATTTTCATAAGAAACATAAGTGCATCTTGGGAAAGCACTTGGGAGTGCTTCTTGAAGAAGCACATGACAGGTGCTTCTCCAGAAAGCGCTTTTATGGCCAAAAAGCGCTTCTAAACATTTCTACCAAACGCTATCAGAAGCGCTTTTGGTTGTCAGAAAGCACTTTTAACTATTCTAGAAGCACTCCCAAACGAGCCCTTATTCTAAGGAAATATTTGCTTTGCCTTCTTTTATTTTTGAAACAAATCAACATGGCATGGGTAATCTGAATCCATTTTATTTGTTTTATAATCTGAATATATTTTATTTATTAAAAGAGACGACGACAATTTGTACACAGATAGACGTTAAGAACGAATACCCTAATGTTTCTAAACAATTAAACCTGTAATTACAAACATTCTTAATTGAGCATCCATACGCCCTTCCCTTCCATATGCAGTATAATACTCGCGGTTTCTCATATATAGTTTTTATATTTGGGCCCCAATATTTCTACCTAATTGCTATATCAGCCCCTCTCGCACCACGTTTCACCACCCACAGAGCGAGTATTGAACTCAACACACTCGATCAAGTACACAAGACCCCAGGCCCCTCCAATTTGGCGAGGCGTATTTGTTTCCCTCGTTTTGTTTGTTCAAAATTCAAAAACGACCCAACAACTCCATTCATCCTCTCTCTCTCTCTCTCTCTCTCTCTCTCTCTCTCTTCTCTCTTTCTCTCATTGCATAAATCACCTAAAAAAGAAAACCAAGAAGAAGCTAGGTTTGTTTTTTTTTTTTTTTTTTTTTCTGTTTAATTTTCGCAATCGTTATGCTCGCTGTTGGACCGTGAATTAGGGCTTCTCTGCAGATCGGTGTTGAGGTTTCTTGACAGGTCGGTTTCGGGAGCTATGGGCTGCTTCTTTGGTTGCTTTAGGGTCAAGGACGATCGCCATCTCCGCTCTCGGCCTCACCTCGTCTCCCAATCCTCGCGTAACAATCAGACGGTAAGGTTTCAATTTGGTTCCCGAGAAAATGTTTCGTCTTCTCAGTGTCTGTCTTTACTGTTCTGTGAATTATTCCAAATTTTGTGAAATTTTGTGAAATTTTGAGGAAATCAGAGTCAATTGAGTACTAATTTGCGCTTGATCTTGAATTAACCTAAGAAAAAAAAAAAGATCATATAAATTTTCAATTTTTAATTTGGTTGCTGAGGATATCATAGAAAATGGAACCAAAAGCATTTCAATTTACTATTTGTTTTGTTCTATTTCGTTTTATTAGCTACCAAGAGTCGATTAGTGTTTCTTTTAGTTAGCTTGCAAACAGTGGATGAATGAGTTCTATATAATATAACACTGCTTTCTTGTTTTCCATTTCCTTTATGTTAATCAGGAAGTCGTGATATCTCAAAACCGTTTGTCGTCTCTATTTTCAGCCGAAGGTTTATTATTTTATTATTTTATTATTTTTGTCGCATATCAACCTTTTTCTTCAATCTGAGTCATAAATTTTATTGCTGATTTTCCTTCTTGTTTGGTTTGCATATAACTCTCAAAGAGAGAGAAGGTTCTCCAAGCAAAGATAGGGAAAGTCCATGTTATGGGTCTCCACAAATTGACAAGGAGCTGAGGAATGAGGTATGAGTTTGGAAGTATTGGAACCATAGTCTTGTGCATTCCAGCTTTTTACTATGGCTTTTCCCTTACAAGCTAGAACATTGACAAATTTAATGACCTTTTGTCCTGCGCACAGTGAACTTGAAAATGAATATAGCACTTAAAGATATAGATGATTTAGATGGTAATGCTAAAGAATAAGATAATTCGAATCTGATAGGGCCATTTTTGCCAATTAATTTGTTGGGTATTTTAGTGAAGAAACAACATCAATTCAGTTGCTCCTTTAGTGTAATGTGATATACTGCAACAAAGACGTTCTTTTCCAGTATCATGGTGTTTAAGTGAAGAAACAATATCAATCCATGTTACTTTATAAGTTAGACAGTGTGACATTCAATGGAGCTTTAATTCCATTTTTGTAGTAGATTTAATCTCATTGTTACAATTTGCTGGTCACATTTTTGTTTGAATTTCTTATACTGTTGGAAAATATTTATTTTACTTATGAACCGCACCTTATTCTGCAGGCCAAGTTTCTTAAAGCTTGTGGTACGTTAGTAGAGACCCCAGTTGAAATTCGGAAGGCGTCTTCAAAGTTAAATGGCTCACCCCATCATGATAGAGGTTCAGAGCCTCCAAAGTTCAACTCATGGCTTCCCAACACATCCATTAAACAACTTCAGCAGGAGGATCAACCAGATCAGCCCCTTACACCTATTAAACTTGGTGAAGAGTGGGGAAAGGGATCACGTCGTTCAGACAATACACCTAGCAGGTTCTACAACTGTATTTAATGCTTAAAAATTAATAGATTTGCTATTTATAGATGACTTGGGGGATCGTTTGCTAAACCATAATTTCAATCTGACATCGTTTAGCATTGAAATTTTTTTTGGTTTCCATAGGGAAAAATCGGTGCCAATTTGAAATGGTCTGCATAAAATAATTGAGTTTTTCTTTTTTTCTTTTTCTGGTGTAATGATCTGGACTTTCAGGAACCTTTTAGATTTAGTAAACATACTTGATTCGTGGGACTTTCGTCCTTATATTTTAGATTTTATTTCCTTGGAATAGCATAGCTTCTGACACTAGTCCAATTTATTTTGTTTGCAATGGTAGTATGTCGAACCAACAGAATACTGGAGGAATCTCTATCAGCTCTACTGAAGGCAGTGGAATAGTTACTGATTCGACAGTCAAGACTGAGAGTATTTCAACTCCAGATGTCCAGTGCAGGAGCAAGGCTGTTCATTTTGAATGTGATATCGATACAAATTCCTCCAGAGGTTCTTCATCCGAAAATTATAGCCGGAGTGCGAAGGTATCTGAAACTCCAGGAAAACAGAGCATATCAAAGCCTTCAGTTTATCCAACCCCACTAACTCTGTCTGATGAGATGCAGACACCAGGAACTGTTTTCCCCGCAAACCTGGGAAATTTTCCAAATGGAAAGGCTCGAATCAGGTCCCAGTATGTCTATGCCGTGCAAAACCCTGTAGAGGGCATCTCTCAGTGGAAGTTAATGAAAGATGAAGATTCGAACTCACAGGGACTTTCAGGTGAGCTAAGAGAATCTCTTAACCAATCCGGAAATGCAACCCCTATATCAGAAGTGGGGGCCAAAGAAACTTCATCTGGACAAGAGTTCAATGTGGAATCAAGTTTGTCCTCCTGGCTGAAACCAGTAAATCGAGATGACAACAACCAAAACTTTGGTTATGTTCCTGGCCGAACTCGCCATTTTGGAAGAACTCCTGGGGACAGGCCTATCATTGGGCTTGTTGCTACTCACTGGAATGAAGATGAGTCTACTCGTATCTCGCCGAAGTGGTGGGACGGCAACGGGATCCCAAACTCAACTAATAAATACAAGGAGGTATGCCAAAGTGCTTTCTATTTCTTTTTGCAGCCTTGAATCTTTAAAGCAGTGTTCTGAACTCTGAAGTGATATTTTAAATTTCAGGATCAGAAGGTGAGTTGGCATGCGACACCATTTGAGGAGAGGTTAGAGAAGGCATTGTCTGAAGAGAGTTTCATCTCTCAGAGGTATTAAATTGCTCTGTTCTGGCAAGGGTGTGATTTTTGTCTAAAGAAGCATTGATTTGCCTTAACAGCATTTGTTTTGTATGCAGAAAACACATTGAGGGAAAGCCAATTGTATTCGATGAGACTGAGGAGAGTGATACTGCCCTTTCTCAGTTGCAATCTTCATCCCAGCCAAAATCAGTGGTTTCATTCTGATGAAAAGATGGTGGTTTTATCCCATTTTGTTGTTTGTGTTACATGAGTTTTGTTGTTGAGGAAGTTAAGCTCATTAAAACTTAAATTTGAAATTTGGGGTATGGGGCAACTTGTTGATCGGCTTGCATCAAAGCAAGCCACTGAACGATTAAAGCGGATTCTGGAAATTTTATTACTGTGTCAATATAGTCATGCTGGCAGCATCCTAAGCTGCTTAGAATGTACAGAATTATCGGAAATCATATCTCAGTGTTTTGGACTATTTATTTATGCTTCAATCTCTCTATTGCTGTCATTCTCTGTTCATTTTAAAACATTGCAGTTTGTGAGTAACTATAGTGTAGTTTGGAGCACAGATATGTGATATAATTTGTTTACGTGTTATAATATAACTGGTATAACTTGTTTATGTAGGAGTATTGATATTATACTCTGTCATTCACTCATATTATAATACGTGATTGAAGTAAATATTCTTAACTATTTGAACTATAAGTTCCTTGCACCACGTGATTATATTTTAGTATTATATAATAATTTCTCGGAATTTGGGTGTTCTGAAGACCCAAAAAAAAATAAAATTTGATGTGATTGTCACCCAACTCAGGACCATAGAAACCCAGGAAATATGAATTGGGTTGGGCTCAGACAACCTAGGTCCACTAAATAGGCCCAAATTACATAACACTGCAGCCCTAAAACCCAGAAGAAGAGAAAAAAAACTGAAATATAAATGGAAGCTTCCAGTCGGCGTTATGTAGAAGGGCGCGAGTGGAGCGGCTGCTGGTGTGTGAGAAATAGAGTTCAGAGGAATGCTTTGCTCGAAGCGGCATTTAATCAAACACCATGTAGACACGAAAATAACTGAGGGGACCGTGATTTCCCATACAATTTTATAGTTTTCAATCTGAATGCGTTTGGTTACTTTGCTGCTCGTATGACATCTCCTCTGTCTCTCTCTCTCCCTACTCTGCCCACCTCGAACCCTCGGGGCCTTATGATGATGTCTGAAGGCTCCACTTCGCTTTGAATAGTTTTTTTCTTTAGGTTTGATTAATTTATTTTTTCGTATTTTTTGTTCCATGATGTATGTTCTTGTTGGTTTTTATTTTCTTCAATAACCATGAAATTTTTACAATTTATTTTGAATTTTCATATAAGACAGTGCCTGTGATGTAAGGGTTTTCTATGCAAGCTGGGTTTAGAATGGCTTTAAATTTCAAAGACCAATTTTTGACATTGTCATTTAATATAATTTATACAGAGTTGAGGTAAAAAAGGTGGGTGGATGATCACTTTAAACTTTCAATGGTTGTGATGATATAATCCTAGTTGAATGCATGTATTCTGGAGACTTTAGGCACCTTGGTCCTTGGGGTCCATACAAAGCAGAGATTACTGTAGATAGGCCACCATGATTGGCTTGCCCCAGTCAAGGATAATTAAATTTCTACCGCCCCTTGTGATGATGAGCTAAGAGCTTATCAAAGCAAAAGAACTAGTGACCAAAGGCAAATTGGATACCTCTTTTTCAATAAAGAAATGAATTCTTCTGAGAGAGGAAGAGCTAGAGAGTCTATATAAGAACTGGGAACCAAAAGCTGTTCTGCAGAGACACTTTGTACGTTACTTGTTTTTTCAATTGTCAAAAGAATCAGAATGGTAGTAAAGGTGTATGGCCCTTTCTATGCTTCACCTAAGCGTGTGCTAGTGTGCCTTGTTGAGAAGGAGATTGAATTTGAGACCAGCCCCATTGATCTCTTCAAGGGAGAGCACAAAGACCCTGAATTCCTCAAATTGCAGGTTAGTTTTAGCTATTAATTTTCAGTTGTTAATTGCGATTGCTCTACTCATACTTATCTTTTTGGAAATTATGTATATATATGATCTTTGCATTGTTTTGTCTTTACATGTAGCCCTTTGGACAAGTTCCTGTCATTCAAGATGGGGATTACACTTTATATGGTATGCTGCTTTTTTAATTTTATATTAACATTCACTGACTTTAATCTGTTTTGCTTGCTCTCAAGATAAATATTAAGTCGTTCAATAATAATGTTCTTGTGTTTTCTTTGTTAGATATATGTTGAAAATTCTGACAAGGGTATTTTAAATTCTTATTTTTTTAACAAGAATGGTCAATAAGTTTGGAGGTAGGTCCCAAATTGGGCACGTCATCATCTGACTAAACGATTAATCAATTTGACTTAACTTCGGTAGTTTATTAGAGGGAATAGATCTTACATATCAAGAGAAGTCAAAAAATGACGATTTTGTTGACATCAAAAGCATGTTGGGACATTTGTTCGAGTATAGTTGAAATTTTCTATTTCTAAACAGTCTAACATGTTATGTTCTTAACTTATAACAACGTTGATGAAAACCACTTCGATCATGCAGATTTTCATTTGAAGTTGAATGTGTTTCAGATTAGAAGCCAGATAACTAAGTTGCCGGGGTATTAGTATTCACCCTGGTAATTATGTAGTATGTATTTACTTTGCTTTGAACTTTTGGGATGAATTTCCTAAATCTGCAAAGCTTTTCAGTCATTACAGCAGGATATATAATATTTGGACATGTTTTTTATGGGTAAGATTTGACTACATAATATCAAAGGCTAGAGTATAACTACATATGGCATTACATTTTGGGGCTTTACTTCAGTTCTTTATTTAAAATTGTTTGCAACATCCAGCAAACATTGGAATGTTTAGGGAGAGAGAAATTTATGCAAATTGTTTCACGACAAACTTGTTATCTGGATTTTTTTTTGTCTGCATCAATATAATGATCTAACAAGTTCTTTGATAAAATTGTCAAAATTTGATATGCAGAGTCACGCGCAATCATAAGGTACTATGCAGAAAAATACAAGTCCCAAGGGACTGATTTGCTGGGAAAGACAATTGAGGAAAGAGGTCTTGTGGAACAATGGCTAGAAGTTGAAGCAAGCAACTATCACCCACCACTCGACAACTTAGTTATTCAGATTTTGTTTGCCCCAGAATTGGGTCTTCCTTTGGACCCGAAGATCATTCAGGAGAGTGAAGAAAAGCTCGGCAAGGTGTTGGACGTTTACGAGGAGAGGCTGTCGAAGAGCAAGTATTTGGCTGGTGATTTTTTCAGTCTTGCTGATCTTAGCCACCTTCCATTCACCTACTACTTGGCAAATAGTATGGGGAAGGAGTATATGATAAAGGACAGAAAGCATGTCTCTGCTTGGTGGGATGATATTAGCAACAGACCTTCTTGGAAGAAGGTCCTCCAGCAGTTTGGTGCCCCATTTTAAGGTATGGGAAGAAATTTTTGCATGCAAGGAGTGTAAACAATGTGTATCGTAATAATTTGTCACGTGAACGACATGTGAGGGAATTATTGTTGGAGGAACGTTGGATTCACTGGTTGTACACAATAATTTTTTTACCTTGGGGCTTTGGCCAAAATAAATAATTAAAAGTACTTGTGGGAATAAGAAGCTATGCCCCCTTGTAATTTGCTCTCTTAGGGCTTAAAAAAGCATTCTTGCTGGATCTGTAATCCATTCAGGGTGTATAAGTGGATTAATATGATGGAGTTGGAAAGGTTTTGTTTGTTAAAAGCAGTAGTTATTTCTCCTCTTGTATAATCTGAACTTTTTTAATTTTTGGATACAAGCAGTATTCGGGGAGGGGAATCGAATCTAGGATCTCAAGTGCAGAGATAAATGCTCTTAACCACTTAAATTACAAGCTCCTTGCTAGACGGGTTTTAGAACCAATATTTAGATTAAGGTATGGGTGTGGTGAGTAATTTGAGTGCATGATGAATGGCTTGGTATAATTCATATTTTGGGTTGAGCCTGGACTTTAGAAAGGTTGGTGGCTTACTACTGACTACTGAGAACTGAGAAGCAACTTGTCAGTTTGGACCTAAACTGGTTTCTGTCTTTGAATAGCCTACAAAAAGATCATAGATCTTTGCAACTGTTTATCAACCCTTTTTTTTTCTCTAACAAATTGAACAAATTTACAATGGATTTCTATGAGTTATTCCCTCATAATTACTTTAAAAAATAAATCGTAGATTATAAATGTGAATGATGCTAGTTGATCAAGTAGTACTTCTATTCTCTTGCAAGTTCGATTGCCATTTATCATAATTTAGACTATTGAAGACGGTTGAGAGGCCCATACATATCACTCATTTGAACTTTGGCATCTTGTATTAGTGAATGTGCCCAAGCTACCCATACAAGATATTCAATCAGAATCCAAAAATATTTGGTTCAGTAGCACATTGTTTTCATGCTATTTGGGTTGGTGAATACAAAACACATTGTTTTCATGCTACATTTGATTTGGAGCATACAAAACGCATTGTTCTCATAGTATTTCAGAACCTCACTTGAGTGCATGAATGGCATGGTGGCACACGCATTCTGAACCCTTTTGGCACTTTTTAATTGCTCGTGCAATGCACAGCAGCCTAAATAGAACTATGATGTCAAAGGCTACCATAATGAAAAATACTTTCCCCCTTATTATATAAATAGGGTTCATACATTCTTTTCAATATCAATGTGACGTGTGTATAATTTTTTTGGTTGTGTTTATAATAAATTATCTCATTTCAGAGTGGACACGCAGTATCCACTCATAATTGTCTTGTACCGATTAAAGAATTAACTTCATGTGACCACCAACCCACTACCCACCACAGCCTTCAAAAAAGAGAAAGACAGAACAACATAATGACACCCCAAGTTTATCTTTCTGCACTTCATATTTCTGAGTGCACTAAAAATCTTATGAGCTTATCTGTTTTGGAGTGCAGAGGCCAATTATTGGACCACTAGGTATGAGCATATCACACCTTAACTACTAAGAACTAAGAAACCAAAATCCAGAGTACTCTGCAGACTGAGATCTGAATACTTGGTTTCTCACTGAAACAGTAAGAATGGTGGTAAAGGTGTATGGCGCTGCCTATGCTTCCCCAAAGCGTGTGCTAGTGTGCCTTGTTGAGAAAGAGGTCGACTTCGAGACCATCCCCATTGATCTCCTCAAGGGAGAGCACAAACACCCTGAATTTCTCAAATTGCAGGTCACCTTTTGCTATTAATTCAATCTATTGTCATTGTTTCTGCTCATCATCTCTTTGGAAATCATATTTATCGTCTCTATATATGACGGTTGATCTTAATTTGTATTGCTTTTGTCTTTAAATGTAGCCCTTTGGAACAGTTCCTCTCATTCAAGATGGGGATTATACTTTATATGGTATGCTAAATCTTTAATTTTGGGATCAAAGTTAGCGTTACATTTAATTTTTCTTCATCTTTTAGCGTACCATTTTGTGGGTTTGCTTCAATTCATCATTTGAATCTGTGTAGAGCATCAAATTGGGATTGTACTGTTTGGGAAGTAAGAAAGTTTTGAAATTTTTTTCTTTCACAATAGTGTTCACTGGTTTCTTATCAGCATCATCAACATAATGATCTCACAAGTTCTTTGATAAAACTGTCTTTGATCTGCAGAATCACGCGCAATCATAAGGTACTATGCCGAAAAGTACAAGTCTCAAGGGACTGCTTTGCTAGGGAAGACAATTGAGGAAAGAGGGCTTGTTGAGCAATGGCTAGAGGTTGAAGCACACAACTTCCACCCACCACTCTATAACTTAGTCCTTCACATTTTGTTTGCCTCAGGATTGGGTTTTCCTTCAGATCCCAAGGTCATTCAAGAGAGTGAAGAAAAGCTAGGGAAGGTGTTGGACATTTATGAGGAGAGGCTGTCAAAGAGCAAGTACTTAGCTGGTGATTTCTTCAGCCTTGCTGATCTTAGCCACCTTCCATTTACTCAGTATCTGGTGACTATTTTGGGGAAGGAGTATCTGATAAAGGACAGAAAGCATGTCTCTGCTTGGTGGAATGATATTAGCAACAGACCATCTTGGAAGAAGGTCCTCGAGTTTGGTGGCCCATTTTAAGGCAGATGTATTTCTGCATACAGCGGGTGCATACAATGTTTTTCGCTTAGTCATGTCCTGTGAACGTTCGAGGAAAGATATTGTGCGAAGAGCGTTGCATTCACAAGTAGTTGTATGTATGAATTTCTCTACCTTGAGCTTGGGCTTGGGCAAAAATAAATAATCAAAACTACTTGTAAGAATAATGATGTGCTAAGTCCTTCATCATTTGCTTTCTCTCTTGGCACATGGTAAAATAGACTTCTTTACCTTTTCTTTTTTGCTTTGTCTTGACAACTTGTTATGGTTAACTGCTTGGTTGAATAAGTTCCTCATTTTTGAATTAAGAATGCTCAAGCTGGATTTGGGAGGGGTTTTAAAGCCAGTCCATTTTTGGGTTTGGGCTGGATTTTAGTAAAGTTGGTGGCTTAGCTATAAGCAACCTGTGGGCTAGCTTGTCCTGCTTTTGTTCTGATTTAACTTCACCCAAAAACCGAAGTTCGATGTTAAAAGCTTTGTCTTTCTCGCTCTCTTTTATCTCTCTTCTCACTCCATCTTCTCACTCTCGCTGACGGCCAGACCCATCTGCCAAGTCTTGGGTTAAGCCTTCACCATTGAAGGAAAGAACGAGGTACTTGAGCTATTTATTGGTCTGCTTCTTCAACTTTTTTCTTCTTCCTACATTTGATTCTGTGATGCAAGTTTTGATATTAAACCGATGCTTGAATGAATGGTTCTGGACTTGAGGTTTTGCTTGGATTATGTTTTATTAATGTGTAAGAATGCCTTTTTATTCTGAAACACGATTGATTTGTTCGGAAAGATCAATTCCATTCCACTATAGAACTCTATTTTCACTAAGGCCCGTTGGATAACCATTTCAATTTTAGTTTTAGTTTCATTTTTTGTGCTAGAGTATATAGGAAAATGAGAGTGAGAATGAGAGTGAGGATGAGATTGAGAAGAGGATAAGAAGAGAGGATGGGAGGGAGGAGTAACAAAAGTGAATACAAAAACTTGAAAGTAAAAACAATTTCAAATAGATTTCAATTTTTAGTTTTTATTTTCACTTTTATTACTCCTCCCTCACACCCTTCCCTCTCAATCCCATCTCCACTCTCATTCTCACTTCCATTTCTCCCTCCTTATCCTCTATACTCTAGCACAAAATGTAAAAAACTAAAAACTAAAATCGAAATGGTTATCAAATGGGGCCCTAAATGTCATATTTTTTCTGTAGGGCTTGGGGGTTTCGTTGGTAATAGAAATTGAGTAATTGCATTTCATTTGGAGCGTGATGTGAATTAGAAAAACCAAATTTGTGTAATCTTCAATGGTTGTAGCAAAGGGAAAAGAAACAAAACAGAAAAGTAGATCAGAGCAAATGAGAAAGGGGAAGTGGGCAAACCCATTTTGGGATGTGAAACATCATGAATGCTTTAGAAGAGAAAAATTTAGTTGCAACTGGGATATCACTATTTTGCTCCCCGACCAATAATGCTATGCCGTGTGAAAATGTTATGACGCGTTTTCACGTGACATAGCATTATTGGACGGAGATAACAAAATAGTGTTATTCCCATTTTATGAAAGTCTTTCCCGGTTTAGAGGGGTGCTTTTTGGAGTTTCTAAAGATGAACTTTAGTTGAAAACAAAGCTAGGTATTCACATTTTTTTCTAGGGTTTTGGACTTCTTGGGCTGGTTTTGCTTTTGTAGCTTTCCTTGCTTTATTTGCTTTTGTACCTTTCTTAGCTTTAATTGCTCTTGTATGACTTTCGTGAATGTTAGATTATCAGAGCATTATTAACTCTTTGTTGACTTTTCTTTCATATATCTATTACATAGTGTATGCAACAACTATGGAGAAATAGAAATAAGGATTTCCATTCCAACATTCCATTCTCATTACCTTTCCCATTAACATTAGCATTCAATTTCATTCCACCAATAACATCAGTTTAGAAAGATTGGTGGAATGAAATTGGTTTCCGTCTTTGCACCAATAGAGTTCAGTTCTCTTGTCTCCAATTTATATGGCCCTCCCTGTCTCCATTTTCGATTTCTGCAGTTGTACTCGACATAAATAATAGATAAGCCCATCAACTCTCTTTTCTATCAATTATGTGTGAGGACAGGTGGTAGAAAACGAAGAAGTAGACAGGGAGGGCACAGATAAGTTGGAGACAGGAGAATTGAACTCCAAAAAGATCATACTACTTTGCAACCGATTTAGTCCATACAAAACACATTGTTTTCATGCTATTTGGTTTGATGAATGCAAAACGCATTGTTTTCATGCTATTTCATAACCTCACTTTAGTGCATGCATGGCATGAGGGCACATGCGTTCCGATCCGAACACCTTTGTGCTTCTTACCCATCTTACTTCTAAAACGTGAACCATAATCTACCCAGAATTACAATTGTGGTTGCTCTCTCTCTCTCTCTCTTCTCCCCATCAGAAATTTCACACTCCCAAAAGGAATCTAAATTTCAACCTCTATAAAATCCATATTTTGTCATGTATAAGATAGGGAACAATCCATCATTTCAAAGAGTGACCTGACATTTATAAGCTGTATTATCTCCAATCCTTTCCAATCCTTCATTGACCTTTCTCTATTATCTATTTATATCATTCATACAGTCATGAATTATGATGAAGAAACAGTTTCTGGATAGTTGATGTGTGAAAGAAAGTTTGTAAATTGTAATCTTAATTTTGGGAAAACTGAAAAGAAAAAGAAAAACAGTAATGAGTAATTGCATTTCATTTGGGGTGTGATGTGAATTAAAAAACCAAATTTGTGTAATCTGTGATCTACAAAGTTTATGCATCAACTATGGACAAATATAGAAATAAGGATTTCTATCCCAAAATTCCATTTTCATTATCTTTCCTATTAACGTACCATTCAATTTCATTGCCCCAACCAAACACCACTTAGAACCAAAAGCTGGAATGTGCAGACTGCAGGCTCTTCTAATTCACAATGGTGGTGAAGGTGTATGGCTCCGTCAACGCTTCCCCACAGCGTGTGCTGGCTTGCCTTGTAGAGAAAGAGATCGACTTTGAGATTATCCCCATTGATCTCTTCAGGGGAGCACAAGGACCCTGAGTTCCTCAAATTACAGGTTAGCTTTAGCTAGTATTATTAAGTCACTTGTTAATTGTGATTGGTCTACTCATAATAATCTCTTTCGAAACTATAAATATATTGATCTTTGCATTGATTTGTCTTTAAATGTGTAGCCCTTTGGACAAGTTCCTGTCATTCAAGATGGGGACTATACTCTGTATGGTATGCTCTGCCTTTTCTGCTTTCTGGTCTTTAATTTGGGACCAAAGTAATTAACATTACATGCATTTTGTTATTCGATTGGAATGCTTGGGAAGCAAGAAATACAGAGTTTTGTTTGACATACACAAACTTGTTCACTGGTTTCTAATCTGACGTGCAGAATCGCGTGCAATCATGAGACACTACGCAGAAAAATTTAAGTCCCAGGGGGACTGAGTTGCTGGGAAAGACAATTGAGGAAAGAGAGCTTGTGGAACAATGGCTAGAGGTTGAAGCAGAAAGATTCCACCCTCCAGTCTACAAGTTAGTCGTTCACATTCTGCTTGCCTCAGCATGGGTTTTCCTTCAGATCCCAAGATCATTCAAGAGAGTGAAGCAAAGCTGGGGAAGGTGTTGGACATTTATGAGGAGAGGCTGTCAAAGAGCAAGTACTTGGCTGGTGATTTCTTCAGCCTTGCTGATCTTAGCCACCTTCCGTTTAGCCAACACTTGGTGGCTGATTTGGGGAAGGAGCATATCATCAGGGACAGAAAACATGTCTCTGCTTGGTGGGATGATATCAGCAACAGGCCATCTTGGAAAAAAGTCCACCAGCTTGGGGTGTTTGAATTTCCTAAACGATTATGATGTGATATGTATATGAATTTTCCCTTCTCCAAACAAAATGTTGTTTATGACGTTGATGAATGTAAAGGGGAACTTGACAAAATAACATGAAAATGAAACATATATAATGAGTGGTTCTCCGTTATTAATAGTGCCGAGACTTTTTATGATAAAACAGCACACCTACTGGACTTTGTGAATTGTAATCCGACAATTATTGGACCGCCATTTACAAGTGCATGTTTGAAAACCGCAAGGCTTTGTTTGCAGTGTATAGGGTCAGCGTCCAGACATATGAAATCATTTATGATTTGGGTACGGGATCAGTACAATTCTTCTGTCATTTTGGCCCCATAGAGGAAACAAGAAACACAGTTTTCACACATAAGATGGAACCGTGGGAAAGTTCTGGATATTTGATAAAATATTGCAGATGTAATTATAATATAGAAGATTATTTCTCTCCCAACCCTACACTCAATCCTCAAAGATAGAGATGAGAAAATCCATTGTATTAATTATTATTTCCATTTGGCCTGTTTATCACAAAACGCGACACGTTTAATTTGCATGCATATGCATGTTATCTATCACAAAAATGAGGCAAGTTGGGCCATTGGATTGAAGAAAGCAAGAAAGTGAAGGGTAGATTCTGAAACCGACAAACATGCTAATGCTAAAAGTCAATGTATAACGTACATGTTTTTGTTTTATTTGGCAAGAAATTAAGCAATTTCATTAGCTCCACATAATTGAACGTTTTAGCTTTTCAGCATGCGTGGATTGAAACGAGAGAGAGAGAGAGAGAGAGAGAGAGGAGAGAGAGAGAGAGAGAGAGCGGGGGGGCCACTTGAGGCTTGACTTGCCAATTGCTTTGTCATTTATTCGTTTGGCTAGACTTGGAGAAGAGACTTTCCATAGTTTGGTTATTCACCATTAATGAAAATTATATTCAATTAATTCTTATAATGTTCTTGTAAAAAGAAAAGAAAAAAAAACACCATCATTTCTACAGGAAGTCACAAATATACACCCAATAGTACATTTGATTTCCAGTCAAACCATAATCAAAAGAAAATTTAGTTTAGGTCACAAAAACCTTTGAAATTTGAAAATGCGATTTTCTACTAGTCATAGTCATACTCATTCATTTTTCCTCCTTTTGGTCAGGTTTTCCCCCACATATTACGTATATTTGCTTAATGTTTAAATACTTAAAAATTGCCCACCACAACATACACAAATTTCTAGTAGTTTGTAAATTACCTACGTATGTACCTTCATGAGTATTTCTAAATGTTCTAGAATTTTTCATTTCTCAAAGAAAATGTCCAATCATTTCTCCTTGCAAAGAAATTGTCACAACTATTTAACACACATACTAGAAGCTTAGTGTATTCTATGTGGACACGTCAACATTTTCATTTTGTATTTTATGTGAGCGTGTGTCAAATTGTGATATATCCAATCAGGGGCGAAGGCAAGCGTAAGTCATAAATAGCCTCTTAGCCATCCATTTTTTCCATTAATTTTCATATTTATAGATATAAGAAAAAAATTGATATAATTCAGTTTTATGACCCCTCCACCTCTAATAAGTGATTGTCAAAATTTCCATTTCAACATGAATATATATATAGCAGTAAATTTGCATTTTATTACTCGAATAAGAAAACCTCCTTGCATATCTTGTAAACGACAATTTTTCAAGTGATGGTGGTAGTGTTTATTTAGACTCTTGGCTTATTTTAGAGTTTCAGTTATTTTGGTTTTGTGAGCTTTGTTTGAAATTATGCTTAATTTGGAGCCCCCTTTTTCATACATTATTATTCTGAGCATAGCATTGTTTTACATGTACTGTACAGAGATACATATTAAAGCAAAAACGGCGTAGTATTGATGAGGTAAGATTACGTCAGAGGTAAGACTATTCTAAGGAGTGTAAGTCGAAGAAGAAGCTTCTTGAAGACCTGACTATATCTCTGCCCTACAACCTCAAATATATATAGGACTTGGACTTTTTGCTTTTCAATAATTTGGTTTTAAGTATCAATAAAATTGTTGACGTTTGCATGCATGGTTGACTTGAAAATTTAAACTCAGTCTGGCCATTAAAAACCTATCGGCTTCCACTTCAACCGTCTCTCTATCTCTCCCTCTCTCTATCAAATTCAATTCTCACACACACATATATACATATATATATATAGTCCCTTTCTATTGAGAGATTCATCAAATAATTTTATTTGAGAGACGCCTATTAGGGTACTCTACAATTTTTTTCCCAATGATCCAAACCATCCATTTTTTAGGTATTCATTCATAGATCATCCTTACAAAAAATTAGACAAATCGGAAACCGTTTCGACATCCAATTGTGTTTTACAAAATCAATGAACACGGTGCTTCAAGAAAGTATTAAAATTTCAATAACTCAATTGAGTGGTCAAATGATATCGGATTCAAGTGATTTTTTTGTAGAGACAATCTTTGAATGATTATCTACAAAATAGACGGTTTGGATTAGTGAAATAGTGGGGCCTACAAGGGGTGTCCCTCAAATAAGCTTATTTGAGGGATCCCTCAATAAAAGCTCTCTATATATATATATTCTTCTTCCTTTCTGCAGTGTGCGGACCACATTTAATTTTGTACGAAACTCACCTGTCAAATTTTTGATGCTAGTGGGATGACAATTCTTATGCTTGTTGAAAGTCGTATATGTAAGGAAGAATGGTATGACCGAAGAAATATCAATCAACAATGCAATCAGTAAATATAATTATACAATAGTTATGTGTATTTTTAAAATATATTATTCTATTGAAAAAATAACACACAAAATCTTTATACCTTCTCGATATCGATAAATATAAGAGAACATAATGATAAGGAAAAAAATATCACACGCACTTGCATATAATCTTTATTATTATTTTTTTTCGAATCTCTTTTAATATTAAGAAGAAATATATCATTAGTTAAAAGAGTTCGTTTGGTTAATACAAATAGAGCGTTATGGGCCTCATGTACTGTATCAAAATAGAACATAAAATTATATGTTTTTTAATACAAAGTTTTTTTCACTGAACTAGATTCCGTGGGGAAAAAAAAACTGTATTATCATAAGAGAAGAAGAATTATCACCCTTCCAAAGTGGACAATGGCCTGGTCTATATAGGAGGGCAAATTTGATGCATTAAAATGGGTCAAACATCTCTCCCCCCAGCAAATAATTAATATTGTTTACTAAGCTTCTCGTTGAAATTAATTGTCCCAATAAAAGAGTAAGGTACGTGGCCAATATATTAGTCAAAGGGCATGCCCACTCAAGTAGACTTTTAAACTATTTTACATGATCCATATCCTCAAATTTCTAAAAGTCGCATGTCACATGTTCTTTACCTTTCATGATTAATAATTTGCCTTTTCTAAGCCTACCCAGGATTGTTCCACAAATCACAATTGGTCACACATAATCAGTGTATGAAAGACTAATTAATTAAAAAGAAAAAATAGAAGAAAAGAAAGAGAAAATGTGAGAATAAGAATGCGATATTGAAAAGTTAAAAATCTTTCAAGGGCTTATGAGGAGTTGGACTATTCTCTCATTGCTAATTGGGTTTGGGGTGGAACTTCAACTTCCTTTATGGTATCAGAGCAGGTTTGTTCACGGGTGAAAACCCAACGAGACACACATGCTCTATATCACCTAATATATATTATCCAAGTGTTAGACTTGAAAATCACCCCGCTAAAATGGGAGATTGCCAAAAGTGGGCAAAATGGGTCAAAGGCTGGAACTCGAACTCTCCTGCATGTGGACAGAGTCAGAGGGACCAGCATATGAGATATAGACTTCTTCCAAGACCTTTTCGATCATGCCATGACTTGACTGAGGCAACCACCACCGCTTGAAACATCGATATATATAATATTTTAATTAATTAATTGATTAAAATTCTCGTGGGGGAGAAACTTAACTAAGATATTTACTCTATATATATAAGAAGATTCTACTTTGATACTATAGCGCGGAGAAGAGAAGAATAGTAGAGTCTAGAGAGAGAGAGAGAGAGAGAGAGAGAGAGAGAGAGAGAGAGAGAGAGAGATATGGAGGTGGCAAAGGTGATTAGAAATTCATCAGATCAGAAGGTTAAGGATGATGATGAGGAAATGATGCTTCCAGGGTTTAGATTTCATCCAACTGATGAGGAACTTGTTGGGTTTTATTTAAAGAAGAAGGTGGAGAAGAAACCCATTAGCATGGAGCTCATCAAACAGATTGACATCTACAAATATGATCCTTGGGATCTTCCAAGTAAGACCCTTCATAATTTTTGTTTTTCAGTTGATTATATATGTGTATCTGTGAATAAATATGTATGCAAAAATCTTGAAAATATGCAGGATTAATATCTCAGATATAACGTTGATAGATCTATACAGTACGGCTGGTATGGCAGAAGGAGAGAATTATACAAGGAGGCTGCGCGTTTTGCATGTCTTATAGCAAAAGCATATGTAGTCATTTTTACTGTGTGCTAGGAAAATGAAACTAAAATCTCCATCCGAAGGAAAATTAGGGTTCTAGTTAGTTGTGTAATCATCACTTTAATTTGAATTTTAAGTCCGCTATTAAATAATTTCTTCCAAAGAAAAAGTTAAGCAAAATGAGATAGCTACCTAATTTAGCTAGATAGCTAGGACAATATGAAATGATTAAGAGGAAAAAAAAACTTACATGCGGTGGAGTGATGGGACAACTTCGGTGAGTGTTGTAGACACAATTATCCCATCACTCCAAATTATGTAACATTTTCCGCTGATTAAGGGTCCTAAAAGTTGTCGTAACAAAAACTGTTTGCATATAAGTCTATATCTCCTATTAAGTTAAGCAAAACACATGGAGACATACAAAACACAAAGAGTTCATCGTAGATATAACTGACCAACCTCATTGCATGCATGTGTCATTCTATATATACATATGTATTATAATTTATAATTTGCTCTCATGAGTTGCTTGTTTTCGGGTAACAATGAAGAAGTAAGCACTGTGGGGGAGAAAGAGTGCTACTTCTTTTGCAGAAGAGGGAGAAAATACAGGAACAGCATAAGGCCTAACAGAGTGACGGGTTCCGGATTTTGGAAAGCCACTGGCATTGACAAGCCCATATATTCAGTGAAAGAGCCCCTCGAGTGCATTGGCCTCAAGAAATCATTAGTCTACTACCGTGGGAGTGCTGGCAAAGGCACCAAAACTGATTGGATGATGAATGAGTTTCGCCTTCCACCTCACGGCCATGGCAAAACTACCAACTTCCTCAATGCTAAGGACATTACACAAGAAGCTGTAAGTCTCTTCCCTAATTCTTAGGGCATCTCTAATGTAAAACCCAAATTTTCATACCAAAATTCTCATATGAGTCTAAAAATGGTGGTGCCTAGAGGCTTTGTAATTCTTTTTTGCTCTAATTGATGCACATGAGTAAAAGTAAATTTGGATTTTGAGTTTCTAGGGCATTGGAGAAGGCCTAACATAGGTTTGGACCCAGATCTAGAATTTGGGGTCTTAACATTGGAGATGGCCTTATAGTCTTAGTTAGGTGACTCAAATTTTGTATATATATGTGTTAAATTTATCGTATGCCCCAAGTGAAGTATGATAAGACCACAATTTATATGTGTAAACTTTCTTCATAAAGTTGTGTTGTCAGATTGTGAATTTGTATGCTCTAAGTAAAATTTTGTTTAAATATATGTAGATCTCATTGACAAGTATGATATGTCAAAAACTCGATCGGTACAAGAAAACAATTGATGCAACATGATATGCTCATATGTATCAGACTGACGGAAATGTTATATTATAGATAATATTGCGCAACAAAATTAAGATACTTATATTTACCTGAATCTAATACATTAATTAGGTTAATTGTTGCAAGAGAACATTACGAACCCTATGCATGCGTGGAGTTAGTTATCTTAGTGCTGGATTATATCTCCTCATTAAGTTAATTGTCTAATTATTTGCAAGTCAGAAAGCTAATCACAACTTTGAATGACGTGATTGGGTTTGCAGGAAGTTTGGACACTCTGCAGAATTTTCAAACGAATCCCATCTTACAAAAAGTACACACCAGATAATTGGAAAGAAGGCAACACGAAACAAAACCCTACTGATTCAAGTTCTAAAACATGCAGTTTCGAATCTGAGAACTACTGCGGCGAGCCACACGTGAGCCCTCAAGACTCGGTCGTCATGCAACGCATTGAAAGATCATCATCAAAACCAGTTCGTGTGGACGAACAAGTTGATGAAACAAATCAGTGGTTTAAATTTGTAGGGGAGACTCCATATGCAACATCTTATTCAAGCTTGAGGGATATTCCAAGCGACAACGATTTCTTTATAAATGGAAACTGGGATGAGCTGAGACCAGTGGTGCAGCTGGCTGCTGATCCATCTTTCCCAAGTTTATGAGTGTATAGATTGGTTTAGGCATATTTGGAGGGTGGTGTGCACCTCAGACCTTTATTTTTGTTTTTTTTCCTTTTCTGTGAGCCTTCTTTTTTCTGTCTCATGGTAGGTAAATACTGTAATAAAATTGTAGCGACTCATATATATAAATAAGAATGTGACAAACCTTGATTTACCTACTAATTTAACTATAATTTTAAAATATCAATATATACTATAATATATAGTGTGCCAAAGTCAAATGCTAGATTGTTGTAAACATGTTTTTTTAATATGTAATGAGATGAGGATGAAATGAATTGAGGAGTTGGATTAAGTATGAGCTATATAAGTACACATGAACGTAGTAAAGACATGGATATATCATGTGATAAGTGTGTTTAGTGAGGGTAATCATGCTGCTGATGTTTTGTCAAATCATGGTGCTTTGGGCTCTAATTTAATTTGGTGGGATACTACACCTTTTTTTATTTTGCCTTTTTGTCAGTGGGACCGGCTGGGCATGCCTAATTACCGGTTCTCCTAGTTTCTTTTGTTTACTCTTTCAGAGTTTTGGTTTCTTAGGTTAGTTGTTGTGCATTTTTGTCATTGTCTTTCTCTTCTGCAAGGTTTGGTTCCCCCCCCCGCCCCCCCCCGGTTGTCTTCTTCCTTTTTGTTTCTTTTTATTTAATAAATTATGATCAAGGGGGACGGGCGGGGGGCTTTCGGAGTGTTGATCCCCTCTTTGAGGATGGTGGATGTTTGTGCATCTGATGACCGATACTGAGGAGCTAATCTCACATAATCCTTTGGTTTATTTTTAAAAAAAAGTATATGTCGTGTGAGGGATGCTAGAAAGACATGGGTGCATATGAGAAATTATATAATAGTACGGTAGTAGGATTACATGGTATAGCATGTACACGCGTTATAATATGGGTAGATGACATGGTTGATATTTCCTCCTTTTACAGAATAGTATCAATAAATATCCACTTATATTATAACATGTGGACAAATTATACCATGTGACCATTCTACTGTACTACAACACTATAATTACTTGGTGTACACATACATGTCACGTGATGAGTGCTATAGAGATATGCGAGCATTTTTACTCACCACTTTAACGTAAGGTGTACCTTCACCGACATTCTCAACATTTGACATGTGTCTATGAGCATAACCATGGTCCCATAAATACAAAATAAAAAGTTAAATATGGTTCGGCTCATGAACACATGTCAAGTGTTGAGAATGACAATGAGAGTACACTTTAGGTTAAAGTGGTTGTGGGGATCTTTTTTGTTCCAGCAGCTCTAGGCTGACTTGAGCCGCTGTAAAGAGAGAGTGACGTTGGCCCTTTGCTTGGGTTCAATAACTAGGCCCCAAAATACCCGAAAGAATATACTATGGTTTCTTCTCACCAAGCTGATAATGGTTGTTGTGAACTGAAATTTTGGCTTGGCTTGAGTGGCTTGTGGCATGGAAGATGAGTCTCCATGAGTTTAGCAAGAGCGCCTGCTTAACTTGAAACAGTGTTTTGGAAAAAGGCTATTTTAGAGTTTGGAATGGCTTATGGTTTCTGGAAAAAAGGTTGAGGATTGCTTCTGGAAAAATAAGATGATGGTTGCTGGGAGAAGAAGATGATGGTTTCTGGAGATTTTAAAAAGAGAGAGAGAGAGAGAGAGAGAGAGAGAGAGAGAGAGAGAGATGGTTTCTAAGGTTAGGCTTGAGTGTTTCTAGTAGTGAGATTATAGCTTGCTCTATTGCTGCCGTTCTTTGTTCGTTCTCCTTCTTTCCTTTTGGGTGCTTCCTTTTATAGTCGCTGAAGCTTAAGCATGTGAAGAATGAGCGGCTCAAGTTGGTGACACAGTAAGTATGACTGAGGCTTTAGTGCAGGGCAGTTGGGGGTTGGGTAGTAGTCGCTAAAGCAAGACTGGCAGTGGTTTTGGTGTTGTAAGGTATAAAATTGGAGATCGGGTAATAAAGGCTGGAAGAAGACACGCTCTCTGCTTATCCACTCAATAGGCTCAATACAAATGGACTTGGGTTTTGGTGCTCCCAAGCAGCCCAAAAACCTCCATTTGTTGAACCTTTTGATGGGCCTCCTTGTAATCATTCACATCACAACCCTCTCAGCAAGCCCCATGCATGTATGTGGCTTGGGCCCACTTAAGCTTGTCGGGTGATTTAGCATAGGAAAATGTATTATTTGCTTGACATAACAAGTACACTATTTCTATATTTATTTAATGGATAAATTCTCAAAATACAGCTTGGATAAACGCATAACCAACATTATATGTTATATTGGGCTTTAAATATTCTTGGACTTCTTGTGACATTTAGGCCTCAACAGTAGTGAGCAAAAATATTTCCATAGAAATATGTGGGTGCATACACCCAATTACAATTCGGATTCTCTCCACTTAATGAGGTTTAACCATATAAGTTAGATTCCAAAATTTTGTATATTCTTTGTCTTTTGAGAAACAGTTCACCATACCCAAAAAGCAAAACCCACCATCAACATTCAATATCATAGAACTTCTCATACTGCTCGCAGAAAGGAGAAAAAACTCACAGAAATGTAAATAAATAGATTCATAAAACGACCAAGTTAGGAAAAATGAAATGTTCGGATTGTTGCACAGAAAATTCCACTTAGGTTCTTTTCAGAAACATGATAAATAGTTTAGGGAGAAGCTCCAAAGATACTTCTTCCACATAAGTATAAACCCTCTGTTAATAGCACAATATGAACACAATGAGGATAAATTTTTGCACGTGGCCAGCGGGATCACATGGAACGCATTATACAAAGACGGCCCTAGCACATGTTTTCTTTATCTGTGAATATTCGACACAATGTGGCGCATACAGACGCCTAGCCAGCCGATATCTGATCCATGCAGAATCAGGCTGCCAAGACCTCAATTTGATAAATGAAAGGGTATAAAAAGAACACCAAGTTCACATTTCTCCTATAACTGACTTCTATATAGTCTGCCGCACGCCCTACAATTTCAAGTTTTCTGCTCTACAAATGTGTCACTTCATTTTCAAGGCTGATGAAAAGAGTTCCCTCCTTGTTCATGTTGGTTACCAACTGGTTGGCTAACAACAGGAATATCCAAGCTACTTGCTTCTGACTCGGGGGCAATTTCTCTTACATCAGCTATCCTTGCATCTTGAGCCTGAATGTCACTCCATTCACCATCTCCAGCTGGCCGGTGGTTGACCTGATTCCCAGCCATGTGAACTACACTCTCCCCTGGTACTGGGACTGTTCTAGAAACACTGAGGCATGCTTTATCAACATTTTCTTCAGACAAGTCTACATGTTTAGTCAGGGGTGTATTGCCAGACTCGGACTTCTCCTCGAACACTTGCTTCGTATCAATGTGATGTCTGTCAACATGAAATGGTTGATTAATAAAATACTGAAGATAACTTAATAAGGGACTAAAGGATTATAATCCCCAAGCCACTTATATATTGGGTAAAAGGCAGAAGGTACTAAACCTTTGAAGCTGTGCTTGCAACTTATTCACATAGACCAGGAGCTCTTGCTTGTCCTTCAGCGCAGCTGATGCTTTCTGCACAGCCTCCTTTATTCTAGCTTCAGCATCTGCCTCTGCAACCCTAACCTTCTCCTCTGCTCTCACAACAGCTGCTTCTAATATCACAACACGCTCTCTAGCTTTTGCAAGCTCAGAACGCCACATGTGTGCCTCCTGAAGAGCAGAATCTCTCTGCCTGATCAATTGGTCTCTTTCTTTGCTTAAGGCCATAGCCTTTTCTTCAGAATCTTTTAGCTACAAATATAAACAAAAGCCACAAAAAAGTTGAACAATCAAAAGTGCTCTCATAACAAAAAGATTTTTTTTTTTTTTTTTTTTTTTTTTTTTTTTTTTTCAAATTAATATAGTAGTGGAGAGGGGAAAGGAGATCACTTATCCAAAGACACGACAAAATTAACATAGAAGAGCTTATCAATACCTTTAACATGGAAGATTCCAGCTGCTTCTCTGAATCTTTTTTTAAGCGCTCAATCTCTGCACAAACAATTCTCCTTTGTTCATCAATTGTATGAGCTGCAGAGGCTGCAGCCTCAGCAGCTTCAGCAGTCTCAGTTAATTTTTCTGCTATTTCTTTAATTGTTGAGTCGCGTGCACGAAGGTCCCTAGCCAAATTTTGTAGTTCGTCATCTTTGACACGTAATGTCTCCTACAGAGCAGAGATACACAATCAGAAAACAAAGTCTAAGTGAACTAAATGATCACAAAGAGCAGTTGGATTTGAAGGACTGCAGAGGAGTCAACATTCCTCATGTTTGCTTCTCACAAGTTTGGAAGAAATTCAATGATGTAGCATGTTTCTATCTCTGTTGTGCACAAATGAATGTTTTAAACACTATAGGGTCTCAATTACCTACTAAAACTGTTTCTCATGACACAGAACTGATAAAGTACAATTGAAACCAGTGCCCTTTCATTAACAAACTATACTGTAAAAGCCATTTCAAAATGAATGTAGGGCAGTGTAAATAACTAGATCATAAGCAGTACCTTCATAATTGCAAAATCATCCATTGGACCATCAGTTGGCTTATTCGTTATCACTCCCAAAGCATTTCTCAAAGAAATGTGCATTGCTGCTTCAATATCCTTAGAACTCTCCAGAGCTGTCGAATTGGCAGCAGCAACTACTGCTGCAACCGTTCCCAGTTTCGCAGAACCATTGCCACTCAAGGAATTCACAGCTTCTTTATGGGCCTTTAAAACCAATTGTGTTGCTCTGCGTCAGAGGACAAAAAAAGGAAAAAATAGCAAAAGACAAGATTAGATGAAACATGTAATAATGGAAACTGCTAATCCGGTCTTTATGGGAATGATTCGTCAAATTCCACACAGGAAATAAAGGAAAGGTGGAATTTTTGTCAGATAAGCATTGCCTCTTTCACTATGACAACAGAAAATTAAGTCTTTTAGTCTTGAAAATGCACCCTATTCCAATTCATCCCCAATGGACCACAGGCTTTTATTGACATCATACAAAAAATTTACATCAACCATATGATGCATGAATAATATCTTTGACTGAAGTAACATAACAAACTAAGAGTCCTTTTTCCCCTGATAAGTCACATTTTTAGAGAAGTAACTTGCTAATATATTACTTGAAGATGAGGAAATTTTTGGATAAGCCATTACATTTGAGCCTGTAACCTACAAGCGAACATCACAATGCCCAACTATGCAATGGGCTGTCTAAAAGAGAACTCAAATTACATTGGGAAAGTTCAAATTAAATAGTAAGAATAGGAAAACAAATTCTAAAACCATTGTTTTTTCCTCAACCCACAGCGATAATCTCCATTACGTGTGTTAACTAATTTCTCATTTGAATCAGCAGCATATAACTCTGCCCTAGAGGTTATAAAGTATTTATAACATGCGCATAAAGACGAAACAGTACGATATATAATAACATCTACATAATCACTACAGCATAATGTAAAGGGAAAGAACTTACTGTAGTGTTGATACCCATGCTCTAGCTGCACCAGGAGTCTCTGCACAAAGGAAGTAGTCTTTTTTCTGTGGGGTCCCAATATCTAAAGAATGAAGTTAAGAAGCATGCAAGTTCAGAAATTCCTATCCAGATTTACAAGAATGTTTTCTATAGAAGTTAAAAGATATGCCTCTACATTACGAAAATACTAGAGAAAATAAATGAGGATACAGAAACAGCAGCCATCATACTTTTGCATCCCACTGAAAACACAAAACAGAAAAAGAAATCATGTAACACATCATTGAAATTACAACCTGCAAAGATGACTGTTATATAAAACGGATATTATGCAAAAATGAATCTTACTGGAAGTTCACTGGAGAAAGGGTGATTGTGCTATTTGCATCAAAGAGAATGGTTCCCTTGACAGTCGGCTCATTTCTCCTAATCCTAAATCATAAAAAAGTATTGCGTTGGTCAATGCATCTATAAGGCATAAATTGAAGTAAGAATGTCTTGCACAACTAACTTGTATTCCATTCTCCCTGTTGTCGGGTCTAAGATCACCCACCGCTCGTTCCATTTTCTCAGCTGTTAAAAGAAAACAGCAGTTCAATAATTTCCAGAACAAAGAGCACTACAAAGGAAAGCTCGCCAAACCATCCCAGTGTCCAAATTACATTTAGAACTCTTTCGAGCATGATTTATAAAGACTTCAGTTTTGAAATGACTGAACTTCAATAATATCAACGGGAGCTTAAAAAATGTTACTTATCATTTTTCTAATTCGCAGTACAAGCGGTTCAATGAAAAGCCAACAGAATCTAAATTAGGAATTGACCCAACAGAAAAAAAAACTGAACTTTCGCAAGAACCAAAATCTAATCCTAAAAAATAGTTTGAAACCACAAAAAAAGAAAGTAAAAGAAAGACAAATGGGAGGCTATGGGATCGTACCGTCTCGGATCGCTTGAGAAGTGGGCCCTGCAACAAGTTCCGGCCAGAACCCGAAGCCAGATGACGCTTGATCTTCTCCAAGCTATTCTCTGCGTCCGCAGCTCTCTGCTCGAACAGAAAATTCACAATTGCCCACCATGAATATCAAAACCTTTACAAATACATACAAAAAACAAGTAAATATAGGCAAAGGGACTGACCGGAGGGGCAACATTGGCGGCCATAGTATTGGTAGATCGAGAGGATCGAAAGCCTGAAACTTTTGGTAAATTAGAGGCCCTTTGGTTATCGGTGAGGTTGAAGAAGGCTGTTAGGTTTGTTTCATTTCATGGACTAGCAGGTGAAGATGATGATGATGTTGCTTTCTAAGCTTCTAACACGCATTAAACAAAAAATAAAAAAGGAAAAAAAAAGTGAGAATTTTTTCCTTTTATTGACTCTTTTCCTGTGAGCTAGCTACTTGTTTCTTGAGATTTTTTGGCTTAGAAATACTGTTCTGGCTTACAAGCGTAGATAGGTCCCACTAAGCTTGATGCGTTTTTAGATTTGTCTTTTCATTACCAAAATAAATAAATAAAAACCATATATAGGTGATGGAATATAGATGGTTGAGTTCTTTTACTTTTATCCATGTGGTCATAGATTTGAAACTCGTAGACACGGGTAAATATTTGTGTAAATCCTCCTACTCTAATCGCTTGTACTAATAAAATAAAAAGAGATAAACGAATTTTTAAGTAGTTAATGTGATCGGATTATCACCAAAGAAAAAAAAACCAACTAGCATTTAATTTAGTGGCATATTTTTTCTCAATATTGGAAGAGATTCAAGTTGATAGTTCCTCCCTTTATCAAATAAGAATATATTTATATTATTTTGACTATTTATGTCCGTACACATGTGCAAAATCACAGTTTGAGTTTGACACATGTACAAAAATAATTTATTAAAAATACAAGAAGAAAAACTTTCTACTCACATGTCATGGAATGTAGGAGTTCCTACTTATAGGGGAGGAGGAAATATTTTTTGTTGGAAATATATTTGCTCACCATTTTAACCTAGTGTATACCTCACAACCTTTCTCAACATTTGACACGTATCCATAAGCATAACCATAAGTCAATAGTTAACTCTTTGCTTTGTATTATAGAATCATGATTATGCTCATGAACACGTGAAGTGTTGAGAAATGTGATAATTATGGGATCCCGGGCCTCTATATTTAGGTGTTGTGCATTTACCCGTATTTCGCAACATCTAGATCATCTTAATAATCTAACTGTTTAAAACATGACACATGGCACATAAGGAAACTTTGAAAAATAAAATAAAATATCTAATAACTTAATTCAATTTCAAATTTAAAAAGTAAAATATCACAAAATCCAAGATTAAAAAAACAAAATCAAAAAGGCAACTCCCCCTTCCCACCCTTATTATCCCTGCCACCTAGCCCACCATACAAGCCACAATTTATCTGTCTCTACCACAAATCTACCCCTACAACCATGAAATAAGCAGGTGTCAATACAAATCAAACTGGTTCTTCAAATTGTTGAATGTATGGATATATTTTTTTGGTAAATTGATTATATTGAGAAGGAGCATGAGTGAAGATGTTTATTCAAAGGATATTCCATTTTGATATTCCATATAACACTTTTTCATGTACTAATGGGTAACTTTCGTGGATTTTTACTTTATTTTTTATTTAAACAATAAAAGATTTGTTAACTTTAAACACTATTTTTCATGAAAAAATAAATTAATTAATACTTATTGTTGATGTGTCAATTTTAAACAAATAGATTAATAAAATGGTTCAAATGTTGCGAAATGTAGGTAAATGCACAACCTCTAATTGTGTGTTTACTAATCATGAATTGGAATTCTCATCAGGAATTAAATTCCACCTATGAAAGATTCCTACGTTTACTTCACATCAATGAATTAAAAAGTAAGTGGGGCCTATACAAAATTAGAAATTGAATTCCTGATTTTGGAAGAATTCAATTCTTAGGTGGGAGGTGGTATTCAAATTTCTGGAGAACTAACCTATTAAGAATTCACCATTTTTACCCATTATATCCTCACACAATTTTCAAAATTCTAAATTTGCCATTTACTTTAACCCAGCAACGATGACATTTTAGTAATTAGTACCACTCATACTCCAATTCCATATGTTTTAGTAAGCAATTTCAATAGGAATATGAAATCTAACTCCTCTCAATCCATATGATTTTTTTGTTTTTGTTGAGAAAAGATGGTATTTCATTCAATCGAAAAAAACATTACATGGTAAGAACTAGCATGTTAAAGGCGACCTCGTTAAAACCTTCCCAAAGAAAACAAAACTCCGGAGTAGGAAAGAGTACTACTAATGCTATTGACTAAACAGAAGAGTCAAAACAACTTATACGAAACCAACCTAAAACTCAACCACGAAACCCTTAAAACAACCTCCCATAACTACGTAGGTACCCTTAAAACTACGTAGGTACTATCAAAGAAGTCCATCTATGATCTAGAAAAAGCATCATAGTTCTTCATACAGAGTCAAAACATACTATGGGTATCAAAATAGATCTAACCAATCACCCAACCGCAAAACCATTGAAACACATCCCATCACTACGCAGGTACTGTCAAAGAAAGTCTTCTATGATCTAAAGAAAGTATCATAGTTCTTCGTACATAGTCAAAAACGTATTGTGAGCATCATAACATATCTAGCCAAACACTAACCGCCACCTCCAATTTTCTTGATATAGGGCCTCAGCTGACAAGTAAGGGAGATTGGCCTTTTAGCCTGAAGAAAATTCCGAAGAAAGATCTTCATAGTAGGAACGTTTATCGGTTGCCAAGCCCACGAACGTTCCATAGGATAATTATTAAGGAGACCTTAGAGACCCCTCGAGGCTGGTCTCCTCTGCCTTGTCAACAAAATCCTCGATACAAAAACTACACTTACTAGAAAAATATATGCCACTAACAATCAGATGCCTAACACCAGTTTCCGCAAGCTTCTGATTCCCGTTTGGTGCCGCATACTTGTCATCCCTTTGAGCAGAAAAGGCAGTGGCCACCTCTATAACGTTAAGATGGAGACCCTTCACCAATGACTGGCTCCTTGGGAACCCAGAAAGGAAGTTGACGCAGCCACCCCACGGAGAACAAAAGAGCGAGGAAAAAAAAACGTAGTACCCAATACACCAAGAAGAAAGAAAAGAGACAATCAGAGAAGACTGAGAGAGACGGCGCAGAAAATGAGTAGAGAAAACTGGAGAAACTCTAACCCTAGCCATCAAGGCTCTCCTCGTATGAACGAGAGAGCGACCTCCACAATCCATATGATTTAGTAAACAATTTCAATAGGATTTCAGAATTTAATTCTCATCAATCCAACTCCTCCTCAATTCAATGCATCCTCAATTCATTCCTTATAATCCAATTATGGATTAGTAAACATGTCATAAATGTAGAGGCTCGGAATCCATAATTATGATACACCTTGCATTAAAGTGGTGTCAAAAAATGCTCCCATTTTCCCTTAACTTCTTTCCATTTTGCCACATAAATAAATATAAAAAAAATTTGATCAAATCAGATAAAAATGGTTCCCTTCCTCTAGAGAGGAGAGCAGAAAAGAACACCAAAACTTCCCGGTTCTTTTTTAAAATACCCATTTTCGTCTCCAAAAACCCCTGCAAAACCTCAATCCCTAGAAACACTCTCACTTCGACTCTGAGGTAAGAGCTCTGGCTACGATCCTCAATCCACAACCGGAAAAGTAGAAGACAGAGTGAGAGTGAAACTGCGAGAGGCGCGTCATTTCGAATGGCCGGGATTGTGAAACCGCCGGGGGCTTTCGCAGTGACGCCACACAAAGTCTCAGTCTGCATATTGCTTCAGGTCTATGCGCCGCCCGCTCAAATCTCAGTCCCCTTCCCTTTCTCCACCGTCAATCAGCACAACCGCCTCGGCCTCTTCTTGTTGTCTCTCACTAAGGTACTTTCAAGTTTTCCCTCTTCTCCCTAATTAAAGCTTCAATCTTTGGACAACCCATGTAATTTAGTTGCTATTTGCTTTTGGCAGTCTTATGATGATATTTTTGAGCCCAAATTGGATGAGCTTATACATCAATTGAGGGGGATTGGGGGCTTATTGAACTATTGGTTAACCGACCATTTAACCAGTAAGCTGTTGGCTCTGTCTTCGCCGGATGATTTGTTTAACTTCTTTAGTGATATGCGAGGTCAGTTCATCTTAAATTACCATTTTTTGTTGTTGCTGATGTGGTGTTGTACTTGCTTGCTGATACTAATTCCGTTTTGATATTTTTCTTTAGGAATCCTTGGCGGTCCCGAAGCAGGTGTTCTGGAAGATGACCAAGTCATTTTGGATCCAAATAGTCACCTGGGGATGTTTCTTCGTCGTTGCATACTTGCATTTAATCTTTTATCCTTTGAGGTATTGTTAGTTTTTTTGTTCTTTCTAAAAATCCATTTCATTTGTTTTTCAGTTCCATCTATATTCCATGGGGAAATGAGTGTTGTGTTGTGTTTGTTATTGTTAGTTTTTATGGTAATGAAAGCTTTTACAGGGAACTAGTGTTTCATATAATTTTAATATTAATGCAGGGTGCATGCCATCTTTTGACAAGTATAGGGATGTACTGTAAAGAAGCTATCTCAAGTTGTCCTCCGTATGAGGCACCTCACTTAGATGATTCTAGTAATGATTTAGAAACACCTCCGGAATATGAAAACATGGAACTGGAGAATCTTGTTTTCGAGAAAGTCACTGAAGAAATCGAAGCAAGGGAAAGAGCTGGTGGAAGAGTTTCTTTTCATCTTCATGCACCCCAAGCACTTGTTGGATTGGTTGAAGGTATACAAAGCATCATTCTCGTGAAGCATGTAGAGATGCTATGACATCATAGAGGTCTTTGTGCTTGACAACAATGGTCTTCAAAACCTACTGCATAAAGTTATTTCTGAATCAAATAGGACACTCCTGATATGGGATAGAGTTATGAATAGTTGAAGCCACTTGATATCTTCATTGAAACTTGTGAAGTTTGTCAATAGTATTACTTAAACTCCAGATCAGTCAACATTCCGTACTAAAATCTAACACAATCTTGATTTCATTGTCACTGGCATTCTGGAGTCAACAAATAAGTTCGAAAGCCATCTGGAGCACTTTAAATTCAGGCAACATCATGATCATTATATTTATATCAATTATTTCTTTTACTCTATCTGATTCAAACGTCCAAATATCTGTGGTTTTGAAACAAAACCTGGCATGCGAGGGATAAAAACAAAGAATTTCATTTGTTATGCTCACTATTTTTGTATTCCTTAATTGATGGGTTTGCTCTAAAATATTGTGTGTTCAAATTTCAATGCAATGTCAATCATAATCATGCATAATATAAACTAAACATGCAGATATTGAGGTCCCTGGTGACCCAGAATTCAAACATGGTGGCAAACTTAGAGAAGCTTGTCATTATGCACATCCTACAAGCAATACATTAAGAGATCTTGATCCCAGTGGTGGCATATTCCTACGAACTAACTGGCAGATACAAGGATTTCTGCAGGAGCAAGCTGATGCACTTGAAAAGTAAGTGATGCATATATCTGTGAAAATTTTGGTTTTCCTATTTGTTTTATGTTCATTAGGTTGTACTGAATCTTAATTAATATTCGTTTGGAAGACAGGGGAGCTCTTTCTCTTTAAATGATTTTGAACTTATGCTAAGGCAGCTTCAAAAACTGGCACCTGAGCTACATCGCGTTAGTAACTCGCATGAATTTTTTTCCTGTTTGGTAATTTGTGTTGTACTTGCACTTAGAGTATGTTTCTTTTGTCATTTTTGCTGAATTTTGATGCAGGTTCACTTCTTGCGTTACTTGAATGGTTTGTATCATGATGATTGTATTGCTGCTTTGGAGAATGTTCACCGCTATTTTGATTACAGGTATGTCCGAACTTAGCTCTGTATCTAGTTTGATAATTACTTGATCAAGTGCTGTTGCAGATGTTTCTTTCATTCGGTAACCTAATACATTGAATGTAAATTGGAAATGGTGAGCCATTGCTGTTCTTGGTGATGCTCCTATTAAAGGAGATAATTATTATGACTGGATCTATCACTTATCTTCATGGCTTTTCATACATGTCCAATGGCATGCTCCTAGTCTTGGTTGTCTCAATGAAAGTTAAGTTTGACATTATTTGTTGGCTTAGGTTAAGCCTTTAAATGATGGCTTTCAAGCTGCAACTTTATGTTAGTTGGTCACCATTTATGTCCACCATTTGGTCTCTTTTAAATGTATTAAAAACAAATGAACTAATCCAATAAACATTGGCACAAAAGTGCAGGGATTGAAGGATTTGATTTTGTTCCTCCTGCATCTGGTTGCAATACCTTTGGAAGATATGAAATTGCCTTGCTTTGTTTGGGAATGATGCATTTCCATTTTGGGCACCCGAAACAAGCTTTGGAGGTGAGCATGAGGAGGGGGCCTAAAGAACTCATTTTCCTACTCTCCTTTAGTTATGAAGCATTCTGTCATTATATTTCCCTGTGTTTAATAATTTTCTGCTTATTACAATCTTCAGGTTTTGACTGAAGCAGTACATTTTTCTCAACTGGTAATTTTCTTAGTTTATGTAGTCATTCTTATCTTAAATCACTCGTATGTCATCATGTCAGTAGTTATATTGTGTCTGACTTTGGGTTTTCTATAGCCATTTGGATTATATACATGCATCTTAGTTTAAAAAGCAGCATGATATTATTCTTCCTTCACGGATATGTTGTCTACTAGGGCCTTATGATTTTCAACTTGTGCAGCAAAGTAATGACACATGTCTTGCTTACACCTTAGCGGCTATCTGCAATTTGTTGTCCGAAACTGGTATATCTAGTACAACTGGAATACTGGGCTCGTCATATTCACCTTTGACCAGAATAGGCATTTCACTGTCTGTCCAGCAACAACTATTTGTTCTCTTAAGAGGGTCTCTGAAGAGGGCAGAAAATTTGAAGTTAAAGCGTTTAGTGGCGTCCAATCATCTTGCGATGGCTAAATTTGATTTAACGGTGAGCATGGCATTGCAATGTATTTTTATGGAAACCTGTAGTGTCATGAATATGTTTTGGTTTGCTAAACTAGATGTAGCATGAATTATTGTTTTCTCTTATATATTCATGGTGGATTGCTATCCTTGTTGCAGTACAGTTTCTTTTGTGAAATAAAATTTAATCTTTTCATTTAAAAAAAGAAAGAAGCAAATTGTAATTTTGTATCATCATTTGCAGCATGTGCAAAGGCCTCTAGTTTCATTTGGTCCCAAGGCTTCAATAAAGCTTAGAACAAGTCCAATTAATGTTTGCAAGGTAATGTGGACTCTTTGAAGATATTCCAATGGTCTTCGATTATCTAACATGTTAAATTGTTCAATTTCCTAACATTTCTCCCCTCGCCCCCTCTATTACATATAATTCTTGCAGGAACTTAGATTGAGTTCTCAATTGATTAGTGAGTTTGGGTCCGAAACTTCTTCAATGACAACTGATGGTGCTTTTAGTACTGCATGGCTTAAGAATTTACAGAAGCCAATGGATTCACAAGTCTTGTCACAAGAAAGTGGATCAGGAAGCAATAATGCTTTCCAGTTCTGTGCACAACCAAGTTCTGTCCCTGCATCTGTGTTGCAATTAGTAGGCTCTTCATACTTACTTCGTGCCACTGCATGGGAAATATATGGCAGGTGATCTTTAGTAAAGACCCGTATTAGTTTACTTTTGTTTCTTTTCTTTTCTTTTTTAATGCTGATCTAACTTCTACAGTTGACCGTATCACTATATCCTATTGGAATAGTGTTCTTCAAGCCTTATAGTGACTACATTTCGAGTTACCTTGTCATCTGAGATTGTGAAGTTGATTGAGTGTGATGCTCCTTTCATTCTTTATTTATATTTATTTTCTAATCAAAATGAAAATTGCAAATTTGTTAAGAGTATTAAATAACAGTTATGACACGTCCTAACAACGTAAGGTTTTAGGAATAGTCGTAAACAAACAAAATTTAACATAATACCAAAGAGACCCTGAATTCAAATCCTTGCATCTACAACCTCACAATTTATATGGAATTTCCTATGTTGGGCTCTCTTGGGCTTTTGGGGTGGGGGTCCACAAGTGAGGGAGAGACTTAGAGAATAAGATAATTTTTATTCAACATCCTAGTAGCTTAAGCTTTCAGGGAATAGTGGTAACCACCAACATTTAACATAAATAATAAGTGTCGTATAGATTCCCTGCTGAGAAAAAAGTAGCTATGACATGAATAGATTTATCTTTTCAGTATTCTAGAATTCTTGATTTCATTCTAAAGACTAGTTTTATATACTTTTAATTCATACTACTTCTAGGACTATGATGCCTTGCTTGTTTTAATACCTTTTTCTTTTTGCATGTCATCAGTTCCTCTCTTGCTAGATTTAATGCGCTTGTTCATGCAACTTGTTTTCCTGATGTTTCAAGGTAATTTCTAGCTGAAAGTATCTCAAGATTTGCATATCGTGTTTCTATTCCTTTCCTATAATATATCCTTCTTTCCATTTAAATGTTATATAACTTGAACCTGACTACTTCTTGGATGTCTTCAGTTCATCTGACACAGCATTAGCATATTTGAAGCTTATCCAACATCTAGCAGTTTTTAAAGGATACAAAGGTTAGACGAAATACTTGAGTACCTTTCCAGTAGTCTTTATTTAAAATTTAGTGATTGTGATAGTGTTCAGCTAATCACATGTTCTTTACTTAAAATTGTATGTTATATATATATATATATTTCATAGTCCTGGTCCATATCAAATAGTGCCCCATATCAAGAAAAGTTCAACTATCATAAAAGAGTGATGCATCTATAACATCACATAGAGTTTCACGCTTGCACACAATAGCATTTGGGGAACTATATAAAATATAATGCCAAAAAAAAAAAGGCATCCACTGATGGACCTCTTATCCATCTTTTTCGACTTAAATAAAATCTTTTGGTTCCTGGAAAATTGTATTTTACATAGTTGGGGTTATACTTATAGACAAAATGAGGCAAAAGATTAACACCCTGGAAAATGCTTGGTGTTCTTGATTCTCCAAGCAGCCATTTTGCTCCTGCACATAAAACTCTTTGGTATGCTTTTTGACATTTTGAATCAATCTGTTTAGGTAGGGGTGTTTAGTTTGTGCGGAGAAAAGGAACCATTTTATAGTTTGTGGTCCTTGTTATTGGACTTCAAAGTCTTTTTCTGTAAGTCATATTGTTAATAAATGTGTCATTTATATGTAAGACCTGTATTCCCTTTACTTTTTCTTTGGTAGAAGCACTATATTGAGTTTACTATTTAAAGAACTCTTGTAAACAAAAAGAATTATATTTTTCTAAATGTTGCCATTTTCTTTTATGGTATGAGTACTCTCTCTCTCTCTCTCTCTCTCGCTCTCTCTCTCTCTCTCACGCACATAAACACATGCACGAATGCTGTTCATCCTTGATGACTTGTTTTTTTTTACTCTTTGTTTAGAGGCATTTGTTGCTCTTAAAATAGCTGCAGAGAAGTTTTTATCTGTCTCAAAATCACGAATCTTGTTACTAAAACTTCAGCTCCTCCATGAGCGTGCTCTACATAGGTAAGTTTACCAGGTACAATATTTCGTGAATATCTTGATTCATATACAGTACATTTTATGTCATGACCTTGCCAAATATTATTTAGAGGACATTTGAAGCTTGCCCAACAAGTATGTGATGAGCTTGGAGTCCTGGCATCATCTGTCACTGGTGTGGATATGGAATTGAAGACTGAAGCAAGCCTTCGAAATGCTCGGACTTTGCTTGCGGCAAATCAGTTCAGTGAGGTTTGATATTTTCAATACATTGAACTTCCTACCCTGGGACTAGACTCCATCTTCCAATTGTGTGGCATGCTTTTTCCTTAGCTATTTTGACATATTTCATTGCAGGCAGCAGCTGTAGCACACTCGCTCTTTTGCATGTGTTACAAATTCAATATGCAAGTTGAAAATGCCAGTGTTCTTCTATTGCTAGCTGAAATCCACAAGGTACAATTTACATTTTATGTACAATGTGGTTGGAGGTTCAGATATACTAGAAATTCATTTCCCAATGGTCAGCTTTTTAGAAATTGTGGAAGAAAGTTCTTATTTATGGCTGAACGTGCCAGTCCCCCGTGCACATACCAAAAAGGAAAAGGAAGATATAGAAGGGGTTGGGGGGAGGCAACCATGGCCCGTATTAATATGTCCAGGAAATCTGATGTGCTGCTATAAGTTGTTTCTTATATTTTAGTATCTTCTAGATTGTATATCTGTATAATCCAATGATGAAGAAATGACATATTTTCCACTTTAGTTGTTTGAATTTGAAGTTTCTTGGCACCCCTGTCTTCTTTGCTACGTATACGTATGTCTGTTTCTCTATTTGTTTATTTAACCTTCTATAAATTCTGCAAAGGTAAAAGTTGTTTTATTTATTTTTGTCAGAAATCAGGCAATGCTGTTTTAGGTCTTCCGTACGCATTGGCAAGCCTCTCATTTTGCCAGTCATTTAACTTGGACCTTCTTAAAGCATCGGCCACACTCACACTAGCCGAGTTGTGGCTATCACTTGGATCAAATCATGCAAAAAGGGCCTTGAGCCTTGTGCATGGGGCCTTTCCTATGATTCTTGGTCAAGGGGGTTTGGAGCTCCGTGCTCGGGCCTTCATTGTAGAAGCAAAATGCTATCTATCTGATCCAAGCTTTTCCGGTAAGTCAACCATAAGCAATTTTGTCAACAAACTCCAAATTTTTGCCCCATCTTCTTTAGCTATCATGCATATACCCATTCCCTCTTAGCATGTTTCATTGTCGATTAATCTTTTTCTGTGTTGCTATCATCTAATTATATTTGGCTTTATTTCATTTGAAGTCCTAATTATTTTTCGCATTGCTGTCGTGAATTTGACTTGCCAGTTTTTGAAGATTCTGATGTTGTGCTGGATCCTCTGAGACAAGCTTCAGATGAGCTTCAATTGCTGGAGGTAAATCTACTTCTGAGCTTCAACCCTGGTACAAGGACTGTATAAAATATTAAAGTCTACTTGTGTCTGCTTTGTGCGTCTTGGAAATGCTTTGATATCGCATTGTTTATGGGTTGAATATCCTTCTGGTGTGCAGTATCATGAATTGGCGGCGGAAGCGTTCTATTTAACGGCGATGGTCTTTGACAAACTGGGAAGACTAGAGGACAGAGAAGACGCTGCAGCTTCATTTAAGAAACACATTCTGGCTCTTCAGAATCCGCAAGATGAGGAAGATCCTCTCGCCAACATATTTTGAAGGAAATGAATAGTTGTCGTATATTGAATATGTAAAACAAGCCATTTCAAATTATTTATGCTCCGTATAGGCCACAGCTGTGTATAGATTGATTTACCCAATATGCTTTTATCCTCCTACTGAACATGTAACTTTCTCAAGGAAGAAAAAAAAACCCGGACTCCGGCGAAAAGCAGGTTTTTTAAGCTCAGAAATTATTGTATAATACTGCAATATTCCTGCATGGGATAATCCGTCCACTGTTAAAGCATGAGTCAATGATATCCATCCACAGCCACATAGACCGGTTATAGCATGTGGATATACAGACGTGTTATATCACGTGAACACGTAGATGAGTTATATCCTGTGGCCGTACACCTAGCACTACACTTTAATTAGGTGTCAAGCAAGGTCTAAAATATCGATGGTATCGAAAATATCGGTAGTTCAAAAACACAGAAATTTTAATGAAAATATCGGGATATTATTGATATTGATAAAAATTGAATAAAAATTACGAAAATTGTAAGAAAAACTTGGAAATTTTTATTGTTCATCAAATGAAAAATCCCCAAAATAGTTGTCCATAAGCAAAATCATTTGAAGATTGGGTCTTGAATTCTTTTCATGAGCTGCTCAATTCCATCCCAAAAGGAATGAGATATGAAGGGGTTCGAATCTCCTTTGTGTGTGTGCTTTGTGTTTTTTTTCCATTACATCGATATTTTAGATATTATAATGATATTTTGACAAAATATTGCTAAAGTGTGAGCGAAATTATCGACATCAATATTTTCGCATATTATAGTCGATATTCTCGATATTTATACGATATATGTATGGATATATTTCAAAATATCCGCAACCTGAAAAAACGATAATATCCTCGATATATATTATCGATATTTTAAACTATAGTGTCAAGTGTGACAGCCAGAATTCACCGTTATTCTGACCGTTAAAACTTTTTGAGAGTCATAGTTTCTCCGCCACAACTCGCGTCTACGAACTTCCAGGTCCCAAGTTGCGTCACTCCACAACCTTCCTCTCAGTGACAGACTCAGAACTGATCACTGTCTGGATGAAGGCCAGTCTCACACGTCTGTTCCACCATCACCCTATACAACCACCCATATCCACCCACGTGTCAAGACAATCAGATAACTCCACCCATGCCGCGTGTCAGCTCACCTTCCTCTCCAAGTCCACTGTCAGTCACTGCTATATGACCCCATCTTCACCCCCAACCACCACCACCGCTACAGCCACTACGACAGCAAGCTGCATCATGGGCCAGGAAAACGACAGCCAATTGAACCTCGTGGGCTTCTCCAACTTCGTTCGGTCCAATCCCCGGTCCGACCGGTTCAAGGTCCACCGGTTCCACCACGTCGAGTTCTGGTGCACCGACGCCACCAACTCCGCCCTCCGATTCTCGTGGGGCCTCGGCATGCCCATGGTAGCCAAATCAGACCTCTCCACAGGCAATCAAACCCACGCCTCCTACCTCCTCCGCTCCGGCGACCTCAACTTCCTCTTCACCGCCCCGTACTCCCCCACCCTGACCCGGACCGATGATCCGACCGGGCCCAACAACTCCACCGCCTCCATCCCCACCTTCGACCACTCCGCCTCCCGGGACTTCTCCTCCCGCCACGGCCTCGGCGTCCGCGCAGTCGCCATCCAAGTCGATGACGCCGTTTCTGCCTTCACCACCAGCGTCGCCCACGGCGCCAAACCCTCCGCCCCGCCAATCCTCCTCGACAACCGCGTCACCATCGCCGAGGTCCAGCTCTACGGCGATGTTGTTCTGCGCTACGTGAGCTACTCGAACTCTAGCGACGTGTCCGACTCGAACCCGGACCTCTGGTTCCTCCCCGGATTCGAAGCCATGACGTCGTCGTTTCCTCTCGACTTCGGGCTCCGCCGTCTGGACCACGCCGTAGGCAACGTGGAGGATCTCAAATCGGCGGTGTCGTACGTGAAAGGCTTCACCGGGTTTCACGAGTTCGCCGAGTTCACGGCGGAGGACGTCGGGACGAGCGAGAGCGGACTAAACTCCGTCGTTTTGGCGAACAACGAAGAGATGGTTCTGTTTCCGATGAACGAGCCGGTATACGGGACGAAGAGGAAGAGTCAGATTCAGACCTACTTGGAACACAACGAAGGCGCTGGAGTTCAGCACCTGGCTCTGGTCAGCGAAGACATATTCAAGACGCTGAGGGAGATGAGGAGCCGGAGCGGCATCGGAGGGTTCCAATTCATGCCGTCGCCGCCGCCGACGTATTACAGGAACTTGAAGAAGAGGGCTGGGGACGTGTTGACGGATGATCAGATCAAGGAGTGTGAGGAGTTGGGGATTTTGGTGGACAGGGACGACCAGGGCACTCTGCTTCAGATTTTCACAAAGCCTGTTGGAGATAGGTAATTGATCACGGTTGCTCTGCTCTGTCTTTGTTAAAGTTGTTAATTTTGTGTCAAAGATATGGTCTTTAATTATGAGGCAATTGGGGCTTTTGAAAAATGATAGCTTTATGCTTAAAAGAATTTCCTGCTTGATCTTATGACATTGGGTTAATTGGTTCTTGTATTGAAATGGGCAGGCCAACCATATTCGTAGAGATCATTCAGAGAGTAGGGTGCATGCTTAAGGATGAGGAAGGGAAGGTTCACCAGAAGGGTGGATGTGGTGGGTTTGGGAAAGGTAACTTCTCCGAGCTCTTCAAATCCATCGAGGAATACGAAAAGACTCTCGAAGCCAGACAAATTGCAGAGCCAGCGGCTGCTTGATTCGCCTTTGTTCATGATACTGTGAAATAAGATAGTTGCTGAAGCCGGGTTCGTTCCTTGTACTCATTTTAGGGCTGGTAAGCAAGTGTCTTATTGTGTATAACAGGCTGTATGGTTGTCACTGTTGGTGTTTTTGATCTATGCACAATGACTTCAATGTTAGTTCTAATTATATATGTCAAGTGTAATCCATCATCAACCTGTTGCACTCTGGACATGTTTGTAATAAGCAACTTCAAGGAGGAATAGAGATCGAAATATTAGCGTCTTTTGTTATTGATATTTTTTGTTTGTTGGATCTTGTAAAAGCTTGGTAAGTTTGGTTTCAAATAATTGCAAAAGGGAATTAGCTAAATCCAGATAGATGCTGGTAGCTACTGTTGATCCTTCCTTGTTAACTAATGGAGGATTGCAGTTTGTTTTTAGTGACGAAATGGTGGAAGTTTTAAGTTATGGTGAAACCGGCGGGAGGTAGCTTTGGATGTACGAGTGGTTTGGATCACATGTGAAGTATCAGGAGAGGGAGGGGTTGAATGGTCGGAGCATCAGCATTCAGAGAGGAGAAGACAAGAAGTCAGGGGTAAGGAAGATTCTGAACCTTCTATATCTCAGATGTAAATATGAGCCTCAAATTTCCAGGGGTTGAATGGTCGCTGCTGTAACGAAGCTGCAACGGGGCAAGTTTAACCGATTAGTCTTTGACTGGTGGAAATCAGATTGGTGTAGAGATGGGTAACTAACTGCATGGCAGGATTGAAACCCAAAGCTGGGATGCAGAGCCGGGGCTGATTATTTTTGCTTCTTTTTGGCAAGATGTTTCGCTTTGAGTCTGCAATAGCTTTATTTCTGTTCGTCGTTCATTCGTTCATTCCAAATAATTTGGAAAGTGTGGATGACTAAGAAATAGAGAGATGAAGGGGAACCTTCAAACTTTGATGTTTGTTCGTCTTTGAAATTTCATTAACAAGGGAGATCCCGTTGTATTTGCTTCAATGTTACACATTACACTTTACAACATCATCAAAGAAACTTTGCTAAATAAGTTTTAAGCGCATTTTCTGAGATGATTTGATTGGTTTTCTCTGAAGGATGGAAGGCATCCCAAAATACATACTTATTTGCGTCTTGGCATGTAAAGGGATTATGTGGATTACATAGGAAACTCATCTCAAATCTACCCGTGCCACAGCATCCCACTCTTGCTTCCTCCAATCCTGTCATCGAAAAGAGAACCATTTTTAAACCCAAAATGTTATTTGGACAAACTTAAAGAACAAGGAAAAACATAGAGAAATCAAATTCAAATCAGTTAAAGCAACCTAGAACCAAAAAAATTCTGTCAACGGGGTCTAGCTCAGTAGAAAAGGGTATTGACTTGCAAATCAAAGGTCTTAGGTTTGAATCCTCATGGCATCTTAGTTCTGTGTGCATGTGAAACTCCCCTTTCCATGTAGTTTACAATATCGCTTGTGCTAAAAAACTAAAACTAAAAATTTTGACGTTTTGAAATTTGACTTTCTTGTCTTTGAGGGGAACCTCAGAATTAGAACTTTAAAGTCGTAGAACCAACCAATCATCAAATGCAAGTAAGAACTTACCAAAAACAGAAGGCCTTGTTATGATTTGCAAGAAAATGTAATAAACATCTCCATATACGGCCTCAAGCCCTGGAAGCTGCTTGTTTAGCTTTGCCACCATCCCCTTCAACTTCCGATTAAACTCCAAAGCCACATTGTTGCGTTCATCCACACATCCATGCAGTCCCATGATATTTGTGGTCCTTTCCAATGGCAAACACCCCATTGGAGGAAGCCCTGCTAGGGACATCCTCCGAGCCCCAAGAACATATAGTTTCTTCACAAAATTTGCTGCAAGATTGATCAGGAAGTTCTCGTACTGCTTCATGGTGAACTGGGATTGTCGGTCCGGTAATGTATAGTAGTTTTCAAGGAAGTCATTTGTTCCTATGCTAATCAAATATAAAGCCTCACTTAGTAATGTTTTTGCCTTCTTATTTCCAAGATAGGCTTTTAATTTCTTCTGGTATTCCTCGTAGTATTCTACTTCCTTCCACAGTGGAATCACACGCTGAAATAAGGATATAATTGTAAACATTTTTGTAGCACAAAGAATTTGATGAGATATAGCTTCAACATGTTTAATTGATGTAGACGTTAGAAAATACAAGTTGATTGGTTACTTACAGCAACATCAGAAGTTTTATTATCATAGCCGGTTCCTGCAGAAGCAAAGCAAACACCAGTAGCAAAATCTGATATGTTATACATTGGATCCAAGTAGGCAGGTATGGTTGGCTTAAGGCCTAGACCATCAGAGATGAGGTCAGAAGGAATTCGGCCGTTGCAGAACCGCCCCGTGGCTTGGCCTCCCGGAAAATCTTGACCATAAGGCTGAAAGTTGCTCCTGGCAATTGTTGGAATGAAGTTGTTGTTACCTGAGTCAACGGAAGAATCTCCAAACACTATGACTGCTGGAACTTTACCTCTGCATTTGGCAAATAGTGTTAGTGTTTGAACTAAGAAAATCCAAGGAATATACAAGTTTGCCATATTGTTTTGTGTCTGGTATAGGGTTCTAGCAAGCTCACAACTGGATGGAAATGATAGATTGGTTCTAAATACTAGTTTCAGATTTATTTAATGGAATAATGGAAAATGTGGATATATAATTGAGAAAGTTTGGTGGGGGGTTCTGCTTTTAATGGCAGTAGGAAGCTTAGCATGTACCAGCATTATGGGCTAGAAGCTTAACCAACATGGGGGTTAAACACAGAGCTGCAGTAAATTCAGTGAGTTCCTGGGTTTCTGCAATCATAGAATTTTGATGAAAAGGAATGAGTAAATAGTGAATGAAACCATTAAAAAGGCAAGTCTTTATTGGCACCAAAAATGGTTGAAAAGTTTGTCAATCAGTTGAGTTGCTTGTGTGATTGTTAGTATTGATAATGCCATAAATGTAGTAGATGGAGTTTGTCAGATTATCTGCAATACTGCAACTTGCATTCAATTCTCCATTCCATTTCCTGAGAAAAGTCTTCCTGCAGTCCTTGTTACCAAAAAATCAAAAGGTGAAAAAAAGAAGTCCTGCAAGCCTGATAAAGTGAAGACAACATGATCTAGCAGTGCACCAAGTAAGGTACAAATAATTACAACCTTTTCTGTCAAACATAATGAAAACTCAAAACTTCCAAAATTTAGGGACACAAATGATGTTTGAGAAGACATAGTTATGGATTACAACTTCTGATCTGGGAAACATAGTTATGGATTTGAGAAGAAACAGTGCTCTATCTTTTGATTTCAATTAATCTAATCTACAGGAAGGGGAATTCGAAGTTGAGTGCAAGTAGGGCGAGCTCACTGCTCTGGCCAACTGACCTAACCTATGTCTCCAAAGCAAAGAGATCTATCAACAAAACTTTTATCTTGCATATTGTTTCTTTGAGAAGTTTATCTTGCATATTATTGGGAGAATGAACATTGAGCACTGGATGTGACCCATAATTAAGAGGTATTAAAGACACATTAAAAGCTTCCTAACAGAGAAACTGCTCTGGTTGGTGCTTATTTATGAGGAATGCTGATCTTGCCCCTTGAAGGACACAGTTGTTCTAATGCCCTGAAAGATTAGGTTTAATAGCTGGGGCCTCAAAATTATGATTTATATGAGTCACATGTGTTGGTTAGATTCAACATTGTTGCAGCAATTTCTCCTTTCTTTCATCAGAGATGATGCTGAAGTTGATCTTTGTTTGTAGCTAAAAATTCCAACAAAAAAGGAAAAGATTAAGGAACCATATAGCTATCTTTGTTGCTCATCAACTTATTTATGAGTGTCATGAAATTGCAGAAACTTGATAAATGATAGAGAAGCTTCAAGCTTCATGCCCTTGTATCAGACACCAGCTCCTTGATCTACCATATCGTATAAAACATGGCCCCAACAGTGTTTTAAAATGACCAAGGGATGACAAGAAACGTTCTAACAGAAGACTTTTTTGGGGGGGACCATAAAAAATATTTGTATCGCTGCACTTAGCACACACCAGTACCAATGAGTGTGAAATCATTATTCAACTAGTCTCATCTCATGATGAGAGCGATAGATACATAGTTTTACTATTTTGTGAGGTAGACTCTGCAATGGAATATGGCATCTCGAAAAGAGATTTGGGCTTGAGTTGAACCGATCCTGACCCGTACAAATTCGGACTGAACCCAGCCCAGTTTACAACTCTCTGGCCCTCAAATGTGTGAACTTAAATTCATGGCTAGTTGTGAATTGATGGGAGGGGTCAACATAAAACAAATACATCCATTTCATGAGTCACTGCATTTTGATAACCAGGTAATCCTTTTGCAGAACTTCCTTTGTTTAGTAATAAACAACTAGGTTTAATTTAGAAAAATATTCACAAAGATATTTCTTGCGTGAGCTGTGATCTAAATACTTCAACTAATCATGAATTAATTAGTACAGTTGGTTGAATTTCCAGGCAAGCATGAAACATGAACAGGAAATCTCTCAAGATTAATCCAAACATCCCCATCAAAGAAAGGACTATCCATGCCTTCACAATATGAAATTTTTATAAAATAGTTTAGTTGGACTGACCAAATAACTAATATATATAATTGAAACTAAATTTTTCAAAGAATCATGCATTATAAAAATTTGACCAATCAAAATTTTTCGAATTTTGGATTATTATTCTACTTTTATTATAATTTTTTCATGCTATAAAAACCATGTATCAAGTGCAACACAAAAAGCTCAAAACTCAAAGAAGGGTTGGAAATTAATTGAAATGGGAAGCTGCTGCTGCTCATCAGCCTATGTGAGCTTAAGCTGCAATGAGACAATGGAGAGAGACAGGGTTAGAAAAGGTTATGTCCCAATTCTGGTGGGGAAAGAAATGGGAGACATGGAGAAGCTATGGATACCCATCAAGCTCCTCAGCCATCCAAGAATTGTTGCACTTCTCAGAAGGTCAGCCCATGAATTTGGGTTTCAACAACAAGGCTTGCTTAAGATTAAACATGATGTTCATCTTTTTAAAGGTATGATAAAGAGCATATTATCAAAATCAAAACAAATATATGTAAGTAAAATGAACATTTCTATGTAATTAATGATCACTATTCTAGCTCCATCTTGTAGAATCTCTCTCCTGGCTCCTTTTATTGTTGGGAATTTCACGTCTCGGACATTTTAACCTTCACATCTCATTAATACCTTGTTTTGATTAAATGCTCTACTATATTGTTTCCAACATTTTAAACTTTCACATCTCATTAATATCTTAGTCACGATTACGTACTAATTGGCTTTCACATCTCATTAATATCTTAGTCACAATTACGTGCTAATTCGTTTTGGTTAGATACTCCAATATATTGTTTCCAACGGCATCGAAGGAATGAAGGTTTGATGACATTGTGTACTTCCTTGACAAGGGTAAAATTTAATTAACATTTGTATATACATAATTGATTGTGAAAAGAAAGCTGAAGAAATAGTACTTCAATAGTGTAAAATTACCTTTTTAGAGTGCTAATAACAGCTCTCTTTGATTCACGCGAAAAATAATAATTGTAATACTTCGCCATAGAAAGATCAACATCCAAACAACAACGATTGGATTTTCAAAGTTTTGTAATCTATGATCTATGAAATGAGCTCATCTAGATCTGCATGCATGCAGCATGACTTTGTTTAAAGAAGTATATTTCTTCAAAAATAAATAACTAAAAGTCTCCTTAGAAAAATAAAAATAAAAATCATGACTTTGAAAACTAAAATAACTGGTGGTCTGGCTTTATCCCACTAATCAAAATCAGTTCAGATTTGGCCAGAAACATGCCATACAAATTGTTTGGCACGATACAATAAGGAGCATTGGTTTATTGATATTCAAATTTCAAATCATGAAATGGTCCAGCACAGGATTAGTAGTACTTGAGCTAAAACTGAAAGCCTCAAATTGGGTAATGCCCTACAATAAGCGCTAGAGTTCCTCTCAACGTCTGTTCTTTATTTAAGTACCGATTGTCGATATGATATTGGTAAGGTGTTCATATCATGTCATATCAATAGCAAAACGTATTCCGTCCTGATTTCCGGATTTATAAAATGTTTTAGAAAGCAAGATGGACAGTGACAAATCTATGTACATAAGTCCGTGTCACAACAATATCCCTATCTGATATATCCTCTGCCCCAATCTTTTGTAAAATGTGATATTTCTATAGAAGGAAATTCTGGTATCCTCTGCCCCGATGTTTCATAAAATGTGATCTTTCTATAAGAGGAAATAAAATGTGTTTCACATTCTAAAGATTGGCTCCAGATCTCATTAGTTTGGCAACCAATCAAATGTCATACCTATATTTCTGGTAGAACACTGAACGAGGCATGTTTTTTCAATTATTTGCCATAACAAAAATCCTTTCTTCTTTTTTTTGGTAGTATAGTTTATATAAATAAAGATTAGTGTGTATTAAAACTACATCGTTGTAGAAAATAATTTCTTTTAGCATTTGTTGGGAAAATGTAAATGTTTATTAGATCATATTTCTTATGTTATTGCTTCCTCTTGGCCTTGTTCTTATGTTCATAATTCGGTTTTGAACTGTTAATTTTATTTTTGGTCAAAATCTGAACTAAATCGAGCGGTGTTTTTTGGTTTAGCGGGTTTTTTTTACCAACCATTAGTTCTTAAATATATAGTCATCTTTTATTGAGGGATCCCTCAAATAATTTTATTTCAGGAACACCCTTTAGAGCATCTCCACCCATAAGAGTGGCTCCAGAAAGGAGCTTAGCCCAAGGCTGGGGGGAGAAAAAAACAAAAACCTGTTTCCAGCGAGGAGCCCAAGCCCAGGCGCAAGGTGGGACCCAGCAACCTGGGTTGGCCCGAGCTCCAGCCCTCGTTTTGGTGCTGATGTCATTGCTACAGTGACGCTACAGTGCCACGCGTTACAGTACCACTAAAGTCCACGTGTCACACTCTGGGCTCTCCAATAAGATTTTTTTCTCCAATCCAACGACAGCCAATTTTTGCAATAAAAAAAAAAAAAAAATTAAAAAAAATTTTTAAAAAAAAAAAAAAAAAAAAAAAAAAAAAAAAAAAAAAAACCAAAAAAAAAAATTTTTTTTTTTTCTATATAATACCAAAATTTTATCCAATTGAGATATGAATTTTATAATAAATATTGACATGTACGAACCCAAAAATCTTATCCGAAAATATTATCCAAATGAATTGTTTAGATAAACAAATTTCTGAAAAAAAACAAAAAAATGAATAGTAATTGCCCTTTGCTAAGGCAACGGGTGGAAACACACAATACTATTTGCAAGGGCAACCACTATTCACGTGAATATTGACTGCCCTAGCTCCCCCCTTGCCATGACAATGGGCAAATGGGTGGAGTTGCTCTAAGGGCTAAGTCTAGGGCAAGAACAAGCAAGGGATGCCACTATTCACGTGAATAGTGTTAGCCTTGCTATTTGTAGTTCCACCCATGAGGGCTAAGTCTAGGGTAAGTCTAAGGCAAATACTATTCATTTTACTTTATTTTCCATTTTTTTTTATACTTAAAACATTAATTTTGATAAGCTTTTTAGATTATATTTTCGGTTGTCACGTGTCACTATTTATTATAAAATTCTCACTTAAAATTTAAGATAACATTTTTCGGATAAAATTTTCAAATAAAATTTTCGGATAAAATTTTCGGTTGTCACGTGTCCATATTTATTATAAAACTCACATCTCACTCATCATACAATTGAAATACCTACTCACTCATCATACAATTGAAATATTCTTGGTCCTCATAGTCCGACACAATGGAATACAAGGACAACTCCATCATTGACGGAGGCGGTTCCATCGGATCACGACGTGGGGGAGTATTTTCCTTCGGAGGACGTAATAGTGTCATTATTTCTGACATGGAACCCACAATTGGAACCAACTGCGGGCATTGTTCACTTGAGGAGCCATATGTAATGGTTTTCTTATTTTTTGTTTTCCCTTGAATAATCTATTTTTTTATAAAGGAAATTGGAAATGCAAGAAATATATATTTTAAAAATATGAGATTAAATTGAATTCGTCGCCAAGATTTTGACCTCTTCGAACATTTGTCCATGACCCTCCGGCTTCGATGGAAGAGGTCATTTGTATTTTTGCACAAATGGAATTTTGTAGTAGAAAATTTGGTGTGGAAAATGAAAAATATTGGAATGAGATGAATTTGTATGAAGATTTGGTGTGAAAAAGTGAATAATATTGGTAGGTATTTATAGAAAAAATTTCCAGAATTTTTTGATATTTTTAAAATTTTATTCAATTTTTTTAAGCTAAAAATTGGACAGCCGTTGGATTGGGCAAGATTTTTTGATCGAAGGCTTCAGGAGAAGCCACGTGGCTTATAACCGTTGGGCTATATGGGCTGGTGGGTCAGCGTTGACGTCAATGGCTGATTTTCAATTTTTTTTACTATCGGCACGTGTATTCCACGCGCCAACAGCAAAAAAAATTTGAAAATTAGGCGTTGTTGTCAGCATGACGTCACGCTGACGTCAGCAGCCCGAGGGCAACAACCCAGGCAGGATTAGCCCGTGGGCTTGCCCAAGCTGGTGGGACCCACCATTTGCCCGGGCTCATTGTTGCGCGCTGGAGCTGGAATGGGCTGCCGGGGGGCCTTTTGCCCAGGTTTGGTGCAGCGGTGGACATGCTCTTAGGGTCTCTTATAATTTTTTTTTCAACAGTCCAAATCATCTACTTTTCAAATCTTTATTCATAGATCATTCTTGCAAAAAATCAAGCAAATTGAAAATCATTAAGGCATTTAGTTGGGACCAATAAAATAAATGAACACATTTAAAGAAAAGACTATAATAACAACAATTTAATTGAGTGGTCAAATGATTTTTTTTAAAGATGATCTTTGATGTAATATCTAAAAACTAGATGGCTCGGATCATTGATATATGTATGGTGGGTCCTACAAGGGTGTCCCTTAAATATGAGGGATCCCTCAATTGAAGCTCTATATATATAAATAATACAAGTGATAGTCTAAACTATAAGAGAGATGGGGAAACACACACTACCAAATGCCATGACTAGTTCTTGAATATCGAGCAATCTTTCCAATATTGGCACAAAAATTCATTTAATAATCAAATCGAAATAAACATTTTAGAATAAAGGGTAATAGTATTGAATTCCACTCACAATTATTGTGCTAGCCAGTTAAAACCAAACCAAAGAAAAAGAAAAAGAATTGAAATGAAACTTTACATGGTGCAGGATCAACAAGTACATGTACTCTCGTGATAGCTAAAAGCCTAAAATGACACCAAAAAGAGACCTAAAAACAAGATGAAAACATGTGCAGAATTCACATGCACTAAACACAATGACAATGACCAGCAACCATTGAACATGCTGCTCATCCCCTTCTCTAATGCCCTTTTTTTTCCATCTGCCAATGAGCAAAAGAATTGAATGAGACCAAAAAAGCGCACTCAATGGTTCATCTGAATTTGGCAAAAGTGCATGAGAGGTACACACCAAATTACCAATAAAATTGTAGCCTTTTTCCTTTTAGGGCTTAGAAGATTGGGTTTTCATCAAAGATATGGTTTTTGTGCAATATATGTGTCTTTTTAGGAGCCATATGTGATGTCCTAGGTAGAAGAGTTTTCCAAATCCTTGTTCATTATTTGGCTTTTTTCCATCTTTCTTGGTCCCCCATATGTGTAAGACCCAATTCTAGCAATATTAGGTACATGTTATTTTCAAGATGACCCATGATGCCAGTAATCTGTGCCCTTGACATGGCAAATCGATATGCCTACTTGGGCCCTACCTTATCACTATATAAATCAATATTGTATTCTAAGGTTTTTACCCAAGTTCTCTTAAAAAACTATTCTTCTTTTCCTTTGAAAATTGTTTCTTCATTTTGTGCACTTTCTTAACAGATTTATTTTCTGTCATACATGGCCTCTGATGATGTATCAGAAAGCATGCAGCTTGTTCTTGGTAAAGATGAGTTTGAAGACTTCGAGGTCACAGAAGTTGATGGAGCCCTTCTCTGGGACTTGCTTGAAGAGTTGGAGAATGAGGAGGAGAAGAAGGATGAGAAAATAAGGGATATTGATGATGCTAATAGCATGACAGATGAGCAGGTTTCAGTGGAGCAGCATGATGAGATTTGCACCCCTGACTTAAAGTGTGGAGATGTATACATGGTGGAGACAAACCCATCATCATATGAAATGGAAGCTTGGTTTGCAGATGACATGGTGGGGATGGTGGATTTTGGTTGCGGTGTTGGAGATTTTCCACAGTTGCATAATGGTGTTCACATTGGAGCCTCCTGCAATGAAATAACTTACAATTGCTTGTGGGGAGATAGTTGATTATAAGGAAAAGTGTGTGCTTTTGGATGTGTAGGGAAGAATAATTAGAAATGTAAAAGAAGCATGATCCATGGACCACCTTTACCTGCGCATGTAATATAATATATGCATGTCACCAGTTACTAGAATATTTAATTTACTGCCATCTTATTTAAATAAGTACTGACACAATTTCACTTAAATTTTTGTGTGATAGTCATATTTTCACGTGATGTTGCTAATACAATCATATTACAATACATATATTTACAGGGAGCTTTGATTGAGGGATTCCTCAAATAAGCTTATTTGAGGGACACCCCTTGTAGGCCTCACTCGGGATTGTATTTCACTAATCCAAACCGTCTATTTTGTAGATGCTCATTAAAAGATCATCTCTACAAAAAAATCACTTGAATCCGATATCATTTGACCACTAAATTGAGTTATTGAAATTTTAGTACTTTCTTGAAGCACCGTGTTCATTGATTTTGTAAGACACAATTGGATGTCGAAACGGTTTCAGATTTGTCTAATTTTTTGTAAGCATGATCTATGAATGAAGACCTAAAAAATAGATGTTTTGGATCATTGGGAAAAAGATTGTAGGATACCCTAAAGGGCATCCCTCAAATAAAATTATTTGAGGGATCCCTCAATAGAAGGGGACTGCATATATTTATTTATATATATATATAGCAAAAAGATAGAGAATGATGAAACATTCAAAATACTAGAAAATGCCTTTAATTAATTCAAACATTAAGAATTGAAATTATTAATTAAATGAGGATAATATGATAAATTCACTTTTTTTCATATTAAAAAAATTAAAATTAAAAACAAAATCAGATAATATGTCCTACTTTTATGTAACATAACTACCCATGTTATATTTTCTTAATTCTAAAAATAAAATAAAAAATAAAACCAATTGGCTAGTATTAAAATTATATCCTAAGTTCAGAACATATCAATTATGTCGTCCACTCATGTTATAACATTAGAATTGATATCCCTGCATAACAATGTCACGATTATACCTTATCCAATCTTGTGGGTAACATTACTCTGATGATAGCTAAGGTGCGCATTAAGTCAAGGTACAAGAACAGTGTCATGCACCGTGACATATCAATTATATTATCCACCATGTTATAACATATGAATTGGTATCACCACATCACAATGTCATGATTAGACCTTAGAATTTCTCCAATAATGTGGGTAACATTACTCTCATGATAGCTAAGGTACGCATTAAGCCAATTTACAAAGGCGGTGCCTTGCACCATACGGCGCTAGAAAACCCACTTCAAAATATTATTCATCATATCAGCAAAGTAGATAACGCACACTAACTTCAATTTAAAAGACAACTAACGCACGCAGCTTCCTTGTAGTATTCGATACAACTCATTCATTCATAAAAGTTATGTAGTGGTCACTGAATCAAGAATTCAATCATTGTAGGAAACTGTCATTTATACTTTGTCAAGAACTTTTCTTTAATACAGAAACTTATAGAAGATGTATTCTTAATCCATTGGTATTCTCTAGTGTATGAATTATTGAACCTAAAATGAAAGACCACCTTGAATGATATTCCAGGTGTGGAGAAGTTCTGAATTTGAGTTAGACTACACGTCGTATTCATGGGGAGAAGTTCTGATCTTGTCAAGATGAAAGGTTTTGTAAGTCAGTCTCATTTGATCCAACCACAAACTTGGCTATGAAAAACCCGATTGTGTCAAGCGGGGACAACGGATCAAACCTCTGAACAAGTTCTTCCTCACCAGGTCTTAGCCACTCCCTGTCACGTCAAGCATGTAAAATGGTTATTTTATTTTATTTTTCTTTTCTTCGGTCAACAATAAAGACTTGCTATTGGACTGTGAGGTCATCAATCATAATGAAGAGCAGATGATGATTTAAAGCGACAAACATTACTAACTCAATAATGACTTTTTCTTTCAAACGTAAGAAAATTCTTCTAATTGCGTGTTTCCTAACTTCAATCTACAATAAAGAGAAGCGTACTAAGAATGATGTAAACAACTGCATATGACATGGAAATAAATGAACTTACTCAGTATATCCATCAGGAAATTCAAAGCGCCCAACAAGACCAGGTCCCCCCGATTCTTGGGTGCTGAAAATCAAAGTCAATAGCAATTGCCAAAATCAGAAACGAGATACTGATACTTCCTCATTGTTAGGAAAAAAAATTGACAAATTCAAGAAACTAAATTATATAGACCTCCCCTAAACTAATCGAACCTGTGGTGCCAAGGAGAGGAATTTATATGTATCCAAAGCATATCGAACCAAAGCTTCATTCTCTCCAGGATTTATTGTACATCTAGAGACAAAAAAGATACAGAAAGTTCAGTTCAATAGAAGAAAATAGACATACAAGAATAAAGTTCAATAACTTCCATGTTAGGCATATCTACTAACGTTGAGTACACAATAACTCCACCCGGGCGAACTAACTGAACAGCCTGATCAAACATTCTCCTTTGATATATCGCATGCTTTCTCAAGGATTCAATTGTTTCCTGGAATAAGCAACTAACTTTATCAAACACTTATAGAATGTTAACTACTCTTACTTGTAACTAAAATACCTTGTATATGCATACAAACATAATACATTAACAAGACAATGAGGCATTAAAAGTAAAAAAGAACAACCAAAGAAAAGAACAAACAAAAAAAACTACTGTAAATATGTATTGATTGGGTTATAGTACCTCTCCAATAAATAGTCGAGGTCTTAAACCAAGGGCAGAACAAGGTGCATCAAGAAGAACTCGATCAAAGCTGCTGGGAGCAAAGCCTTTTGACTTCTCAACCTTACCACCCAAGCTCTGATTTCTTCCTGGACCATTCCGTTTTCTTCGCATTTCCTTCCTGATGTCAGCTTTGCTAATGTAAGAACTCTCATTCGCTTTTTCATTGCTAACTAAAACATTGAGTTTATTAGAACTGAATTTCTAATTTCACAAAGAAGCATTTGTCATGCATATAACAAAACCGAAAGGGTGACTACTGTAGCATTGATAGGGAAAAGAAAATTACATATGGAAGACATATTCTAATAAAGATTTTTATACCATTCCACTAGTTTAAGGAGGTTATCAGCTACAGTGAAACTCCTGAAGAATTAAAAACTAAGCATACCCTTAAGCCCAATGAAAGGTGGGGGCGGAGGCTATGTAGGATTGAATCATTTCAATCCACAAAGTGAGAGGCCAATTAACCTCCTGTATTCCGATAAAATGAAAACTATAAGTCAACCTCAAGTAAGGGTTCAGGGATATAGAATATATTTCAACTTTTAATATATTTGATCATCGAAAACACCACGTTAAGTTTTTAGAATGCATAAAGTCACAAAATACTGAAAGTTCATTTAATGACCTTGTTCACAAATTAATATCATTATAAAATGCTATACTGATTCCAACAAGTTCCAGTTCCAAACTACCAGAACCAGAATACAGTGCACAACTATGAACATTGGTCTCATGTACCCATACAAGGAGAATTTACCTACCAGCTTTCTTAAAATCATTCTCAGCATTCAACCTTTCAAAAGTAATTGATTCAATTTTCTCTACTTCTGACTTCATGAAGTTGGAATCTTGAATGTGTCCACCATGATTATCCTTAGCACAAGATGGATCAGACAAATCTTCAGATTCGTTCCTTACACAAACAGCTTTTAGAGCATCAAGTTTATATGGGGTTATACAACTCAGGCCCATTTCAGCAGCTAATTTGTGAATACCCTGCACCTGCAAAATATAGTGGGGCATAAATAACACATGAAACCCGAAGCCTGCAAACAAACCAAGAAGGGGGAATGTTCATCATGGGACATTGAAAATCCCAGATCAATGGACTTCATTTTATCTTGCCACGATATGATGTAAATAAGGAACATAGACTCTAACCACATATAAGAACTGCAGGAGACCAGATGGAGACGCCTTACATAAGGAACTGTAATGCACAATATGACTTAAATAGGATTCCGGAATCATAAAGGAGACTTTTTTTAATCACATCTCTTGTTAGGAAGTCTACCTTATTGTGAGATCTATCAACAGCAACGATTTCTCCTTCATCCTTCATAAGAATTGCTATTGCAGTTGTTTTCCCTCCCGGTGCAGCACACATGTCTAGTATGCGCTCACCTTTTTGAGGATCTAAGACATAAAATGAAAAACAATAACAATAACTAAATAAATAAATAAATAATTATCATCAAATATTCTAAGATGAGCGAAGTAAGCAACAGCTAGCTAATTCCAATGGAAGGAACCATCCTTCACAACTATGATCGATCATAGAAATATTAATGACACTATTAAAGAAAAACCGTGATACAGATCACTACTTTGCAGAACACCTATAAAATGATGTAGTTTTTGTGAAACAGAAGCATTCAGAGTCAATGATTATTAGGAAACAACAACACATGTAAATTCCTTTAGTTAATCACAACACTGTAAGAGTTACCTAGTGCACGAGCAGCGACAATGCTTGGCAGATTTTGAAGAAATATTTCCCCCTCAAGCACGTCTGGAAGCCAAGACAAAAGAACATTGGAGTTATAGAAACCTTTTACATAATGCAAAACCATAAACACACACCAACCCAGAAAAAAAAACGTAACGATCAAAACAGAAAGCAAACCATGAAAGTGCAAGCACCTACTCATCAATTAGCAACAAACAAAAGATATACCATAAATAAAGAAAATCAAAAGTTCCCTAATTTAAGACCCATGTCAGTTACTAAAGAGATTATCTTTCACAGTATGGAATAAAAATCTGCATTAAACAATCCATGTAATATTTATATGCAACAAAGAATGAACTAAAAACCATGTAAAACACTTGATAAGCTAGAGGTGGAGCCATGCAACATCTTCAGACGACATGAAATTCATTAAAAGAGAAATAGGAGTATGTGCTTTTGTACTATCTATTTCCAATAAAGTCTTCACTATAATTTGTGGACAAGTAATGAATCATACCACGAAAGGAAGGCAGATGAAATACTCTGTCACTCATATCCACAGCAAGCCCTTCTGTAACACGGAACATCCCGGACCTTGACATCATTGCTCTTCCTTGGCCAATATACAGCCCATTTCGTTCAAGATGATAAGGATCTAAAACATCATTTAAAGGAACATGTATAAAACCCATGGTCACTAAAGCAAAGTCACAATCTTTGTATTTACAACACAAAAAAGAATATGAGAAAAATAAATAAATGTGCTTAAGATCAATATAATCATCATATGAAAAAAGTACAAAACCAAATAATAAAATTTCAAGCACCATAAAATTTACATGATGTGCTCCTTACCATATTCTTTTATCCCACATTACCACCCATTTGCCATTCTTAAATCCTACCACCCTCCTTCATTAGTGATAAGTTGACTCTCCGATAGTGGTACATGAATAAATACACTAGTGTTACCTGTCTGTGAACCTTGCAGCACAGTCCCTCGAGTGATCCCAACGCCCCATCCACCATCAACACCAGGCTGCTCAACCGAGACTGAAACCGCAACCAATTCCCCTTTCTCAACATGAGCACTGCAAGCCAATACACCAGGAACGTACACCTACATGTCAAAAGACAAAAGCAAATTCATCCCAGCTACCACTGAGTGAGCAAAGCAAAGCAGAGGAATCAAAAGAACACAGAAAAGGCTAACCTGGGCACCTCGAAGAACTGCCTCGGCACATTTCCGGCTCACAAGAACCTCCTTTGGAGGCTTCCCATCTGCAGCATAAACATAATTAATGGCGTGAGGGCCTGAGCCCCTCACAAACACAACGTTGTCCAGCCCTACGACTTCACACTTGGAAATGTCAGCTCTGTTTTCTTTCAGAACCGCCGTCAACTTGTCAATGACGGCATCGGGCGTGGTCTTGAGTGTGTTCACCCGTATACAGGAGTAGCAAGACGGGCGCCTAAGCAACCCAAAAACAAAACAGAAAAAAAAAATTAAAACAAAGCTCATGAGAAAAAATGAAATGCACCACTGAATGGATTAATAGCGAGAGAGAGAGAAGTACGTCAGGGCTTTGGAGATGCGAGAGAAATTCTGGGGTCCATAGGCATTGGAGAAGTAGCTTTCGAGCTCAGCGTTCCAACGCAGAGTTGGGTTGTAAGAGTAACGCTCTGGGAATTCTTCCATGAGTTTGTGCTGATTGGTGAAGAAGCTGCCGATGGTTTTGGACAAGCCCCAAGCTTTCTTCTTCATTCAAAGAGGCGGAAGGGAAGTAGCAAACACCATTTTGCTTGCTTGCTTGCAGCAGCTCCAGAGATTCGGGCAATCGGGCTTGGGGATTTTGGTGGCAAACTGGGCCGGGATAAACCTTTTCCTAAGCGCAAGTTTTGGGCTTCGAGTTGTTTGGGGGGCCTATTTGGCGACAAAAGGAAGGTTTGTGAGGATGACACAATTTGTAGACGCAAGGACACCATTTGTAGAAGAAACACTCTCTTACAATAGCATTTTTGTTATTTCCGATCAATAACACTATGATACGTAAGCTAATTTTTTTAAGTATCATTGTGTTATTGGTCGGAGATATAAAAACAGTGTTATCCTCATTATACAATTTATTTTTTTATTTTTATTTTTTTGCATTTGTAGAGGCAAAGAACACAAAGTTACAAATTTTTTGTTTCTTTTGTTTTGGTGAGGAAGTTGCAATCTTTTGATACAATTAATTGAATATAGTTTACTATAAATAGCTCATTCTAAACCTTGTACGGTTAACGGTTTCAGTCATTGGTTTAGTGACTTCGACACATGTATGATTGTCATTAACATTTGTAGAGGTCTTTTTGTTCTAACTGCATGACGAATTGGCTTGGGCTGCCGTAAGAAGAAAAGAAACAAAATTTCCCAAGTGTCTGAGTTCGAAAACCAAGCCTTTAAAAGAGTTTTTGAAAAGTCTAATGAAACTTTAGAAAAACACTCTTAGGTTCTTTTCACCAATAGCCAAATAAACATGATAAATCGATTAATGGCTTAACTTGAGGAGCTTGTGGCATGGGAGCTAAGCTTTCACAAGTTTAGCAAATTTGAGAGAGAGAAAAGACATGAATTTCTTGTGGAGAACTATGATCTAGAGCAAGGTATAGGAAAATTAGCACGATTTCTATCTTAAAGAAAGAAGGAAAACAAACTAAGACGAAGATTGGGTGGCTTGAGTAAATTTTCAGTTGCTTGACAAAGCTTGGTCAAGCTCTGAATGGGGTTGTTTGCCTGAGTAGCAGAAGTCTTATTTTATAGGCACAAAGAACTCTAATTTCATCTAACCCCAAAGAACTCTAATTTCATCTAACCCTTTCCTTTCTTTTTCGTTGCTTCTTTCCACTTAATCTTCTTTGGTGAAATTCTCTCATCCAAGGTGCATAGGTAAGGAGCTTTTTGTGGTTCCAAGGTTTTGGCATAGTTGGTCTTTCTTTGTAAGGGTGAAGCGCCACTAACTTTCTTCTCGATCTTTCCTATGCGAGCTAACAGAGAAAAAGGGGGAATGGACATACTGTTTACCCAACGAGTAAACCTCTCGCTCGCATGGATTTCCTCTAGTTTTTGTGTTGGCTTCCGTTGACTCCCAAGGCTGGACGTGTTTGCTACATATTGTATAGAGTGTTGGGCTGGGCTTTTCCCCAAGGCTTTGGGTTGGTGATATTCTACTCTACAGCGATTGGTCATCCTGTTTTCGTCAAGCTACTGGAAGCAGTTTGCCTGTTGCGTTTTTAACAAAGTATTTGGGCATTCTAATTAACATAGGGTTTTCTAAGCAAACTACTGTATTCTTCCTAAGGCATTCGGTCATGTTCTCTCTCTCATGCTAGCCCATGTGTTTGGGGCCAAGAAATGAGCTTGAGTTTTGGTGCTCCTAAGTAGCCCAAAATTCTCATTCCTTGATCCCTCAAATGGGCCTTGTGAACACTTGTACCCATCCACACTATAACTTTCTCAACAAGCCCCGGGTAATTTTGTGGCTTGGGCTCACTTAAGCTTGTGGCATAGCTTGGTGTTAGAATAACGTCTTTTATTGCATGACACCTACGCTTGTGCTTGAATTTTATTATGCAGTGATAGGCTATAATCGGGCCAAGTAACACCAAATGGGCATGTGAGCGTGATTTTGTAAAGTTGGCATGCTCTTGGCCCTTTTGCACGTGCTTGCTTGGCATGATACGTGACCCATAGCTTGTATCGGTGCATCCTACAAATTCTCTTTTGTCTCGATTGAGCTTTTTTTGCGTTCAATTATCTGTGTTGGGCCAAGAATTAATCTGAATTTAGCCCTTTGGATTTTTGGGCCTTAACAACATTCTACCTTATTAAACAATAAGATATCATATTGAAAATTACATGAACGATGTACAATAAGTAACTCATTTAACATTTATTGTAATAAAATCAAAGTCAATTACCTCTAAGCGTAGATTCGAAATGACGATAACTAAATAACAACAACATAACTCAACTAGCACTCCCTTCCACCGGATTAAAAGTTGAATACGAGCAGAATATGAATGAGAATAAGGCTACTCACCATCCTTGATTAGTGGTGGTGAATGTCATCATCATATGTTGTGTCATTGAATTGAATGCGTGCAATTCTCAAATAATGTGACCCTTTATTCTTAATCCGATTAGGACACAACATAACTCGGCCAAGACTCGCTGGCTGTCGCTCTCTTCATTCCCTCATCGGATTTGGCGCGCGCAAACCAATCGCAATCCTTGTTGTTGCCGATGTCACGATACACAACACAACTCGAAAAGCACAACAACAATAATAACGGACAACACCACCACCAGATTAAATAATGAAAAATAATAAAAATAATACAGAACAGAACATAATAAGCATCTTCTCCCACCAAAACCAAATCGGCTGATCGATTTCATCGCTGTGTCCACCAACAACATTACAGACAGGGCAAATGCTTCGAATCAGTCTCCTCAGATTTCTCTCTCTTCCTTCTCGCTCCTCTTCTTCTTCTTCCCTTTTCTTCAATCCCGTTTCTCCTCATTCCCATTCCCAAAACATGGCCACCTCTGCTTACACGACGTCGTCTGACTCCGCCTCCTCTGCGAAGCTCCTCTTCCGCCAGCTCTTCGAGAAGGAGTCCTCCACGTACACTTACTTGCTCGCCGACGTCGCTCACCCCGACAAACCCGCTCTGGTTAGCTAGCCTTTAAATATTTTGAATAAAAATTATAACTTTATAATTTAATTAGGATTTTGATGAATTTTAATTTGCAGTTGATTGACCCGGTGGACAAGATGGTGGATAGGGATATCTCCCTTGTCAAAGAGTTGGGTTTGAAGCTAATTTATGCCATGAACACTCATGTTCATGCTGATCATGTCACTGGCACTGGCCTCATCAAGGTTTGGGCTTTCCACCTTCTTCTGCTCATCTTTTTTTTACTTCTTTTGTTAATGTTGGTGCATTTGGATTATTCATGAGTGATCAATGCCTCTGCATTCTTGCTATTTGGGAAAAAAGTTGTGTGCTTTGTAACAACAACGGAGTGTTATTTGATGAGTATACATTTTTTTCTTTTGTGGCAGACTAAGCTTCCCGGTGTCAAATCTATCATTTCGAAGGCAAGCAACTCAAAAGCAGACCGTCTGATTGAAGCCGGTGAAAAAATACATTTCGGCGATCTGTTTTTGGAGGTTTGGTTAGCACTGGGGTTTTTGTTTTATATGTTTAAGCTTGTTGCACTGTGTTACATGGAAATTTGAAGGTTTTAATGGCTTCTAGAGGACTAAATGTGTACACAAGCTTACCTTTATATTCCCTCTTTTAAAATTATTGAAGAAATCAAGTATGATTTGAGGTGTAAGTGGGAGAATCATTGTAATGCTTGTTAGGCCAGCCTTGGAAATGTGTTATGTGCTTCCCAGTGATCATCACAGATATTTCATATACCAGACTTTGTGGTAATTTTTTCTCCTAGGTGAAGGTATAAAACTTACTGGGTTGATTAAACTGGAGTGTTTAGCCCAAATCTGCCAATAGTGTTAAAGCTCAGATTGAGGTTTTGAATACTAAAGAGTCGGCTTTTATTGAATTAATTGCTTTTGGGCCGATAAAGTAGAATGAATACAAAGCTTAACTGGTATAGGCTGTGATCTACCGAGTTCCTCTTCCTGTGAAATATATAAAAGTTACCAAAAGAAATAATTTACTGTAACAAAACTTGTCTGGTCCTTGCTGATTTTCAACTAGGTAGTTTTATGTGTGTACACAAAGGGGTGTGCTTGTGTGTGTGTGTGTTTGTATGTGTTCATGTACGTTTTATACATGTATCTTATGTGCATATGTTGTGACAAATTGGCCTAAAGAAACAAGCTACTGAAAGAAGTTATGTATGTATCTTACTGGTTTTGGACTAGTTAGAGCTGTGGTTCTCTGTGTCGGGTGTGTGTGTATGTATGTGCCTTTGTATATGTGTATCTCATGTGTGCATTTGTGTTGCAGGTTCGAGCTACTCCAGGGCATACATTAGGTTGTGTTACCTATGTTACAGGAGATGGGCCTAATCAGCCACAACCAAGGATGGCTTTCACTGGAGATGCTTTACTCATACGGGGTTGTGGGAGAACTGATTTTCAGGTATAGTACCTTCAACTTTTGAAACTCTCTATAATTTACCTTTTTGTGACAAATTCTGCTGCTTCAATCAAAAGACAAGGAAAGCAAAAATTGAAAAACTAGCAACAGTTTGCCATTAGAAGAGTTGGCTTGTTCTTAAAACACGACCGTTAAGGGGATTTACCAAGTTCCTGTGTTTGATTTATCTAATCTGTTTGCAGGGTGGCAGTTCACATCAACTGTACAAGTCAGTTCATTCACAGGTAAGAACATGCTGAGCTAGCATACCTTTGATACCATAGGAAAGAAATGAGTTCAAACATGACTTTGTTAAAAGCCCACTTATTGTTTTGTGCTTACAAATCCAGATTTTCACATTGCCAAAGAATACGTTGATCTATCCTGCTCATGATTACAAGGGATTCAGTGTATGGAACTCACTATTGTCTATTTCTTCTGCACCCTGTATACCTAGGCAGCTTCTTATGCCACATTTGCTTGAGATGCAGGTTAGCACTGTTGGGGAGGAGATGCTTTATAATCCTCGACTCACAAAAGATGAGGTATATATTTCGTTGTTCCAAAAGTGTTAACCATTGTAGTTGCTAAATTTAATGTTTTTCAGAAAGATGACACTGACACTATCTGGTTGACGATTGGATGATGATTTTCATTTTCTTGTCAAGATTTTGTATATCTACATATCTTGGGTCAACAAATGTTATTTTGACCTGGGGCGATATTAATGTGAAGGAGCCTCTGCCTAAAAAGCACTCACCTAATTTACCAAGAATAGTTAATACTGGTGTTGCACAGATGTTGTAAAAGAATGTTGAATTTTAAGGGAAAGTAGTGAGAAATGGATTTTTCTTTTATGTGAGATACTAGCTGAATAAATTAGCAGTCACTGTAAAGAGTCTTGACCATATGCGCTGCATAGATGCAGTTTTATTTTTCATTTATCATATGGGTATTTTAACACTTCTTCCCGATATGTATCTGACTAGTTTGATTTTGAATTCTTTTTGACAGGAAACATTTCAAAATATCATGGAAAGTAAGTAAAACTATCTAGCATCCAATTTTTTAGAAGTAACCATGTCCAGTTTTAACTGTCATTTCATTGATTATATGATATATCCAACCATTTTAGGTTTGAGTTAAGAAAAATGATGTTTCTTGACAGATCTAAAACTCTCATATCCGAAAATGATTGACATAGCTGTACCTGCGAATATGGTTTGTGGATTGCAAGATTTGTCCGAAAGGCCTGTTGAGTCTGTGTCAAACTAGACATATTTGCTGCTACGATTTGCATTTCAGACGAGAACATCGAAAGGGAGCCGGCTTAACCACATGAATCAATTGGCTACAATTTGACTGTACTAAGACCTTGAAAGTATACTGATAATGCCACGAAAGCAGCTCTATATCCTATGACATCTCTCTCCTCTTCATTTCAAGAGATGACTTGTACTAGCTCTTTTGTTGTACAGTAAATAATAAAAAATAAAAAAATCTCTGGATGACTGAGCGAGCTGGCTGTGGCTATTGTATTAGAATGACTACATAAAATAAAACCTCCAGTTTACTATTTTCCAGATTGAAAGCATCGTGCACCATCTTCTGCATTGTCCACACTTGTGTAAAATTCTTGTGGAAGTTCTGGCTTTCTGGATTTCCTTGCCATGTACTTTCTTAGAAACATAACATTTTTAACCCTCACGGGTTGGCCCAGTGGTAAGGGCGTTTCCCAGGCCCTATGTAAACGGGAGATCCTGGGTTCGATTCCTGCCGTTGGTGAATCAAGCGATGAGGGCCAGGGACGGGGTGAAATTCCCTATAGCCTCTCCGGGTCCCGGAAGGGGTGGATGGCCGTGGCTTGCCACCAGCTGTCCCCCTTTTCCAAAAAAAAAAAAAAAAAAAAAAATAACATAAATTTTTTTCAACAGAAACGGAACATTTGATCTCTGAGAATTTGAGACAGAAACCTCCTTCCATTTTCTCTCATTTGGGCCTCATTTTGGCTTTTCATCGCACAGCCCATTTCCATCCCTCCAAATATTTTATCAAAGTGATAAATTCTTTTTTAGCCAAAGTTAAAAAAAGAAGAGGGGGGAAATTTAGACACACGGGTAGCTTGAATCCTCGGCCAATCCAACTAACCCCCCAATGTTAATACTAATTATGCTTATATCATCAAAATGATCTCTTTGACCTAATCTATTTATAAAAATTATAAATATAAAAATAAAAATTAATAAAAAAAGTTGATCACATAAACTCTGGGATGCTTTCAGGTAAACGTAGCATTCTAATGTGAATTAAGTTAGAAGACTAAAGTTGAAGATAGGGTTTAATTAGTGACATGCAAGTCTCTTCAAAGTTTTCGACTTGGACCCTAATGAGGACGGATTCTTGAGGGATTAAAAGACTTACTCAATTACGTAACTTACCTTTTCAGATAGAGATAAAATAGTTCAAAATAAGAATGAGTTTAAGGAATACCTCCAAGGAAAAGAGGACCAAAAAAACAATTAAAAGTCCAAGTAAAGTTTCACATGCGGAGAATTGGAGAATAGAATTATAGAACGAATGTGGTGGCATTTTTTATTTATTCACATCCAAATGCTAGAGGACAGATTTTGTAGTGGAAATTCTCATCAAATTTCCCAACCTTCAAGATCTTTTGCTTCCTCCAAGAAACAAGCACTTGTTACTGGCTTGCCTTCTCAACTTTGGTTATTTTTTGTTGATAAACTCTCTTGATCTTGAGGAAAACCTAACACCACCTACTTTTGTGTGTCAAACCAAAACTCTTCTCCACATTCCACCTTTTCCTTAGTTTAAGATACATGACCACTATCGCTCATAAAAAAACAGATACATGACCACTATTTCTAGGGGAATGAAAATAAAAAAATAAACTTGTATATCATTTGTCTGTTGTGGTATTTTCAATCAACCAATCACGTTCGGTCACGCATAATAACTGATTCACATTACGGAATCAATCAACAGTGTTATCTCGACATGCAAGTTCTTCTCCACATTTAGACATGATGTTGCCAATTTTCAATAATCGCGTGGCTTGTACTTTTGTATTGTTGTATTGTCATGAAGATGAACACATGGAATATTTAATTAGTAACATGGCTTCATGAGCATGGCTCTGCAGTATATATATGCACAACTATATTGTCCAATCAGTAAACGTTTTTCGTGTGTTGAATACATTTTAGACGATGAGCTTTGATTCGAGTATGGCAGTGATTGTTGATTGTTGATTGTTGAAACTACAACATTCCCCTATATTATTGCAAGCTTGAGTTTGACCTGCCTTCACTTCACCTAACTAATTCCATATATATAGCGGACTTAGAAAATATTGTTTCCACGAGACAAGAAGAAGAATATAACGCCATAATTTCCTGATAAAGACTCTCTCCCACTTTGTGGAAACCGATTAGTGCATGGGTCATGACTGCTTACTTGAAAATATATATGAATTCAATATTTACTTAAATTTCATCTTTCTGGTCTTCATTCTAGGTGTTTTCTTAAAAAGGGCGTTTACATCGCACAAAATCGGTCTAGTAAACGTTACAAAACATCTGTACTTGCACTCTAATTCATATGTTTGATCAAACTAAGATGAAATCGATTAGCACCAAAATAATGAACGGAAGAATACATGACTTATCAATCAAGACTCAAGACCAAGAATATAAATAATATTGTAAAGAAAAGGTAAATATGTTTTGCCAGATAAGGAATTGAAATGTGCTCTAGTTATGTTTTACATGTAAATTACATATTTGAAAGTCAGCACCACGTGGGAGCACAGACAAATTATACAGGAACACGACATCGCACACCAATTTTCCACTTTGAAAGCCCCTGAATTTAATAATGTTATTTTTGGGAGTCAACAATAATACTTCAAAATCCAATGGGTCCAAATGCTATTTTCTTATCAAAATATATTTAATATAAATGGCGGCAATACGGCATGTATGTCTGCTCCAAATTCTACCAGCTACCCCCGTTTTTCTCTGTTTTGTGTTTCTGTGTGTTCATATTTCAAGGTGGTCATGGTGGGGCGGTGTCTTGTTGAACATTCCATGTAGAAATTAATGGTAGACATTCCCTCTTATTTATTGGTAGACATGGTGCGGAAATTAAGCTAGCTTAGATACTTGCTTAATTCTCTTTTATCATTAACCAAGCTTCAAAGTTTTGTCATTATTTTTATTTATTTTTTGTAAATAAAAGAAACGAGAACTATTAAAAAATGGGAATCATATATGAAAAAGAATTAGAGTAATACACATGCATGTTTACTCATAAGGAATGAGTATTTGAATGATTCCAATTCTTGCTTCTCATGTGTTTACTAATACATGGGTATTGGAATGATTCAAATTCATGACTTTCCCGTATTTACTAACACATAAAAAATAAAAAATAATGTGGATTTCACTTTAAAATCCTTAATCGAATACCCTAAAAAATGGGAATGGAATCGACTAGGGGGAGTAGATGATCTGATTCCAATACCTTGATTCCCTTATTTCGATTCATGGCTTCCTCCATTCTTGGTATGTAAACATCAAAGTGGGGATTTGTAACTCGAGAGATAGTGAGCATGGATAGTATGAATATTCCTGCCAGATTTTTTAAATAAAAAAAAGAAAAAAAGAAAAGAAAAGAAACATTATATACATCCATTTTTGACAAATATTGTTTGAACTTTGAATACAGACCAGACCCTATCTCTTTTCCTCCTTTGAAGCAACTTTCATGAGAAAAGAATATTCAACGGTATCAAAACACCGTCACATACTACAACTAATTCATCTTGAATCACTTTCAGATTAAGTTATCGTTAAATTAATTTGCCTTGTGCAAATTGGAAGACCATAACATAAACCACAAGACTCCAACCACGTAAATGGTATTATCCTAGAAACCTGCTTTTACTCTTTGACATGAACTATTTGGCTAAGAGCTGGTTAGGTAATAGGCAAAGGCTTTCATTTCCTGTCTAATATATTTGTTTAGATACCTACATACATCATAATCTAATTAATTCATTCCCGTGTTTATGCCCCCTCCTGCTCGGTGACTTCTTTTCTAGGAGACCCAAAGCAACTCGTCAGCATATGACCAAATTAAAAGGATTCAATTAAGAAAATGTTCAAATTTGACAAAATAAACTAAATAAAACGGTCAAATAGATAAAAAGTTCACTCAACTAACACCGAGATTGTCCTCAATTTTAACCACATATATGTTGTAATATATTTAGTCAAGTATCTGACATAGGATATTACATTCTTCAACAGCTTTTACCATGTCCTTGCTATGGTCACCGGGCCAAAATCCAAATGGCAAAAGAAAAAAATAAATAAATATTCATATACCTTTAGTCAGTCAGATCAAAGTTAAGCATGCTTAGTTAGACTAATAGTATTAATTGATTACTTAGGCTGCTTGAAAAAGGGTCTTGAGCATTGCATGACCATATCTGATCGAAATGGTGATGCCTGCTACGTATACGTGCCTTCTGAACAATATTTTAGGGTAAGCCGAGGAGAAGAAAAAGAAAAAAGTTTTGACTTCACTATACATCTGACAATGATGAGTGAATTTAAAATAACAATAGGAAAAGTTTTCCGCCATCTAAAGTGTGCATTGACTTTCAAGAACTTCACGCATAATAAAATGATTATCTCTTTGTCTTTTGTTCCTAATGAAATATGAAACTATAACAAAAATATATATAAAGGTCACCTAACATAAATCGTTACACTTGGGTATTGGAATGATTGGGGCGAACACAAAAATCATCTAATAAACCTTTACTCGGTGTATTGTGTTGCATTCCTCATTCCTAAATATTGCTTGTATAAAATTAGTCTAAGTTAATCTTTGATAATTAAAAAAATCTATATGAATGTGATAGGTATAAAAAATTATTCCAATTTCTTCTTCTCTTGTTGTGTCTCTTATTAACACATGGGTATTGGAATGATTTCAATTCCTTACTTTCTATGCGTTTACTTTCCTTTATTTTTAAGTTTTTCGATTCATGAATTCTCACATTCCTTGTAAGTAAACGTGCCATTATTTTTCTTGCAAAACAAAAAAATATGTCATTATTTCTTTAAAGTTGACAAATAAAATACTTCGTATTCGGTATTTACTTTTTCAAACTTTCCATAATTTATATGGCTTTTACTAAAATAATGATTTGGTAATATAAAACAATATTGTAAACCAGTTATTTCCTAAACTATAAGAAAAGTAAACCAAAGTCCGAACCAAGACCAGAGAGTAGTTTTATCAAGTAAACTAAAAACTATTAGAGAGAGATAGAGAGAGAGAGAGAGAGAGAGAGGCAGGCTGATGTTCATGTAAGCCGCTTGCTTGGTGGAAAAGTATAACGGTATATATGGCAGTCACAGTGCCGTAAGCCAATGAAGCAGGAAAGAGAGAGGAAGAAGCAGAACAAGATGAAGACTCGGTAAGCCTTACAGAACAGACCACACACACAACATTTTAATATAATTTTATATTAAAACGCAATTCACAGCCACTGTTCTTTCTTTTATTTCCAAACCGCGTTTTCAACTCCAACCCTTTTCAAAACAAAAAACAGATTCAAACTCTTTGACATTGATTCTAAGATGAGAAAGACACACAGACTCTCCTCACAACCCAACACTTGCCTCTTCCTTTCTTTGCTTTAACCGAGTCTTCTCTCTTCAATAAATATGTTCCCATCTCCCCAATATACACATTTTCACCTGCATAACTCTCTAGTCTTTCAATTTCTTTCCGTTTCCTAGAAGCTGTCTCTGTTTTTTTAAGCTTTAATTGAAGTTTCAGTTTCTGGGTTCTGGATTCTCCCGTGCTTATAAACCCCCCTGCTTTCGTTTTCATTTATTTTCCAATTTGTTTTCCTTGTGGTGGGAATTCAAGTCCTTTCTAATTGTTCTGTTTCTGGGTTTTTCTTGTCACAACCACTTGGGAATTCTGAGTTCTGATTTTTTTTTTTCACATAAAGCCTTGAAATTTCAGTGAAGTTTCAAGCTTTCTGGGTTTTTTTTCCAGTTTTTTCTTTTCTAAAGTTTTCTTCATTTAGGATTTTCAAACAAGAAGAGACGATCATAATGGTTGTTCAGGCTTCTCTCATACTGGTTCTCCTTGTAATCTTCTCCTGCACTCTAGTAGCGATTGCTGGAATTCACAACCACAACAATCAAACTCCTAATGGCTCCACTCTCGCTGGCATGGAATTGCCAGAGCATATGAGCTTTAATGCTGTCTCCTCCTCATCCCACACTGGATGTAGCCTCAGCAGCTCAAAGAAAACCAAGCAATCAGATTCAACCATGGAAAAAGCAGTGTCCGATAATGAAGAATCTGACGACGAGGATGATGAAGTAGTTGATGATTCTATGACAAAAATAGGACCCCATAAACAATCTGTGAAGCTCCACCTGAGGCACAGGTCACTGAACAGAGTATCCGAGCGTAAGAGTTCTGTGATTGAGTCCACAGTCAGAGACTTGGTCAGAATTCAGACCCTCCACACAAGGATTGTTGAGAAAAAGAATCAAAATACCATTTCAAGGCTACAGAAAGACAAGAAGGTCCACGAATTCAAGCCAGTTGTTGCTCCAGCAGCCTCGCCGGAGTCTTATACAAGCGAGCTTTCCGGTCAGCTTCAGGCGACTTTGAAGTCCGGGGTCAGTCTCGGTTCTGGAGAGTACTTCATGGATGTTTTTATTGGTACACCTCCTAAACACTTCTCTTTGATACTTGATACTGGTAGTGATCTTAATTGGGTTCAATGTGCACCTTGCTATGCTTGTTTTGAGCAAGATGGACCACATTATGATCCTAAAGATTCCACCTCTTTTCGGGACATAAGTTGCCAGGATCCGCGGTGTCGATTGGTTTCGTCCCCGGATCCTCCTCAGCCTTGCAAGGCTGAGAACCAAACATGTCCCTATTTCTACTGGTATGGGGACAGTTCCAATACAACTGGGGATTTTTCCCTTGAAACCTTTACTGTTAATCTCACATCACATACTGGGAAGGCAGACTTTAAAAGAGTGGAGAATGTGATGTTTGGATGTGGCCATTGGAATAGAGGCCTGTTTCATGGGGCTGCAGGATTGTTAGGACTTGGGAGAGGGCCTCTCTCCTTTGCCTCTCAGCTTCAATCACTTTATGGCCATTCATTCTCATACTGTCTGGTAGATAGAAATAGTGACACCAATGTTAGCAGCAAGTTAATTTTTGGGGAGGACAAGGAGCTCTTGAGCCACCCAAAGTTGAGCTACACCTCATTGGTTGGAGGCAAAGAAAACCCTGCTGATACATTTTACTATGTCCAGATAAAATCCATCATGGTTGGAGGGGAAGTGGTTGACATACCAGAGGAGACTTGGAATTTGACACCAGAAGGTGCTGGAGGCACAATCATTGATTCTGGCACCACACTGAGTTATTTTGCAGATCCTGCATACCAGATTATCAAGGAGGCATTTTCAAAGAAGGTTAAAGGCTATCCAGTTGTAAAAGACTTCCCATTTTTAGATCCTTGTTACAATGTGTCTGGTGTTGAGAAGATAGAGCTTCCAGAATTTGCAATTCTGTTTGCTGATGGAGCAGTTTGGGATTTCCCAGTTGAGAATTACTTTATCCAGATCGATCCGCAAGAGGTTGTTTGCTTGGCAGTGCTAGGAACTCCAAAATCTGGTCTCTCAATCATTGGTAACTATCAGCAGCAGAATTTTCACATCCTCTATGACACAAAGAAGTCTAGGCTAGGATATGCACCAATGAAATGTGCTGATGTTTAACAATATTTTGTTGGAAGATCAGGGGGAGGTGAAAAACTGTAAACAATTTTTTTTTCTCTCTTTTTTTATTTATTTTTTATTTTTTAGTTTTTTCCTCTCGACAAGGATCTGAGGTAACGCACAGAAATTAGATTCATTGTTTTTTCATTTTATATTTTTCTGAAGTTCAAGTGTTTACATATTGATAGCTAGACCCGGTCATAATCTGTACTGATCAAACAAGCAATCTTATCAATGCGTTTTTTCAAATTTTATATTTCCTGGTGTTCTTGTTGCCTTCTGATCTGTTAGTTTAATTGAGTGAATCATTCATTCATGATCACTTTATGAGTGTCTTTATGCAAATAGGGGATTTGGAGGGAGGCTGATATTCTATGACCTAATCTAATTTCATTGTTTAAGACTAGAGAGTTTACTCAAACGGCTGGTTTCAGAGTCTTGAGACCTTTGTTTATTGCTCACAGATTCTTCATTTTGGAAGGCCCAACTGTGTGTGAGTTTGCACATGAATTTATAAATCTTTGTTGCCCTCTTCTTTCCATTTGTTTTTGTTTATCCTAATTCCTTATCACTCTTTGGACTATAAATATTATTTTGTATGCAGGTCGGTGGTTCCTGATATTGAATATAGATTATAAAACAAAAAGACTGGTCAATTTTTAGGTGCAAGAAACTTAAACATATAGTGTGTGTGTATATAAACAAAGAACAAGTCAACCCTTTGGGCTGCCACAGCTACTTTTTATTTCATTCTCTATATATACAGTTGATGATAAGGTTACTCAATTCAAAGGTGGCCCCAGATTAGCCTCCTAAGAATATGCTTGCTCTGGGTGTAACAAAACATATTTGTTAAAATCATTAGCCTTTACTTTTTATATTTTTTTAGTACAAATGAGGGTGATTTCTCATATACACACACAATTAAGATGCCATGAAGGTTTGAACTTGAAACATCTGGTCTACATGTCAAAGCTATTTTCCACTTGGCTAGACCTCGTTGGTCATTAGCCTTTACTTTTGTTCTCGTAATATTATAGTCATTCTGATGTTTTAAACATCTCCAACTGATGTGTCAAAAGTGCCACATAAACATTTAATGGCGAGAAATAACATCTCACATCACTCCAACCGATGTGTCAAAGCTTATGTGGAATGAAGGCTGAAGGTTGAGATGTTATTTTTGACATCCCAAAAGAAAGATGTCAAATGAATATTTTATTATTTATTATTTTATTTTATTTTTAATTAAAAATAAATCGGGTAGAGTGTAAAGCTGTGTAAGATGTCAAATTACCACATCAGCTATCAAATTTAAATTTGATGTTTGGTATTTGACGTCTCTTTTAGAGATGCTCTATCTCATATCTCAACTCTGCTTCACAAGTTGCATATATAAGTTTATGGTTAATTTGGATAGGTTTGAGTAATTTCGTTTATGTGTAATGTAAGCATTTATACACAATGCATTTATATATGTAAATGGTTAATTTGGAGTTTAGGACAAGCATTTAAAGTGGATATATTTTGTTGTGGTCATGAATTATATTTCTAACAGAAATGAACCGCATAAAATCTCGAGACAACCATAGTTTTAATGCTTTGAAATTTCTTCTACATGACGGAAGAAATGACCAGATTCCACATCTAGAGGGGCCATAGCTGGCTCTCACCATAAGAGCCAGCTTTGTAGAAAGAAATTTCCAACATATTGCCCTGCAAGGTGGCTAATTGCAGAATACCTGAAACCAAGACTCATCTGTTCCCAATTCAATTATTCTCATTCATTCATCCACCCCATTTAATGCACAACTTGCGAGTCGTGGTTTTAGGTGCTTCCAAGAAGTAAGTGTCTTCCCGTAAGTTGCACCGATATTATCTCGAATTTAACCGGTTACAAAGTTTGACGAGTCTTTACATTAGGAAAAATATTTCTGCTTCAAGGGGTGATAAATATGGATGAACGAACTTCAATGTCTAGCAATAAACTCCAGTAAATGAGCTGATTTAGATGTCTCTTAATCTCAAGTCTTTCCAATGAATCTGATTAAAGTTGATTACATGATAGGAGGTGCGCATGTCTCTCTCCCATAATAGGTAGGACTTGAATTTTCTCACTATTAATTGCAATTTGCCAAGCACGACAAATACCTATCCGCGTCCGAGAGAACCGTGGTTCAGTGGAAGACTACCGGAATGGAAATACAATTTTTTATCCTCACCATTCTAATTCTAATTCTAATTTCTTCTAACTATTTCAATGTGTTGACCTGCAGTCAAGGTTTTTGTGTGCACAAAATCACAAGTTAGACCTGCTTGTGTGCTTCTGGTCACGACCCACGTGGTCGTGTTGGGTTTCTTGTAGGAACGTTTTTTCCCATCCGATGAGAAGTCAAGAAAGGGAACTTGGAAGATAACTTACGAAGGGAAACTGGTCACAAAATGAAATGATTTATTTATTTATTTTTATTTTAAACGATAATCTAAACTATAAGAGAGAAGAGTTCTCTCACACATTACCAATATGCCATGAGGGTTCGAAGTCTACAAGTCAATGCTCTCTTTCACTGGACTAGACTCCGTTGGCGTTACACATTTGAAGCCTAAACCAAACAAATTTAAATTAAGATGTTTATATAAGGGGCTATGTTGAGGGGTTACAATGTGAGGATTCAATAGCTATTAAGAACCTCTTCATTGTAACCTCTCACTGTAGCCTCTCTGTAACATTGGACCGTGCAGTTTAGATCTAAACCGAATCAAATTGGACCGTGCCCACCAGCTTAAAGCCTTAAAAAGTTATTCATGGCCCAAACACTATGCTCTGTTGCTGTTTGAGTTTCATTGGGCTGTTTGAATGACATATAAGTTGAACAAAATCTAGCCCAGACCACCTTCTGAAAATTGAAAAAGAAATCAAATCCATGATATAATTATCAGCCCCTATTTCGTTTTTATTTTGGACTTCTTTAAAACTTAAAATTATAAATAAATAAAAATCTAAAATTAAAAAATCCAAATTTGTTTTTGAGTTGTATTATTTTGGCCCATAAAATTTTGGGCTTTAGTTGGACTTTTGAGGGCCCATACAGAAAGTAGAAGAAGTAGGGTTTTTAACCTTCACTTGTTTGAGCATTGGAAGAGAACCTGTTTTTGGAGACAGAGCAGCCAGCAGTCAGCAGCGGCCTCTCTCCCACATCCCAAATGGTTACCTTCAGGGTGAGTCTCCATGATGTTCTCTTGATCTAGCTACAACAACCCATTATCGGTTGTTAGTTTTTGTTTCCATGGGAAACTTTTGTATGCTTTCATTTCGTTTCACTATGCATGTTTTGTGATTTTACTTTGTTTTCAATTAGTGTTTAGCTTCATGTTTTCTGCGAACATGGATTTAGGGAGCATAGAATGATGGGTTTTGCTTTGTGTAAATAGTTTCATCAGTACCAGGTGGTGGGAAGAGCCCTCCCATCTGAAAAAGATGAGCATCCCAAGATCTACCGTATGAAGCTCTGGGCCACCAATGAGGTCCGTGCCAAATCCAAGTTCTGGTGAGCACTTTTCCATGTACTATTTGCTATATTTCTTTTATTTGGTTCCTGAAAAATGGCGAAAATAATGAATTTTTAATCTTAGATTCTTGGTTATTTATGAGTTAGGACCTCAGATAATATAAGCCCACACTTGACTGTGCGTACCAATGTAACAAGTTCATATGGTTAGAATCTTCTTTGATTTCCGGATGGTGCCGATAAAAGTTAAACTAGTATAGAGTTTAGGTTCCATGAAAGAAAGAAATTAACTTTTGTATGATTTTTATGGACCTTTCATGGTTTTCATTGGTCACGAATTCTTCAATTTCTGTTGTTATGTTTTCTGGTTCTTCGTTCAGATGTTTTTGTCCATTCATTTGTTATGTTTTCGGGTTCTCGTTCAGATGTTTTCCTCCATTCATTTGAACTTCTTTTTATTATTATTTTAAATTAGGTACTTTTTGAGGAAGTTGAAGAAAGTGAAGAAAAGCAATGGACAAGTTTTGGCCATTAATGAGGTAGGCATCTTACTCGTCTTTTAACGTCTCTCTTCCACTATGAGCCAACATGAGCTGCTAATGTGTTCTTTTACCAATTGTGGATTGGCTTCTTAAGCTGTCCCTGATTCAAATTAAAACAAGGTCTAGTTTGATTGTTCATGCTTAATCAAGAGCTAAATTGAAAGTTTACCCACTTTGTAATAACGTTTACTTATATTCTTATGATAAATGCTTGAGGTTTTCTGTTCCTGAAAGATTGGCACTTATAGGCGGAAGCAGCTTCTGGGGTAGATTTTACATTTTAGATTTAAGGTTCTCTTTCATGTATGATTTTAGATTTTTATGTATAGATTAGATTATATGAATTTTCTATTGTAGTGTATACAGTATCAGGTGAACACATTGTCACTGGCAAAAACTTTTTTCTTTTTCTCTTTCCAGTCTTACTGGCAAGAGTTGTTTGCTAGGGTTTATTTCTGACTATAAAATTCACAGTATTTGGGTTGAGAAGAAGAATATGATATTTTCTTATTGCAGATATTTGAGAAAAGTCCAACAACGATCAAGAACTACGGAATTTGGCTGCGATATCAGAGCCGAACCGGTTATCACAACATGTACAAGGAATACCGGGACACTACTCTCAATGGTGCTGTTGAAGACATGTACACTGAGATGGCATCTCGTCACAGGGTTAGGTCTCCATGCATCCAAATCATTAAGACAGCCACTATCCCTGCAAAACTTTGCAAGAGGGAGAGCACCAAGCAGTTCCATAACTCCAAGATCAAATTCCCATTGGTGTTCAAGAAGGTTAGGCCCCCAACCAGGAAGCTCAAGACGACATACAAGGCAACCAGGCCCAACATCTTTGTGTAATTTTGTTGCCTCACGGTTTCCTTTCATCTGAAAGCTTTGCACTTTAATTAGCTAAACTAGTTGAACCTAGGAATGGTGATGAAAGTTTTACTGAATTTTGGTTTCTTTCGAGTATGAACATCCTTTTTCTGTTATCCAGAGTGTTTCAGTTTTGAAGATTGTGGCTTTACAAGTCTATAATGAGCTTGGTACTTTGTTTTATGCTTTTCCTAAACCTTTTGATTATGAAGATTGTGTCCTCCATTCCATCTGTGGGAGTCAAATTTTAACAGCGAACGCAGGGCTTTCAGGCAATGGTGGAGGAATTAAATTAATGAAGTGACTTTCTACAGGTTATAAAAATCCATATTTTGTATCTGGTGAGAGAAGTGGCAACTTTTTTTGTGTCCTACGTCAAAATGATAAACAAGACTCTGAACAAAAGGGAAAAACATGTACTATATCCAAAGCTTCTTTAAGGGTTTTCTTTTAAGAATCAATGTGGAAGCTTTCGTCCAAAGAAAAAAAAATCAATGTGGAAGCTCCCTTGGCTTCGATTACACTACTCAATAATGAAGCTTTGCATATAGTACATGTTTTTAATAAAGAAGCTTTCCAATTTTACCCTTCACAACAAAATTAAAAAAATTGTTAGAAAAACAGAGAAAATGAAAACAACCCCTACCATCGCATTGACACCATCATCCGACGGTCCTCCCTCTCTGTCTTTCCATTACTTGATGTTCATTCAAATGTCTCAGTAAATTAGTAATTTCAATTTGATAATGATTAAAGCCTCTTTGTTTGAATATGAACCCAATTTGCAATGATTAGAGATCTTGCAGGTGCTTCCATGAGTTTAGGAGAAGAAAATCCAAATATACGTGTAGCATGGACCCATTTGCATGTGTAGCATGGATACTTGAATCTTTCTTTACCTATATTTTTGAAAAAAAATCTAAATATACAAGTTTGGCACGATATTAATTTTTAGGTAAAGAAATTTGTGAAAAAAATAAAAAAATGAATAGTATTTGCCCTTTGCCATGGCAACAAGTGGAAACACACATTGCTTTTTGCAAGGGCAGCCATTATTCATGTAAATAGTAGCTGCCCTAACCCCCACCTTACGATGACAAATGACAAACCAGTGAAAATGCTCTAAGTGGCAACTTATCTTTGTCCTATGTTAAAATGATAAACAGAGGCTTTTGTTCCTTGTGGGTTTTATGAATGCGGAAGCTTCCATAACTTCTGTTACTCTCAATAACCTAAGAAACTACATTTAAAAGAGAAAAGTAGTATGAAACCAAAAATGAAAAATCTGGCGATCACACCGTAGCTAACCTCAGTGGATCAAAACCACGGTGTAGTGGAGGTGGTTGGTAGTTAAACAAACACAGCCAGACTTAGATAGCTGGCCATAAAAATAATAAAGACTTGGACATGGATGCTCTCTCTCTCTCTCTCTCTCTCTCTCTCTCTCACAAACGAGCTACTTAAGTAGCTATCAGACGGTCAACAGCGAACGTTAAATACTGCACCATCATCACCCTCTTCACCAACCCACTTTGCTGGCTGCTTTTTTTGTACAAGAGCTCCACGGTTCATGTAAGTTCTCGTTGCTTCTTTGATCGATTTGCTTTGAGTTAGCTCAAAAAACTTAAACTGCAATGCTTCTACTTCTACTTTGAAAGATTGGAATGAAATGGGCAAGTTTCTTGGCGGTTGGCCCCCAGTTCTGGAACTAATTATCTGGGATTAGTTCACTGCTCAAAAAATTCATTTTTTCCTCAAAAATTCATTTTTTCCTCATTGTCCCTTGTTGTTAATTTGTTTGTGCAGCTTGTTGGTTTCTAATCCACTAGTTAATTGATCATTTAAATGGCACAAGAAGTTGTAAATTCAGATGAGGTAATCTCCTTGTGCATTTATAATTGCACCAACCTTTCTTTTGATGTATCTATTTTTAGTTTTCTTCTTGCAAATAGTGAACATGATAACTGTCTGCTAATTAGTAATTACCATATGGGTGTTTATGTAATCTTTTAGGTTGTTCTTGGAGAAGAAATAGACCATGTGAGGTTGATCACCTTGAACAGGCCTCGTCATTTGAATGTCATCTCATCAAAAGTGGTATGCTCACAAAGTCAACTAGTTTTGTTTAAGTTCTTGGTGTTTTTCTTTTTTTTCTTTTTTGTTTTTTTGTTTTGGTTCTTAATTCACTTTTTTTTCACTGCAATCGCTAGCAGAATACTTGGAAAAGTGGGAAAAAGATGATAAAGCTGAGCTTGTAATTATCAAGGTTACTTCCAATTTTTCCTGAAATCTTGAACCAGCATTGGTGGTCGTGGTTTAATAGATCAATGCACAACTGTGATGAAGTTTTCAATTCCATATAGAGCCATTTAGATATTAGCCACTTGATATGCTTTGGTGTTCTTGTATAGGGATCGGGTCGAGCTTTTTCAGCTGGTGGGGACTTGAAGATGTTCTATGATGGCAGGAACTCAAGTAAATGCTTTCTCTTGTGAAAATATTTAAGTTCCTAATATATACAGAAAGTGAAGTTGCTCCTGAACCTTCTTTGGCAGAGGATTCCTGCCTTGAAGTGGCTTACCGAATGTATTGGCTTGGCTATCACATTCATACTTATAAGAAAACCCAGGTAATGCTTGAAATAAAGTAATCCTATCGCCTGTGTTTTCCATTCGAAAATGGGTTCCCTGTAGACTGTATGATTCCAAGTTTATGCCACTATTTAAGGGTATCACTGAAGAATTCATGTTATCAATAGGTGGCTCTGGTCCATGGAATTTCAATGGGTGGAGGCGCATCCTTAATGGTCCCAATGAAGTTCTCGGTAGTCACAGAAAAAACTGTGAGTATGAATATGATCCTAGTGGGATGTTTATAGAAACGTGTCTATCTTTAGTGTTTACTGGCTTGATATCTATCTCTGCATAATGACATCAAAATTTTCTGTGGTGTATTTCATGATAGGTATTTGCAACTCCGGAAGCTAGTATTGGCTTTCATACTGATTGTGGTTTCTCATATATACTATCCCATCTTCCTGGGCATCTCGGTAAGCATGCAAATATAGAGGAAAATAATTTTTCCTGGATTTTACTGAAATTGATTGGTATCGTGTGGGGAACGCAGGGGAGTTCTTTGCCTTAACAGGGGCAAGACTGAATGGTAAGGAATTGGTTGCAGCTGGATTGGCAACCCATTTTGTCCCTCTTGAGGTGATTTTCTCATTCCTTCACTATAATTTTCTTCCTCTGAAACCAAGTCTCAGAAGTATTAGCTCACAAGATTTGCCCCTCAAGTGATCTGAAAAGCTAAGAGACTGCATTATACACATCCATCATTATTAGATTCTTCGATATAATTCTTCTTCATAGTTACTATGTCAAACTAAAATTTGCTATTGTACTGTTTTTGTTCATCAGAAATTATCTGATCTAGAGAAGCGTTTGATAAGCTTAAACTCTGGAGATGAGAATGCAGTCAAAGCTGCGATTGAAGAATTTGCGGTGGAAGTCCAGCCTGATGAAGAAAGTGTTTTAAACAAGTAATAAATCTTAGTTGCTGGTGTTTAATTGTTAATTCCACTTCAATCCTTAACATTAACATGCAACGCTCCATATCTCGATCTTAATAACCTTTCCTTACCTTTCAGGCAGTCAATAATTGATGAGTGCTTCTCCAAAGATACAGTGGCTGAGATTATAAAATCATTTGTAAGTTACCTTTTGCTCATTTCTGATGTAACAGAATAATGAACAATTTCTTCGTAAAAATGGAGATTCAGGTATTTGATCAGGCATAAATTCTACAAATGTGTGTTTGTTTTTCAGGAAGTAGAGGCAACCAAAGAAGGAAATGGATGGATAAGTCCAGTTCTTAAGGGCTTAAAAAGATCATCCCCTACAGGATTGAGAATAACACTAAGATCGGTATGGTTTCTCGCAGTTTGATCAGTTGCACATTAGGTTTTAAGTCCTAGTGAGTACCTTTTCAAAAGGCATAGCCATAGCATTGCTTGTTAGTAAAGATGCCATCATCTGTTTTGGTCTGTGTCTCTCTGATTTGAACATCTATGGAAATGCAAACCGTAGATAATTCCTTCTGCCCTTTTCATGCTTAAGCTGCCTCTGACCTTTTATTCTCCAGATTCGCGAAGGCAGGAAGCAAACATTGCCTGAAAGTCTGAAGAAGGAATTTAGACTCACAATCAATATACTAAGAGCTATAATATCTGAGGATGTATATGAGGTAATTGTTGTATACCAATATTACTAACGAGAGCATATAAGAATAAACAATCCCATGTTGGAAACCCCCTCTTGCTCCCTGCTTTTGAATTGTACTAATCTTCTATTTTGATATAGGGTATTAGAGCTCTCACTATTGACAAGGATAATGCCCCTAAGGTACTAATCTCCTCTTTCTATTAAAATGTTTCTAATTCTATGTCTTACGATTTACGATCAAATTAGTTTCAGTACATATCTCTAAAGATTACAGTCATCTCTCAAGACAAGCAAATCTAAGGAACTCCCGTTGTATTTGGTTGTAGTGGAACCCACCATCTCTTGACAATGTGGGTGATGAGAAGATAGACCAAGTGTTTCAGCCGTTTGAAGAAGATTTGGAGCTCCAGATTCCTGAAAAGGAAGAACACAGGTAAGTGTGGCTTCATAGTTTATAATCTGGGCAATGTTATGGCCCAGGATAGAATCATGAACATGCTTTTTGTTTAATCAAAATTGCAGGTGGGATGGCAAATATGACAATTCACCTTATGCATCTTTCAAGGTGACTGACTAAACAAGATGCATTTCTGGTCAGCTGTGGGTTTGTTCCTTGAAGTAAAGTATTGTTCTCCTATGTTGTATCTCTCCAAGCCGATTTTCGTTAGTTATTCGCTTCGATGAATAAGCTTGTAACTTAAATCAGAGTTTCGGTTCTCATTGTATGCAATTATTTGCTTAAGTACTGCCTTTTTTTTTAAGATCATGTTCATGTGTCATTGTGAAAACATAGTGGTGTAATAAACTAGTGGGTTATTGTTTTCTAGTTTTGTACCAAATTTAGCTTAATTGTTCCATCTAAATCCTTTCTTTCACTTTCTTCCATCTTAGTGGAGCCTAAACGTGCAAAAGCTTAACTATTTGCTAATTGAAATTACTCACAATGGTTAGCTAACTGGTTGAATTTCATTCAATTTGGTCACAAATTATGTGTGTCCTGAGAGACCACAAATAGTGGGGGAAATATCGGCAGAAACGACCAAAAAGACCCACATACAACCACAAAAAAAAATTTCAGATGAGCAGTGGCATGGTGCTTTTGCCCAAACAAGTACAAAATCACAAGCTTTATTCTTATTTTTCAGAATAATTTACGCAGCAACCACCAAGATACCTTCGTTTTGCATAATGATTTACACAGCAGCAAACTAAACTATGCTCATACATACATGAACTTCAACAATGCTCACAATACATCAAATATGAAAAAAAAAACTCATCTGCCTTTACATTCATCCTGCCATGTACAATGTAAAGAAAAATGAACACGATACGCACAGTTGAAAAAAAAGATTTAAAGAAAAAAAGGATAGGATGGAGGCAGGAAAACTATGAAACGCCTTGAAAAGATAACCGGTCCCTAAGAGTATCAAAAATTGATGAAGCCGCAGCATTTTGTGAAAAAGTCAATTTTAGTCGACCAAGCAATTCACCATCCTTTGCCTGGGAGGCAGCATCAGCAGCTTCCTTGGCCATGCCAATCCGAGCGTAGGACTGTGCAAATATTAAAGATGGGCTTAATCAAAGAGATGTAGCACAGTATGAAGATTTAGCGAACGCTAAATTGCAGGGCTAAGGTTTACATTACCTCTGCTCTTTCTCGAGGATCTGTGAGTTTTGGGATATATTTCAACGCTTCTCCTTTTTCATCTGCTTCGACACATGCCTCCACAAATGGTCTGTAACCTATCATACGAAAGATAAAAGGGTAACTTAGCATGGCTGGCAGCCTTCTATGGAATGTCCCCAAAAAGGGAGGAAAATAAGGCAAAAGTAGATTTCGAATGTTGCTTATTATTCCTCCTCCCTTCTCTCAGCAACAAAAATGTGATTGCTTTAATTAAATGAACGCCTTACCAATTGGTGGTCTCTTTTCCTTTGAGAACTTCTCCAAGACATCCCAATCTCTGATTGTAGCCAAAGCAAAAACTTTTAGCCAATACCATCTCTTCTCAGAAACCTGAGACGATTTCACAATGAAGCAGTCAAGGTCTATACTGCAGTCAATGCGAAAAAAATAAGAGCTTGTAAACAATCAAAGAACATGCCAACTGTTTTATTTTGCATCAAACGTGAAAATAAACTCAAAGTTTTTACTTCGTTAAAATCAGAAAAGGAATGAGGGACGAGGAAAAAGACTTGGAAGGCGGCACAAGCTTCAGTCTCACAAACCTTGAATTCTGTTTTCACTTTCATTGCAGCTCGATGATTTCCCAGAACAATACATGTTCGAATTGTATCACTGATACTGGAATCAACAAAAATGGCCTGCTTTGTTGACACTTCTAAGTCATGCTGCATTCTGTCGAAATACAATGTAATCAGAAAAAACAGTACATTTTAAAAAACAAAATAAAACAAAAATCAAGTTATGAGATTCTACATCTTATACACACAAATCAATGACTAAAGAAAAAAGAAAACATCTAGTCTTGCATATACAATAGTGTCAAACACTAATCTACCATTAATAGGTGGTTGTAACTTGGAGTTAATTATTACAATATACTTGTGTAAACTACAATAACATGCTATCCCTTGCAACCTAGTTAATGCAATGAATGGCACGCACTAGAAATTCAATAGTTCACCCAACTAATAGCGCAGATAAACTCAAATCTAACCTCAACAACTTTGCATGCTCTTCAGCAGCCTTCGCCTCAAAGGTATATTCCTTCGTTTCTAAGAAAAGATTTTGGGCCTTCTCAATTATTTTTATGCGTGGACCATGAAGGGGAGATCCTCTGCTTGCCATTGGATTTTTTCCAAGCTCCCAAGATTCTTTCCACAAAAGGAAAGCCACCTCCTACAAAATACAAATTTTATATTTATAGTGAATGCTCCATAAGAGATGTTAATATTCATGAAGTGTTACATCAGACGTTGGACAATTGGTTACAACACATTTTGTTCAAAGGGTAGCAACTCGAACATGGGATTACAGCTTGATAGTAAAAGAATTTGAATACCAAATTACTTGTCCCTCCAAATTTCTGGAAGATTTAAAAGAACAGGCATTTCTATTAGCTTAACAATAGTGCGAAACAAAAGTCATGACATAAGAGAGGAAGCACAAGGGAATGGTTGCTCCAAGGACCAAAAGACTTGACTTGACCTTACACTCCTCTCCATACTTTAAAATTTTATCATGGGATGACTGGCGCAAATCTGATACTTAAAGCTTTACTTATGAAGACTAAAATTTTCTACGTCTAGATAATGGAATGTATGCGACCAACTTATGGTTTCTTTCTTTATAAAGCACACTATGTAAGTTTCAAAGTAAGTATGTATCTAATGTGCATTATGTATGTCTTTTGTCTTCCTCTAGAAAAATGCATGTCTATTGTCTATGACTCTATATCATATGTATACATGTACAACCAAAAGCCAACTGAAACCTACTTGAAGTTGTCCAGTTGATAGGAAAAAGTCCTTCAAGAATTCATGCTTATAGCACCTGAAACAGACACCAAACAGCTTGTTATGCATGCAATATATAGATCACTTTCCTGTGGCTTACTTTCCTCAGGATGCCCACCTCATGAAATGGAAAGATGAAAATATTTCAGACTAGTGTGTCTATGCCTACCGTGCATAAATTATAAACAAATCACGTGCCAGTGCTCTAGCTTGTATCATTCCAAAGAACTCCAATGGTTGTCTCTGCATCAAATGGAGATTTTTGATTGTTAAAGATGAATATTATAGCTATGTGGAAACTTGTAACAGACACACTGGAATACATGTTGAGTTTTCTAGATGTATTACCTTTTGCCAGATATGAAAGAGAACAAGATAAACAAGGTCTGTATCACCACTTTCAATTGCCTTCATTAAAGCTGTATCTTCTTCTCCTATGCTCAACAAGAGAGGAACCTGAAGTAAAAGAATCAGTATGAAATATAATGGACTTATTTTGCTTTTTCATAATGTGACGTCATTTTTTATTTTATTTTATTTTGTGTGTGGCTAAAAGATAAGGAAAAAAAGCTAATAATATCTTTGTATTCTTCTTTATTTTACAATTTTATAAAAAAGAACCTGTTTGGAGGAGCGTGGTTCATGTTCAACAAGCATAGCAGCTAACTTCCGGCGGCCATTCTTATCTGCATGTGCAGCAACTGCTGCATAGGATATTCCTTTGCATAGTTTCAACTGAAAATATATCTAAATAAGAAAAATCCTAAAAGATGGGTTGGTTGCACGAAATAGAATGAGAAAACACAACACAGTAACAAATGAAGATAACCAATCAACCTTATCAAGTAAGATCTCAAGAAGAGTGGCATCAGAAATTACTAAGGAAGCTGAAATCTTCGAACATGCCCAGTGCATAATCACCATCTCCTACACAAAGCCAATAAGAGAAGAGATAAGTTCAGATATCATATAAGTCGATTAATTCTACATTCAAAATGGAAAGCAGAAAGTATATAGATCTTCTTAAGTAAGCTAGTATTTAGTCTAAGAACTAGCATGCATAGTACAAATAGTATCACTTTAAAAAAAAATTCATTTTTCCCGCCTCAACGGCATCCTCCTATCAAATTCAGTTAAGGTAGTCTGATTTGTGGATCAAAGGCACAGTAGCAAGAACCCAGTGAAAAAGGAGCAAAACAATCACCAATGATGTAAACACTAGCAATAAATAGACTTACTTGGTTCATTCCAAGGTACTCTGATACCCGTAGTGCAAGAAAGTGCTTGTAGGAATTGATCAAACGACCAATCAGAACAGATGGCGTAAGCAACTGAAAGCAATAACCTTATTCAGTATTATGTAACGAAAATAGCAGCATATTTAGCAAGTTGGAAAATGAGAAAAGTCAGCTTCAAAAACCTTGTATTGTTGAATACTAAGAGGCATTCCAACGTCAGGATGCCGCACAGCATTTAAAACTCGCAAAGTTTTACACATCTCTTGAATATGATCCCGTTGAAAATTGCTGCCAAAGCCAACTGGATATCATTACCGAGAGCAGAAATCAGAAAGAATGTTCTTTCAAGACCATGGAAACTAAGAACAATGTAGTTAGTATGCACTGAACGAGAATTTGGACAATTAATAGGAATTAAAGATACTGCAACAAAAATATATATCAAAGTCCAGTCGATGAAATGTTCGAAATGGTTAACAACTCTTATCCTCTGGGGACATCAAATGAGATTGAAGTATGGGGAAAAGAAGATTATAGAAATCTTCTTGTGCCAAATGGGCTTCATATTTAACAAACACAAACTCAACAAAGCCAAAAATCCAAACTACTTGTAATACTCTGGAATACAAAAGGGAAAATGTAGGAATAACTTATATATGTTTCTCCACTCATATTCACATAAAAGTTGGATCTCCCCAATTGTATGCATTTTCATATGCACCAGGATACAAAACGGTAGCAAAAGTCCCTTTCAGTTATTGTAACTAGGTTTCAGGTTTTAGTACAACCAGATAACAAGGAAGCACAATATCCACAACAAAGCAATTATCAGAAAGAGCTCAACGTTATTCAGGCATGGAATGCTAACTAAAATATCAGCACCGTCGCCTGACTCAAACTTGGAAACCCTACTTTCCCCAAACCACTCATGGCGGGGGCAGATAAAGGAAGGGTAAAGAGGTTAAAGAATTGATAATGAAAAATGCTAACAACTTAACACTGGTGAGTTCAAATTCTACAGCAATATCAAGCCAGACAAACCTGCAAAAGGCTTGGCCATAGCTTGCAGCTCTTAGGAGCGTCCGTTGACGTAGAACATCAAATTCATGGCCAGCAGCATCAATACATGCTTCAACAGCCTCCGGCAAGGATGGGCGTATTAGTCGCAAATTCTCATCTGCCTGGTGAAACATGAAATTAACTTTGTCGTTTCACTCATGAGTTTTGCAGGCATAAAAAGCTGGGGTGTTTCAATAATTTCTTCTTGACTTTCTTTTGTTATGTTGCAGGGATTACTACAGATGCCCATAGGTAATTCAAGTTTGCACTTCGTTTCGATAAGCTAGTGGAGGTTATCTATTTCTGTTTGATTAAGAAACAAAAAAAGAGTAACCTACCTTGGCACTTTGTCTGTCAAAATGATCCAAAGCATCATACAACAATGCCGCAGGTGACGTACTTCCAATCTTGAAGATGGATTCAGTGGAATCAGGCACCCGTTGTAGAAACTCCATGCTTGAGTTAGATAATATCCTTACTCCGTCGCACTCAGGAATAAGAATTATCGGTTCATCATAAAAGTAGCGAACAGGATCTCCTCTAGGACCCATCATCAAAAGAATATCATCCCAATAGAGCAACACTGTGTCCATTCCACACCACGCTAACTGTTCCGGAGGAAGAGCTGACTGTGACACACACAATACAAATATGCACATTACAATATGAAGTAGTGCCATAACGGACATAAAAATAAATAAGCAATCTTTATTGAGAAACATACATAAACTATAAGGGTGCTTCAAAATGCGAGTTGTTCATTCTTAATGACACACATCAAATTCATGCCGTGAAATTCAAATTGAATAATAGACATACAACCAATTAAAATCACACATAGAAGCTAATTGAAAACTGAATAGTCTGACCTCACATTCCTGCTCAATTAGGATTTCGTTCAAATTCGAAGTCATGACCAACAATCGACCATCGTGCGTGAACGAAGCAAGCCACTGTCCATCTCTCGAAACCGCCATCTTCTGAATTGGTCCACGCAACACCTCAAGCCCTAGCTGCTGAACGCCATCTTCTTCCACAGCCAAGACGCAAGCGTCTCCAATCCCAAGCAGAACCTCCACATTCCCGGACATCGTGTACTGAGGCTCGATCACCGCCATACAAAGCGGCGGATCCTCGATCTCCGGGTCGGCCAATTTAACCGGGTTCGGGTTCTTGAAATCGGAAATGCAAAACAGCTGATTCGTTTCGGTGATGCAAACGAGGCCGTTTCCCCAGAAGACGCAGTCCACGACGTTTCGCTCGAAGCACTCTTGGCCCATGGAGATGCTCGGCTCGAGGAGCTCGGCGTGGATGGTGTAGCGGAAAACGGTGCCGTCCTGGACGAGGCAGACTAAGGTTTGGTCGTCGGTCCAGGCCATGCCGATTAATCGGCCGCCCGGGTGTTTCCAGATGGTCTCGCCGAGGAGATGGCCCGAGGAACTGAAGATTCGGAGCTTGCGTTGCGCCGATTCGCCGCCGAGTTGGACGATCTTTGAATCGTCTCGGATGACGGCGATGGGGCCGCCGAAGGGAGCGCAGGCGACCTTGTTGCGGTTGAGCTCCACGTGCTTCCAGCTCATTCGGTAGATTTCGGGCTTCCGGTAGTACCGGTTGTAGAGGAGCTGCCACTCCGCGGCAACCGAGACGTTGGCCATTTCTGATTAATCAAAAGTTACAATCTTTGCTCACTTATGAGCATATAATCACTAGATTCTCGTCTGAGATGAGTTCCCGAGCTCAATCTGTGAAATTGACAAGCGGGACTGGAAATTGAGCGAAATATGATAAATTAAAAAAATTCGACCAAAAAAAACACTGAAAAGCCCAATGAATTTGGAGGGAACAAGTTAGTTACTCTAATGGGCCGTATCTCTACAGCCCAAAAAACACGAACTCATGATTCAAAAACCGAAAATTGGTGATAACAAGGGTTGGTTCAGTTGGTAAGGTCTCTGCATTGAGTGTTCGAGTTTCGCCTTTCGGCTCGAGGTTGTGGGTCTACCCTGGCGCTAATGGTGAGAGTAGCCAATCTCCTCCTAAACTTTTATTCACCAAAAAAATAAAATAAAAACTGAAAATTGGTGGTATTTCGGTATGATCATAACACTATCTTTTATCAATTTAATATTAAAATAATATGTCATATTATATCATATAAATTAGTAATGCCATATAACAGTGCTACGATCACGTTCAAAATTTACTAAGTTGGAGGTTGTTAAGAGCTCCAATCAAGGAATCTTCCTAAGCGACTACTTTATTATTATTATTATTTTTTTGGGTAGCTTCTTAAGAGACTACTCGATTATGCTTCAAACACAATGCTTCGCTGAGAATGGACTGGTTTATCTATTTCATTAATGATCTTTGGCACATTCCTCATATAGATTCCAAGGAGGTCTCATCTTTGATGCTACTTTTTAACTAAATAAGCTATTAATTATTGCTTAAAACATTAATTAGCATTCTCTCTTTCAAGGTCATGACATGATTGTAAGATGACAAGGCTGTTAAAATCAAATGTGACATGTCAACAACATAAGGAACTTTTATGAGTGGTTCATGTGATCTTGTGATGAATCCAGAAGACATAAGACTTCTTTCAGTATGTGGGTAATAATAGAACAGCATATTTCTCATCATGGTGCTTCTTACCGATAGCCTGTTTAAGGATTTTGACATCCTAGCAATAAAAGATCCGGTTATGCAATAAATTCTAGAGTGTGACGTGTAAACTGAGCCGTGAAGAAACATACATACTCTTAAGATGCTATACATACATAAACAAAATAACTAACCAGGAAAGTCACGAAGTTAGATGTTCTACTCTAGACAACTTTACTCAAGGTCTTTCAATGGGACCTGTCATTTATAGATGGTAATCTGATAGAGTTCAACTTGTTAAGAAGTCTATCACATAACAACCTTAATCCAAAGCCTATGAATTGTAGTTGGTGCCTGTAGCGCTATTGTTAACTTTATTATCACACTAAATTCGACAACCGGTAATATCATATTTAGTCTCAATATCTTAAATCCACAAATTTCTTAAAGGACGGTCGCTAATTCACTTCTTACAACTAGCCATCGCATGAGCTAATTTTATAATATAGAACTCAACCTCTTCTAGTCTCTTCATTGATTTACTCATTGGGGGTGTACATAATAATCATATGATGAATCATCCAACTAGAAATTCTTTTATCCAAAAGTCATTCATAAACAAAGCTCTTGGCTTGATAAAGCCCAAAGTTTCTTATAATTACAGCTAGTTTTAGTTGCTATTACTAGCATATTTGACCACTAGGAGAGCCTAATATCATAAGACAAGTTTCTACTATTGTCATGCTATCATCAGCTTCATCCAGAACTGTATAGGAGTTCTAAAAAGATAAATAATAATATAATTTATATCATACTGTAGTTTCCAGCCCACGGAAACATAAAGCAGAAACTCTTTTCTGGTTTAGATTGATTCTAATTAGGTGTGTGGATCACAAGCAGAACAGATTAAGGTTCTTTCTCTTTTTGCACCGAAAATTAAAAAAAAAAAAAAAAAAAAAAAAAAAAAAAAAAAAAAAAAAAAGAAATAAGCTCTTTGTCAAACATGTAACAACAAGTATAAGTTACAAATGTTAATGATGAATTCAAAGGAATCAATCAAGTGCAGTATTTGAAAAGAAGAGGACCACATTCAGCTTTTTTATGCAATCAAGATTAGATTTCCCACAACAACAAAAAGGTTGCATGAGCTACTCTGTCTTTGGTCCACCAGCTATACTGAGATGAGATATGACCCATTGTGCCATGTATAATTTTAACAGCTTGGATTGGTCTGCAGTGGTGATATTACAGGAAAAAAAACCCCACAAAGAAGATGGTCAAAATAAAATTCTCTCTTGTTCCAAGACTCTCTCTTCCTTGAGATTTCTATTGTAAATCAAGGTTATATTAATCCTAAAACAACAGAAATTCAAACTTTTTAATGTTTTATTTGTAAGATTGTGGGTTTTTCTACAATGGGTTGGTGCAATATTTTCTGTTCAAGCATACAATACTGCACAATGGTTAGTGGGAAGCAGAAGATAATGTTTAAGTAGTAAACCCACAATGCAATTTTCTTTGAACATTGAAAACCTGACATTCTTTTTGCTCTGAAATTCCACATTCTTCTTTTCCATCAACCAAAAAGCCTGTCAAAGTGAACCCCACAAGGTTGAAATATCACTTCATGCCAATTATCCTCCACTTTCTTTTCTTACTCATGTTTTCTCACTGAGACCATCAACATCCATGCAATTCCCATCCTTAATACATTAAAGAATCCCACTTTGCCTTCTTTAAACCGAAAGAAACATAAGGGGGGAATTTATCTTACAGCTTTTAAGCTTCTTTCTTCAACTTGCTCACTTCCATCTTGACATATCAGGTTTGTTTTTTTGAAGTGGGGTAATTTGTCTGTGGCAGAGAGAGAGAGAGTGCTTAAGCTGCCAATTCTGTAGTGTGTGTGGGGAGGAGAGGGCGGCAAGGCAATCAAGTGCTGTGATGCACTAAACCTTATTGTCTGCAATTGAGGCTTCACCAGCATACAAAGCTTTTCAACATCTCATTAAGTTGGTTTGTGCTTCATTTTCATAAAGAAAGCAAGATGCAGTTTCTTCAGAAATTGGGTTTCTTCTGCATTCATGCAAGTGTTCTTCTTCTTCTTGTTTCACCACTCGTCAGCTCATCTCAAGAACACACAAAAGGTGCAAGCAGTCACAAGGACAACAATATTCATGAGGTATTTCGTTCGAAACTTTCTGTATTATATTGATGATGCTAAGTGCTAACTAGATTTTGGTGCATGATTTTACAGCAGACGAGCCACAAACTATTGTTTGAAATCACACTCCATGGGTTTCTTCTTTGGGCTTCAATGGGGTTCTTGATGCCTCTAGGAATACTTGCCATTAGAATGTCACACAGAGTGGAATGTGGAAGAAGGCTCAGAATTCTCTTCTATGTTCATGGCTTATCAGAGGCAAGTTCTTCTATGTTCTGTTATATTATCATGCTCTTCCATAATCTAGATTAACAAAGAGAGATGTATTTTTTTTCTTCATGGTTTTGAATTTCCATCACTGGAAAAAAGACTAACTACAGTGTTTATTTAAAAAAAAACATTGTTTATAAGGATCAGATGCCCCACTCTTACTTCCAAAGATGGTGAAGGGAAATTAAAGCAAAATGATTTCTGATTGGCAAATTGTTTAAGTAGCACACAGTTTCCTGATAACCAATCAAAATTTTCCTTTTCTTTTAAAGAAGATTATCATTAATGCTTAGAGGGCAAGAGATGAGTATGATCATAGATTTCTGGTCCATGGAGATTCATAGCTTTCTGATTATTTTATTTGAGACTTGGCACATGTGTGTGTGTGGAACATAATTATAGTGTTAGGTGCTGCATATACCTAATCTCAAATCACATCATACACACAACACAAACTAAATATATGTACTGGATTTTGATTCAATTAATTACCACATGAGTTTCATGTCTGATTAGTTTATTATGCTCAACAGCTGCTCTCCGTACTTCTTGCAACAGCAGGAGCAGTAATGTCCTTCAGAAACTTCAACAACTCCTTCAATAATAAACACCAAAGGGTTGGGGTAGGCCTGTATGGTCTAATATGGTTGCAAGCGCTGATAGGGTTTGTGAGGCCAGAGAGGTAAACTACCAAAAGTCTTCACCAAATCAATGTTTTTTGTTTTGTTTTTTTCAGTATGAACTTGTGGTTGTTTAAAAGAGCAAAAGTACAGAATATTTTACTGTAAATGAAGCCTAAGTTAAGATATTATATGGAATGGTTCAATACTTGTATTGTTTTCTCTTTCAATATGTTTCTTTTTATTGAACTTTTGTAGGGTAGAGGGTTTAGGGTGGAGAAGAAAAGGTGAAAATGATTTCAATTATGAGCAGACTACATCTTTTTTTAATGCTCTGCAGGGGATCCAAGGGAAGAAGCATATGGTTTTCTGTGCATTGGATACTTGGAAGTGCAGTTTCCCTGCTTGGGATCCTCAACGTATATACAGGTTTACAAGCCTACCATGAGAAGACATCAAAAGGCATAAGGCTTTGGACCATAATTTTCACTGCTGAGTTCTGTTTCATTGCCTTCTTCTACCTATTCCAAGACAAATGGGTGTATATACGAAAGCAAGGAGTGATTTTGGGTAGTGAGCCAGTAAGGCCCACAATAGATCAAGTGGTTTTGCCACCAGAAAAGCAAAAGGAATTAGTGACAGATTCTTGTTAAGAAGGCAAATCACCAAATGGCTGGTTTTAAGTTTTAACTAACATGGAATTCCTCTTTTCTTTTTTCCTTTTTTTTTCTTTTTCTCCTTTACTATATGGAAAATCACCAAAAGCTTTGGTTTTAAGCTTTTTCTTCTTAAACTTTTTCACTAGGAACAGTTGGTGTTTATAGCTGGTGAAGCATTGGATGTTGGGATGTGGATTTCTTCTAATAAAATAGTGATGGTTTTTGCTAATATATTTCTAAGTTATTTTGAAACACAAATTGTCGTTTGAAGTTTGTAAGTGTTTACAATTAAGCAGATTGTATGAGTAACAATTAAGCTGATTGTAAATGTTTACAAAGTGAGTGAAGAATGCAATTTCAAGAAGTTGGTGTCATTTCTTAAACTACAGGACAATTGTTTACCTATTCATTAAGAAACTTAAGCCTTAATTAAGAAATCTCTAAATAGCTTTCACACCCAACCCAAGTATAAAGTCTGCCTCAAGCCTGTTTGAATGTCAAAATGGGTTTCGTTTTCAAGGTCAGTTGCTGAAGTACAATCTGTAGATGCAATGACTATAGCAGATGACATTCTGAGCTCTTAAAAAGGATGCATTACTACAAGAGGTTTGTAGCTCAAGTGGTTAAGAATATTTACCCTTGCACCTGAGATCCTAGGTTCGATTTCCCCTCCCCCAATATAGCTTGTATAAAAAAGGATGCATTACGGATATTTCCAATTATATCAAGGGGTCAAGACACCTTAATATCAAGTAAAAAGCATGAGATTGGCAGACTGATGCAGAAAATACTTGATCTTCACAAAATTTGTGGAAATTAAACAAAAAGAAAAAAATGAAGTATTTGAAGCACTGAATCTCCAAATTCATATAACTTAATTTCTGTATTCTATTTTAGTAGTATAAATGTCAAGGGAAAAGCTGTACATAACCTGTTAATATAGCAATTCCTAATATTACAAGAGGTGGAACAAGTACAAATGCTCCAATGGTGGCAAAGAAAACTGAATCATTCCTCTTAGATACTTCGTTTAAGTAAGCCTGTCTTTTGATGTTTCTCTTCTGCGAGATGGTTAATTCTTTGGCAATCACCTTTTTAAATTTTTTGCCAAGTGGAACGCTGAAATCACCGTCTCTGTCCCCAACCAACTGCGCTAGCTGGTCACGAATTGTAAGTTTCCGGGAGCTACCATCACTCTCATAACCTAGCAATCAAACATGTAATTCTTAGCATTCTCTTTCTTCATTTTCTGTGAGCAACATACGATATGTCTGTTTCAAAATGTGGACAGAAATCACATACCACCATCAACTGATGAGCTTGTAGAGGTAAGTTGCTCCAGAAGATTCAGCTGTGTGCGAGCAGATGACGAAGATCCTGTAAAGAAAAATGCATATGAGAAGTGTTTAAAGTAAAGCCAATATACTCTTATATTTAAGCTGAGCTTCTTGCATCAAACCAAATCCAAAATAAAAGCTACTGCTTTTCAAACGGGAACAGAACAAAAGGTCATGGAAACCAGAACTACGAAAGGTGGTTAAGACCGTGACATAAGAAGCACTGCAAAGAGTCTTAGTGTCACTCTAAAGTCCTTGCTTTTCCTCTAATTGCTTGCTAATGTCGAATCGCATCGTTATATAGCAGGCAGTTAAAAAGCTTAGATAAGATTGTTTAGAAGGGCCTCAGAGGTAGTTAATCTTATCCCTTTAAGCAAACTAAACTGATTAAATTGGACACTCAATCAGGTCTACTGATTATAACAAAAGGGTAAAAGAACATTCATACTATACTGACCGGAGAGAGAAGCAGGAGGTTCTTCGTCTTTAACCCAACTCTCAATTCTGTCTGACTGAGCAGAAGTTCTAAAAGTAGTATTGGACCTGATGTGGGGTTTGCGTTTTGGGTTTACAAATGGAGGAGGAGGAGGAATTGAAGAAGAAGAAGAAGAAGAAGGAAATGGAGAAGGGTTCGGGTAGAGAGAAGCAGCAGTTACATTCAGGGCCATATTTTATGAAATTTGTGAGTTTAGAAGGTTCCTTTTCCATGGCCTTTCTTTGAGGCTATTATTCAGTTGGCCTTCGAATTTCTGTTGCATTATGCCGACCTCAACTTATGTGGGCTAAAAGAAATGCGGGAAAAAGCTCCTCCACATATATTGCACTTAAACATGCCTCTGTTTTTTTGCTTTTTCTTTTTCTCCTAAGGGGAAAAAAACCTGCTTTTGCATATTGAAAAATAAAATGGCTATCAAAGGGATTTATATGATGCAAATCACAAAATAGTTTGGAGAACTTAATGCTAGAAAAGAAGGAGACAAGTAGAGAAAGACTGCATCCTTGAATTAGAATGAGTAATGAAATTTAGTTTGTTGTATTAAAGGGATGTTATAGGCGTGGGATGATATATATAATAACAAACAGCGACTACCTTTGATAAAAAAACGAAAACAAAAACAAACTTGAGAGTATTTCCAAGAGTGTCTCTAAAATTTAGTCAAATTTGAGCTAAAAAAGCTATTACATCAAACTACTTAAAAATTGTTCCTCTTACAATGTTCTCTATTTTCCAAAAGTGTGTTTTTCCAACGGAGAGCCAACTAGCGAACTTATTGGAGTTGCGATTTTCCCTTCTTGTCGCCAAAATGGATAAGGAGCTAGGTAATAGCAAGTCGGCTAGATACTCTTAGTTTATGTAAAGAGACTAAACCAATTAGCGGAGGCTGGACTGTAAATTGCAATTTCGTTAGTTCGGTATAAGATTATACCTTTTTTAGTGTAAAAAAAACCCAACTAATTTTAATCGTAAATTGTGACTACCGAATCTGAATCGCTTTTTCAATTTTTTTCCCACCCCTAACTTATTGAAAAGGAGATGAAATTAAATCAATTTCTATAAATTTAATTGAATCACATAAATTTGGATTCTACTAATTATTTGAATTTCCAATTAAACCAAACTCAGGTCAATGTTTGTTGTTACATCCTGAATATTTGAAGTTTGAACTTCCAGATTAAGCAAACCAATAATATCTCCGTGGCCCCCACAAACAGTGCATGGGCCCCATAATCTAACAAAGGATCGCCGTTAAAGAATGATCCTAACTAAGGATATCCCACTGTATAACCTCTGACTTTCGTTAATCCCACGGTCCCCACCAACATAACATAATCCAACTTGCATTCTGATGCTAAATCCAACTAAATTACCAAAATAACCTCACGATTCATTGCCCTCTAAGAAATGCTTTTTAGAATCACGCCAATAATTAATTTTGTGTCCTACTTATTTCTAAATTATATAAAGTTTTTAAAATTAAAATAATGGCCATGATGTGTGTTTGTTTCGTTCTCCATTTGAGAAATGTCATCAGCAATAGTTTGAACATTTTCTTTGAAATTGAAAACAAATGTTAGCAAAAAAATAATTGGAGCAGGGGTGTTATGGTCATTTCAGACTGAACCCGTCGACATGGCCAGTAATATGACCGTTGGAGCCCTACAAAAAACCAGGCGTTTCGAAGCATTAAATTAAATTAAATTGAAAGGGGAAGGAGATGTATCCCGAGAACTTCAGCGAATCAGATACCAAGCAGAAGACTTCACAAGTTGTAAACCCAAAACCTTTCCTTTTCCATAACCCCACTCTCTCTCTCATGGAAGGAAACCAAAAACAAAGGGAGGAAGAAACTGAAGAAAGAGGCGGTCGCGGTGCTGGTGGTGTCGGTGCATTATTAATGGCCGAAGGTGGTGCAGAGGAGATAGCCAAGGAGATTGTGGCAGCAGAGAAGGCTCCTCATCCGTACGCTTTTCATGTATCTGGACCTCGAAATTTGACAGCTCCGAATTGGAGGGACCTTATAAACTCTAGTTGGTCAGTACCCATTTCATTTCTTTTATGATTTTTGTAAGGTTTCATTGTCTTCGTTCTTGGATTACAGTGAATGGCCAATATGTTACAAAGCTTTGCTCTTTAGAGAGTTTCACATTTTTGCAGGGCCTGGTGGCAGAGGACGTTTCTCTGTCTTTAAGAAAATCTGTGAAATGTGTTGAATTGTTGCTTAAAAAACATTATCAGAATGGGTTTCATTACAAATTTGAAAATTTCGAAACCCATGCTTGGAATTTTTTTTTTGTGGATATAAAGGATTTATTTTGAGTTTTATTGGTTGGTTGGTGTAGAATATAGAAGGAAACTACCTTTGAAACGGAGAAGATGGCAGAGTTTTTGTTACTCTATGTTTTGAGCTTTTATTAAAGAGTTAATAAATTAGGGAAATGCATCTTGGATCTCAGATCATTTCAATCAGGATCAGCCGAGAAACTTGTCTCAAATTTTGCTGCATTTTGGTGGGACTTTCCTTAAATTATGGGCTCCTAGATTTAGGAATTTTGGGGGCTTTATCTCATTCCATTATACTAGTCCTTGATATGGAAGGTAATACTATGATGATATGGATTACTTATGTAAAGTTAGTTCCATTTTAGTCAGCTCAAATTCCAATTATAGTTAAGTCTCTAATTTGTACCTTATTGGTTGGGGCCTGCTTCTTTTTTGATTTTTGTTTTTTTTTTTTTTTTTTTTTTTTTTTTTTTTTTGTCGTTTTGTTTGGTTTGTTTGGTTGGTTTTACCATGCTATCTGGAATTAATCTGAGCATAAATTACAGACACAAATGTAAAAAGAATGCTGTTGACATTGTTAATTTAGTGATCTGGATTTAGAATCATTGAACCAAATGCTAGCTTTGTTTCAAAATTAGGCAGAATTGGTTCTGGGGTATACTTACGCTTGTCTCCCTCATATGACATGGCACAACTCTCATGTAGTATAGGGGATGAAAAACCCTATGCCACTAATTTTGGTAAATGACTAGCTTTTCTTTTCATACAGGAAGGATGGGAATTATAAACGAACTGTAATCGCATGCTTCATACAAGCAATATATTTGCTTGAACTCGACAGACAAGAGGATAGAGATGAAGCAAATGCTCTAGCTCCTAAGTGGTGGATACCCTTTAAGTATAAACTATCCCAAACCTTAATCGATGAAAGAGATGGATCCATATTTGGGGCAATTTTGGAATGGGATCGATCTGCAGCACTTGCTGACTTTGTACTCATCAGACCAAGCGGTGCACCAAAGGCGGTTCTAGCACTTAGAGGAACATTGCTCAAAGGCCCAACTATGCGAAGGGATATTGAAGACGACCTTCGTTTTCTTGCTTGGGAGAGCTTGAAGGGCTCTGTTAGGTTTAAAGCAGCTATGGAGGCTTTGAAATCAGTTGCTGAAAGGTATGGAAGTAGTAATGTTTGTATTGCGGGACACTCATTGGGGGCTGGATTTGCTCTCCAAGTGGGAAAAGCATTAGCCAAAGAAGGGATGTATGTGGAAACTCATTTGTTCAATCCGCCTTCTGTTTCGCTAGCAATGAGCTTCAGAAATATCGGAGAGAAAGCAGGATTTGCTTGGAAGAGATTTAAGTCAATGCTCCCTTTGAGAAGTGGAGCTCAGGTCAGCAGTGAAGAAGGGGATAGGACTTCTGGTTTTGGATTGAAGAATTGGATGCCAAATTTTTCGGGTTTGAAGAATCCTGGTATGGGTTTGGGAAAATGGGTTCCTCATCTGTATGTAAATAACAGTGACTACATCTGCTGTTCTTATACTGAGCATGATGGAGCAGAAGTAAACAATGCTAACAAGGAGAATGTGCGCCCAACAAATGGTCAAGTAGCAGCAAAGCTGTTTGTGATGTCAAAGGGGAACCAGAAGTTTTCGGAGGCTCACGGTTTAGAGCAATGGTGGTCTGATGATTTGGAACTTCAACTGGCTATGCATAACAGTAAGCTCATTAGCAGGCAGCTGAAATCCTTGTATAGCCTTCCAGCTCCACAACAAACACTTGCTAGATAACAAAGGCCCTCTTGTTTTCTTTCTTTCTTAAATAACTCGTTTTCGACTTGGGCCTTCCATACTGTCATGTTTTTATGCTTTGTCCATCAGTTCATAATGGCTATTGCCTTTGCTCATCGTTGTTTGTCACCTGTGTTTATTGTCATTTTCATTTGTTCAGGTTCTCTAAATTTTCCTAAGATATCTGAAAAAGCTTTACAATTTTTCCTCCTACAGTACCACAATGTGAAATAAGCATGAATAGGTGTAGAATTAATCATGTTGTGCTCTGCTTGGCAGGATATGATAAAGTCCTGCTCATGCTGTGTTCATCTTAATAGTGTTCGGGCACATTGCATCATATTGAGCCAGTATCGTCTTGTATTAGACTCAGCAATTTTACACCTCTAAAGATGAATGAGTTTAAGATAAGAAATATTTCCATCCAAGCAACATACATCAACTTTAATTGAATACGGCGTACCACATAATTTTGCGTATGGAATTCTGTCTACTCATTTACAAACTTCAACTGTAGAAAAGGACCTATTTCAAATGGATAAACATTGTTTTATATTTAAATTTTCTAAAAGTATGAGATAATCAGCTATTTCAAATGGATAAATTTTCTGTCTACTCAGTTTGATATAATTTGATTCAGATGCAAAAGTCAGAACACAATGTAAATACTTCACTACTCTCTTTCTTCACATCAAAGACTTAGTAATGGAGAGCTGGACAAACTAAAATATAAAGTAGCTCTAGGATTAGAGGGTTCTGGAAGTGCTTGCTTCACCAGACTCATCATCTCCCTCAGACTCAGTCATCTTCAGAAGTGTTACCATCATCATATGGGATTCTGGAAGTGCTTGCTTCTTGAGACTCATCATCTGCTTCAGAGTAATCTTCAGAAGTACTTGTTTCTTCAGACTCATTATCTCCTTTAGAAGTGTTACCATCATCATATGGGATTCTGGAAGTGCTTGCTTCTTGAGACTCATCATCTGCTTCAGAGTAATCTTCAGAAGTACTTGTTTCTTCAGACTCATTATCTCCTTTAGAAGTGTTACCATCATGGGGGACTTTGAACGTGCTTGCTGCAGACGAGTCACCGATACTTTTTGCCGGGCAGTTTGGAAGGGCAAGAAAGTTGACTTGACAGTGGTATGAGATTTCAATCTCAACCAAACCACCAAGTGGGATAAGAGACAACATTCCTCCATCAATTCCTAACTCCACAAACCCACTTGCACCTTCTATAAACTCGAAGCGAATTCCTCGTACCTTAATTAAAAATAGCGGTAAGTGAAAAAAAAAAGAAAAAAAAGTAGATATAAGTTTAGTAATCCTCTCTTTGAAATGATTGCTGCAATCCGAACAAATATCAATTCAAGATGATGTATGACCTGATCAAGGAGAGGCCGGTGTCTGCTTTTGTCAGAAAATTGCTCTTCGGAACCGATAACTTCGAGGCATCCATCGTCTATGAAAGATAGGATCCTGGGTGTCTGTAATTAACTCAGTTTTAACATAGAAAATTTGAAGTAATTAATGGGTATATATGTATCGGGTGTTGCTATTTGGACAACATTATTACTCACTACCTCTCTAATATTGATGCATCCTACATACGGTGGTGGATCCTTTTTTAGAGAGATGATCATCAATGTGGTCGTACAAATGAAGAATCTTGTTATTTAGACCGTATTTACTGATCACATTGCTAACAACCTCTCTAACATGATAGGTCCCACATATATTTGTGGGGTCACCTCTATTATAGGGATCAGCATCCACCGATTTGAAAAAACATTTGTATAGAAAAATCAAAGTTGATCTTAATAGAGAAAATTAATAAATATGGTATAAATAATATTAAACCTGATTGCAAATGCCAATCGCAAAAACATTAACCAATGCATGCATATCTCTCGAAAACAAAAACATGTGTAAACAAAGAAAAAGGAACCTCACTTTTCCATCTTCCATTGTATTTTTTGCCACCCAACGATCATTACTTCGACCAAAGATAGGCAAGTTAAGACAACAAATTGAATTGATTCTGTTCATGTATACCAAGGAGACATAAAATTAGAGTACGCGTAAGTCTGCGTGCGTGCATGTGTGTGTTAATGGTATATATATATGCTTAAATGTAAGTAATCAAAACATAACCAGTGAAGGGTATAACTCAGGTGGTTTTGCTCTTTCATTTCTACTCATATAGGTAGAAGTTCAAAACTCTCAAGCACCCAATGAATAAGTGTAAATCTCCTCCCCAATAGGTTGCACTCAAAAAAATAATCAAACCTAAAATCAAAAGTGATGATCATTATCTCTTCTTCTTTTTTCTGCTAGAAATATGAAAAGCATCAATGTCACTTGTACTAGGGAAAAAAAAAAGGTTTAACTTGCATATTAGTAGAGGTCTCATGTTCAAATTTTTATGGCACCTTCACATTGTCGCTTCGCTTATATATAAAAAAAATTTAATTATAAGAAGTGATGACTTGATAACAACATAAATTCCCGATGTACAGAGAGGATTGCCCTTTTGGTGCATTTGACACTGACAGAATCAAGTTTTTATGAAAAATTAGTTATCAAACTAGGGTTAGAGAGAGAGAGAGAGAGAGTTACGGAAAGATGTGCCAAATGAAAGTGCCATATTACAGAAAGATGTGCCAAATGAAAGTGTCATTTTCCTTCTTTTTTTTTTTTGGATGGTGATTTTCCCACTCTAATTTTATCCACTTACACTCCTTAGTGTAAGTGGATAAAATTGGAGTGAGGAAATCATTACCCTTTTTCTTTCCATTTAATCATACAACAAATAGTGAGATGAAAGACATAGTGCAAGCAAGGTTTTCATTAAACATTTTAAAGAAATAAAAACACACAACAGAAAAATGATATCCTCTATGAGGGAGCAATAAAAGAGGTTGAGCGTAAATTCCATGATCATTACGTACCTTCTAGGAATGTGAAGCATTTCCCACTGACCAAGATGATTCAACACCTTTACTATTGCAATTGAGGTTAGGTCTTCCCTGTTAGGAAAAACAAAAGTATAAAGTACTAAAAGAAGAATATGTAGTTGGCTTATATTTTCACAAATGTTCTATAAGGTTTATGAAATTATCATATTTGATATTTCACGAAATTACCCCGCGTACATAAAATTTGTCCCTACCGTGAGATTCCAAAAAAATTATGTTAAATTGATGATATGGCATATATGTGGAGCCATGTGTCCAATAATAGCATGCCATGTGGATCTAAATAAAAAATTATTTTGAAAATATTTAAAAAAATAAAAATTCAATAAAACATGTCATCAAATTTTTTGTATTGAGCATTTCTTTTTTTAGTAAATCTGTCTATTCCCCTTCAAACTAATTATTTCTCACCTACAACCCATCATTATATTTTTCTACAAATAAAACCTAATTTTTATAAGTAAAACTTGATGACTAGGATCCAACTCATTAAGTTACCTAACTAAACTTAAAATTTAATTTATTATACTTTTACATATTCAAAAAGTTCCCCTAATTAGAGTTTACAGTTATGCACAATGGTAAGATAATTCCTTCTATTTACATCAAAATTTCATAATTTAATAATTTTATGGCTTGTATACCACATTCTCATACCATCTTATGTTGTACATGAAGTGGACAGCCACATCAATAAAAAAGTGTCAATAAATCATAAAAGAAAAGAAAATGTTAAATTAATTTTAATTGATGTGGTTGTCCACCTCATCTGTCACATAAGGTGGTATGGGAATGTGGTATACAAATGTGGTAAGAGTAACATTATTCTTTTTAAAAAAACACACCTATCTTTCCACCCATCATTATTTCTAAAATACCCTTTAATTATTAATTCAAGCATTTAACTAGAACTCTCTCTCCTCATATTTTCTTGTATTTCTGTTTTTGTGTTCTACAAGATTAGGATTTCGATTAGTACAAACAATCAATACATGGCAATCTAATTTTGTTGTCAATTCATAAAAGCAGAGGATTTCCACTTTTTCATCTGCTGGTGAAAAAGGTCATCAATTCTGGGCACATTTTCTTCTTTTTATCGCAAACCAAAAACACACCTTGTTAAAAGCAGAGGGTTTTTTTTTTTTTTTTTTTTTTTTTTTTTTTTTTTTTTTTTTTTTTTTTTTTTTTCTAATTGGATTACCAGATGATAGTAATTTAATAATTCATACAGGGTTATTTATAACAACGTGATGAATAACTTAGCTTGGATTGAAAACATGAAGCTCTGCCAATAAATACCTTATACCCAAACCGACTTAAATATCGGCCATTTCGAAAATATTAGTAGTCCCCAAATGTAGAAATTCCGACGAAAATATGAATAAAAACAAAAGAAATTGTTAGAGATTCCGAAGAAAAGAAATTAAAGTTTAAACAAGGATGAAATTCTTTACCTTTCAAGATTAAGTAGTGCCAAAATCGTCTGTATAATGTTGGATTATCCTAAGAAATGTATAAGAATTGAGGAATTCATATTATCTTAAGATAATAAGTGGTAATAAAGAAGGAGATCATGATCAACCATGAGATGTGGTGTGGTGGTAGCTCACCTCATCCCTTAACCATGAGGTTAGGAGTTCGATCCCCGCCCATGGGAATGGAACACATTTCGTGGCCAGCTGTTTACCTCCTTTGGGAGAGCTCCCGCAGCGAAAGGGATTAGTCACTGCTGTCGGCGGTGGACACCCTTGGGTCTAACCAAAAAAAAAGAAGGAGATCATGATCATCCATATATTCAGTACTCAAGGTTTTCATTCGTTTGATAATATAGAATATATATCATAAAAATGAAGTGATAGGTCCATTGAGAATGGAGATTGGAGACTATGAAAGAAGAAAAAAAAAGGAGCAATATTTTTACCGCTTTTTCCACCTCATGCCAATAATGTCGTAATCGGGTCGGAAAATATTCAGTGTCTTTCATCCTAATGAGACAATGCCAGCTGAAAATCCAATAAAAGAATAAATAAGATTACAACTACAATAAATTAATGCAGATTAATTTACCCATTAATTCTAGTTATCTTACTATTAAAAGTGGACTTCAATGTAAACTAAAAAGAAATAATATGAACATATATAATTGTCAATGAGGTCTAGTGGAAAAATGACATTTATTTTCATACCAATGGTCTTAGATTCAAGCTCTTATGGCACCTAATTAGTAATGTGTGTATGAGAAACCTTTTTTTTTCTATAATTTTTTTTTTATATTATCGCTTATATTTATAAAAAAAAAATACATATAGATAATTAAAGAGTTAGCCATACGACATGTTGATCGAATACCTATCAGTTTTCATTCGTTTTGCCAGTGCTACGTCAACAAGGAACGATCGCAATGGTGATATATTTGAAATGCCCTTCTGGAAGTAGTCAAGACAACATGCATAAATTAAATAAAGTATTAAATGTTAGTGCCTATATATTACGGGTACACCACACAAAAATTCCTATGTGCCTTACACAAATTATTTATTTATTTATTTATCATCTAATTATCATCCTTCTTTTTATTTTTCTTTTTTAATTTATGAAAATTGTAACCATTATGAAATAATAGAATAATGTACCCAATACAAATTTATAAATTCTTCGAATTATCTATCTAATATGTAGGTAAATTATTGTAACCTCTTTTTTTAACAGAAGTATGTATTTATCTATTTACCTATCTTGTATTAGATATGTAGGTAAATTATATTTTGCATGTATCACCATAATTTTCCAATATACAATTGCCTAATCAATATTGTTCTAGGTATATATTATCATTGTTTAATATTGTTATTCGTGTATGGTTTGTGTTACATATTTATGTATTCATTGATTTATTTTTAACAAAACGTTTCAATATTAAATAGTTACCAATTAAAAAGAATTAAATATAAATGCTAAACGTCCTACCCATCCAAACGAAGCAGCGATTCCACATATTTCTAAAGTCGGTGGTGGTACCGGAGCAATGGAGGGTGACTCTGGCAATTTAAGATCACAGATAACTCCCAAAATCCAATTGAAAACCTCATCCCTGCCAACAACCTGAGATATATAATATCAAATTAAAAAAAGATATTAAAAATGTTATTTAGAAAAGTATAGACTACGCTTTAGCAAACCGTTACTCACTATAATTCTCATCTTCCTTTGAATTTCAGAAGCAAAACCATAATAACCTTTTTGCTTAAGCTGTTCTAGAGTACCATAAACATCCTTTAGCACTATCTCAGGATTATCATATGCCTTTGCTAATCTTAGTCGTACACCAAAAACCTAGAAAATAAAGGAAACAAATACAATATTATATTTACAACAAACTTTAATCAAATCCATGCATGTTAATTAGAGCTTTAATTATACATAAACTGTGTTAAAATTTCATTTCACATAATACCTGCTCTTTAGTAAGGAGGTCGCAAAATTTCCCAATGAGTTCTTCTCCATCATCCAAATGCCTATCAATAAACACCAACATTGGGATACCGAAGAAGGAATCAGGTAATTGAAGCAACTCCTCAGATTTGCGGTGGGGCGGAGAAGTCCTCCTGCATGGGATATTCATATTGGTTGGTAAATAATTCGAAATACGATATACCAAAATAAGGGAGTAAGTAAGGTACTACTGTACGTATAATTAAGTTGAGAATAACACCCTAAATTTTGGGAGTTTTGGGACATGATTTCTGCGAGTGTCCTAGCGGCCAATGGTAGACCATAACATAAATCCTTAATTTCACTCTCAAACTTTTCCAAATGTTGTTGATATTCAAAATCAGGAAGGTAACCAAAAACAGTGTACTTAAATATATCCCAGCAGCTTTGTCGGTCCAAACGCTGAAGAGGAATAACCAAGCTGTTATAACGTTGATCTGACCCCTCCGCCGGTACCACCATAGCTTCAACCACTTCCGGTATCCTACTAGTGACGATGACCGCACCACCAGTACCCTTAGGCAATCCGTGCGACAAGCGATCCCCAACTTTCTTATCACCTTCCTGAACCTCAAGTAGTTGTTCCCTATGTCCTAAATCCGAGTAGAAATCGTTCATGTGCCACACATCATCCAACACAATCAAATACCTTTTATCTGATAAACGTTGGTTGAGCCTTTCCAAGAGAGCAGCAAGGAGATGACCAGACTTATTATTACTACTTACTGTCTTCTCCTCCTCCTGGATGATGCCATCTCCATCGACAACAGCAAGGAGATGACCAGAATTATTACTACTTATTGTCTTCTCCTCCTCCTCCTGGATGATGCCATCTCCATCGGCAACGGCTTCATGGTCCAACTTACTAAGCATACATTTCACAATGCTGACCTCAATTTCTTCTTCTACTTGTTTATTTTCTTTGATTATATTCGACAAGCATAACCAAATTATAGGAGAAAATTCACCTTGCACTATCCACCAACTCAAAAACTCGCGCACCAGAGTGGTCTTACCCGCGCCTGCCATACCCACTATCCCAACTGCCGCAAATCCAGCACCTGACGACGGCGATGATTTTAAAAGAAAGTTCCCAATCTTCCGTAATTCCTCATCAAATCCCACAACTTCAGCCTCAAATTTTCGACCGCGACGTATTAATACAGGTAGTTCGCTCTCTAAATTCTCTTCAGGATCAGGACGACTTGATGATTCCCTCAAATTATAAATGTTTTCTTCCTTTTTCATAAACTCAGCCTCCAAGATGCGTTTTATTGCAGCCAGCCGCTTCTTCATCTTCCGCACGAAACAAATCTTCGTCAAACTCAAATGGTTGAAGATTAAATGAGTCTTGGCCTTTGTTCAGTGCTTTGATCTCTAGTTCGATCATTTTCATATTTTTAGCATCAAATAACTGTTATTCATGTTATTCATCCACCCACGTTATTCATGCTCAGCATCAAATAACTGTTTAAAAAGTTCTTTGCTTGCATGAGTATAATGAGCTTTTTCTTTTCATTTTTCCTTTCAAGTGTTCGGTTTTGAGCTGTGATTGCTTTTGTAGCTGCTTTTGTTAATCAGTTTCGGTTATTCCAATTACAGGTAGCACTTTGTGAAGCTACACGACGACAAGTCTTGAAATTAACGCAAAATTGGCAGGTTTAGGTTTACCATGTTGTCTCACAGGAACTCGAATGTGACATAATAAAAAGGTCAAAACCATATGTTGGCAAGATTGTGAAGTTGATATGGCCCGTTTACTCTGTTTTTTTTTGGGGCAATAGTTGATATGACCCTCTAAACACTAATAATTAAAGGGTCGAAATAGGATGAAACTTAAGGACCTGAGTTTAACAAGCACGTATTATAATTATACGAAGATGAGGAAGATGACAAAGCTTGTGTATTATTAAACCACAATGTGCCTTTTAATTTTTGATTCAGAATTTTGATTCAGAATCCACAATGTGCCTTTTAATTTTTGAGTTTCAGCTATAAAACCGAACCGAGGAGTTTAACCATACTTACCGAATATTTTGTTGATTAAATAAAACACATATTTTGCCACGTTATCCTGGTCCTTCACACACCGTCTTATGTTCATTGATATTAAGACTGATCGAAAAAAAATGGGGAATCATATATATTTTTCTTTTATCATTGTTCTTTGCTTCCAGGACAACCAAGGAGTATATGCGATGAGCTTTTTCTTTTCTCCTTTTCTTTTGTCTTTGCTTCCAGGACTACCAAGGAGTATATGCGATGAGCTTTTTCTTTTCTCCTTATGCGCGTTTAACAGTTTTATAATTATATATATGAAGATGACGAAAAATTCTTTATTTAAGATGAATAATTGTTTGAAAAGAGTTGGGAATTATATATATTTCTTTTGCCATTGTTCTTTGCTTCCAGGACTACCAAGGAGTATAATGAGCTTTTTCTTTTCTCCTTTTCTTTTTTTATTTCTTTTATTTGCCTTTTGAACTGTGATTGTCAACTAATAGTATCTCCAAGAGTAATAGTGAAAAATAAATGCACCTTTGAGAAGTTGAGCCACATTAGTAAGTAAGGAGGAGTTTCTCCTTAAGCACAAGGAGGGAAGCATTATTTATTTATTTAACAAGTGTCAAAATCCCATTTGTTGTGAGAAGGAGCTCCTCCTCTATTTTTTTCCTTTTTGTTTGACATTTTAGCTATAAACCGAACTAATTCTCCTGCCCCGGTTTAATTGAATTGACTGAAAAATTACCGTTCTTAAATAAAACATATCTTTTGACATGTTACCCTACTCTTGCACCACCCATCTTCTTTATGCTCAATTAGCAAGTTAAGATTTACCAACATCAGATAATTGTTTAAAAGAAGTGTGGAATCGTATATATTTTCTTTTGCCATTGTTCTTTGCTTCTAGGACTACAAAGGAGTATAATGAGCTTTTTTCGTTTCTCTTTTTCCTTTCAGTGTTAGCTAAGAGTAATTATTGTATTTCTTTAAAAAGATGATCTTGCGGTTATTGTTTTAAATGTTCTAACCGGTTTTCACATTCATATGAATTTCTTTCCACATTAATGTGATTACATCAATCCCTTGAGTTCCACAGCTACCTCCTTTTCAGTAATTGCATCTGAAATGAGTGTCACCTTAACCTCAAGAAATGCAGAGCATTTCCTGCCCAAGTTATTGGATCGTCTGGGAAAAGTCAAAGCCAACATAAAGCCAGGTGATGATCAGGAAGTGTTCATGAGGAGCTTCAAAAAGATTGAAGATGGGCTTCGACAACTGGAAGACTTAAAATTGCTACCTAGACTTAAGCTCTGGGAGCACACTCTGTTCAACCAATTCACTGTCTTAGAACGTCGAGTTGATAAGTTGTTCTTGGGAGATGATGAGAGCAATACTTTCAATAGCCTGGAGGCAATCACCGACGTCCTGGCTCGCATTATTGAAAATGTCGACCAAATAAACTCGATCCCTTTGATGAAGTTAATGCCGAGTTACACACAGAGCAGTTCAGAGTTTACGCATCGTTCTCAGCCGGAGTCGGGTCTAACAGCAGCTAAGAAGCTATCAAAAGAGTTGTCACAAATGGGCGTGGAGAAAGGAATTCACGAAAGTCGTGCTATGGCTAATCTGAGGAGGAGTTACGAACATCTTGAGGGCACCGAGTTGAGGCTCTGCTTCCTCTCTTTGTCAATCTTCCCTGAGGAGTCGGTGATAAAGAAAAGGCCTCTAATTTACTGGTGGATTGGGGAGGGCTTCATCACGGCCACCCAAGACAAGACAGCCGAAGAGGTAGGGGAAGAAATCTTTGGCAAACTCATGAAACAGGGCTTGATTCAACCACATGGAAATGTTGTTAATGCATCCAGTAGTTCCACTAGTTGCACGTTGCACCCTTGGATTCGTTGTATGCTGATACGCTTGGCCAAGGACGCTCTGCTCTTCCACTTTGATTCATCATGGCCGTGGATGCCATCATGTCAAGTATCATTGGGCAGGCGTGCGTGGTTAGTTTTTGATCAGAACCCGACTTCTCCGGGTGAGGAAGATCTGTTGACAGTATTCAATGTGAACACAAACTATCTTAGTTTCAAACGTGAATGGCTTAGGAAGTTGAAGAACGTTGTTGTTCTTCAGCTGGGACGGTGGCAGAGCTCACCCACGCATCACATTGAAGTGGATGATGAAGGATTATTTTTGAAAGGTATTCGGGCTCAGCACTACTTGAGCTTCAAGTATCTTAGTCTCCGAGGAATATCAGGAATAACACGGATCCCTTCTTGTATCTTTAACATCATCAGCCTTGAAATTCTGGATCTGAGAGCATGCCACAATCTAGAGACATTGCCTTCGGATATCTCATCGTTGAGGAAGCTCACTCATTTGGATATATCCGAGTGTTACTTCCTAGAAGGCATGCCAAAAGGGATCGGCAAACTCTCTTCCCTCCAAGTACTTAAAGGTTTTCTCATAGCCAATTTGAAAAATACTCCCTCAAGACTCGGTGATCTTGCCAAGTTGAAGAAACTAAGGCGGCTAAGTATATACATAGGGAATGAGGCCGTAATGCATGACAACGAGTTTGAAACTTTGAAGGAAATTTCATCTCTTCGCCGCCTCAAAATATCATGGACAGTGGTTTCTTCAGAGTTGAAAGAAAAGATTTCCCTCCAGTCCCGGGATTTCTCGCTCCCACCGGATTTAGAAAAATTGGATCTTCAAGGCATCCCTCTGAAAGAAGTACCATCATGGCTAAACCCGACGCAACTGAAAAATTTAAAGAAGCTCTATATAAGAGGCGGGGAACTTTGTAGCCTGGACCATGCAGGGAAGGAGACCGTCACTGAGTGTAAGTGGAGGGTGGAAATCTTGCGTCTCAAGTACTTGAGTAATATGAAAATAGAACTTCCAAAGGTGGAGGATCAGTTTCCTCATCTGTTGTACTTGGAGATTAAAAAGGACATAAATGAGGAAGGCATATTTTGGAGAAAATCTCAAGGTCAGAAATTAAGCAAGTAAGTTAACGCCACGATAAAGTTAGTCCTCTGTATCTAGTTCATGTCTGCAGCATGTTATAATTAACTGCATGCCCTATTGTTATTGTATGCATACATCAATCCCTTTGCAATATGCAAGAACAGAGGAGTTTTCCAACCCCACTCCTTTTCTTAAATAATTAAATTTATATGCGCATTTTATTTAAGCAAACAAAAGTTTTACAACCTCAAATCTAATCCCCCTCTTTATACAGCTGCTGATAAATGTAGCAGGGCTTAGTCAAGGTGCAATGACTTGGCATCACAATAAAAGCAATCCAACTGTGCCTTGCCGGGGACCAAGAAACACACATTCAGCTGGCTTCAAATACGTAAATTGTATTTGTTTGTTCGGTTCTTGTTTAATAGTGAAGAATTAATTCTCTAACGACAATTAGTGTCGTGGTAATTCGATGGAGTTATTAAAAATAATAATTCTCTAATCACTATTCTTTTTCGTGAGAAAGTTGTTAACATTCTCCTTAATATAGTATCTGATCAAGTTGTCATTTCCAGAAATTTCAAGTTGAAAACCTCCAATCCTCGTGTGCTCTGGGGACTTGTCTTTTATTGAATAAAAGTTGGCTTTGTGTTGTGTTACCGAATTGTCATGGTCTTTTTTCATAAAGTGAAGGTATATATATATTTTTTTAAAGAACGAAATTCATTAAGGAAAATACTAGAGGCACCAACTCTCTAATAGAGCGTGGGATCCAGTGTATTGGCGAGCTCCGCCTCTATTAGAAAGTTGGTGCCCAAAGTTGGTGCCTCTAACACCCCTCATTCATTAAAGAAACTAGAGCAAATTACAATCATTTAAGAGGGCATCCTGATGATAGCATGGGGCCACTCAGTCCAGTCAACAAAACCATCAACAGAAAGAGAAACTTTAGCCAAGCGATGAGCAACATCATTGCAGTAGATACAGCACTGACTTCATGGAAAATCTTTAGCCTCGTTCTATATTTTATGCTCTGTGGACACTATCTATTCTTGAAAGTTGAACGTGCTTTCATTCATTTTTCTTGTTTGCAATCGTGCCTGCAGGTTTAATAACTAGAATCCGAATCCTCTGTTTTATGTGCCATAATCTGCTTGATTTCTTTCTTGGATGCGTCATTCCATTAGAATTTAGGGCATGTTTACGTATCAGTAATGGAGAAACTAAGGAATCAAAGAATTTAGGAATCGGAGAACTACTGAATCGGTATGGGAAGAATCATTCTCATTAAGCTGTTTACTAAACATATGAAATTAGCA